ATGGCGGACCACATGGCGGTGAAGTTAGGGCAAATATCCACTCCCCATTCGTCAAACTAATAATATAGTGATACTGAGAACACCGAGGTAGTCAGTAACCGAGTTGTACATAGTGAGCCATGCCTGGGCTGTTATCCGTTCTGGAGCCACTTGTAGGGTGGGTAAACTCACGTGGCTACTGCCTAAGGGCGCTCGCCGCACGTTCGTCGGCACTGGGAAATGGCATGGCCGTCATAAATTCCAATATCATCCATACATTGAAGAACGCACTGAACTATATTTTAATGTTCACATTCCTAGTTACGTCGAGAAACTTTACGTACTGCAGAGAGCTGTCGCTTTTCAAGTTCAGCTGGACCAGTGGCCGCGGCCACCGTCACAAGAGCGGTCAAAATAGCGAGGGGAGAGAAACGCATTCTGACGGGAGAAAGAAGTTATTATGGATAAAGAATTTTCTGGAGAGCAGTGTGCTTCTGCTTTGCGGGACAGTTTATTTGAGATGAGGCACGCCCAGCTTTATAGTACATTTCCCGTGGTGTCCTGCATTGATCAGTTTATGGAAAAGATAAGGGAGAGAGCGAGGCTTCTTGGCATCCCTCTTAGAAAGTGCAATGCATCCTATAAGAGTTGCAGACGAGAGCTGAGGGTAATATCACGATCCTGTGGGATCTGCCAAGCCTTCTAGACTAGGAATCCATACACTACCAGATTCCTATATAGGCTTCAATCTGCAAAGACCCTAGGGCTGCAAGCGCTAAATGGTTTCACCTTCCCTTCATGAACTAGGGAATAAAGGCCCCTTGTGTATCTCTATCTGTGCTTCTCAGAATATTGGCAGTTGACTCTTCACGGCCGGGCGCACACACGTGGCACAGCGGGCTCACTTCGAGTTCACTGCGGGGCAGATAAGCCTTTTCTGCTGCCGTCTCTTCGCTAGCATGGTCCCAGCTAAAATCTCAGTATTGTAACTAAGACAATTGATATAGAATACACAGACCAGATTCAGGTGGCCTTGATGCAGGATGTATCAGCTACAGCGAGGTAGAGGCTGATGTCCTGCAATGGAAGGATTACGAGCCTACAGACGCCCGACGTAGACTCGTCTCCAGTTGAAGCAGGATCGCACCACACCGTTTTACCAAGTAGAGCACAATGACATGATTTGGAAACCAACCACCTACAATGCAATCAAAGTGCTCGGACACTGCGGACAGAACTGATATATAAAAGTAATCCAACAACCCTCCTCACAACCCGTCTTCTAGGGTTTCAACACCGAAAGCTATGCGCAAAGAATGACGGTCTATGCTTTGTTCAAAGGCTGACTTGAACGTGAACACCGGGCTTTAAGGAAAAAAAGAAAATGCATATCTTTTGCAAACTGCGCATTTCACGGCCCGATAATCAAGTGCGAGATTCTCGTATTGTGCTGGCACATGTAAGCGTTTCTGGGACCAACTCTAAATCATAGGAGGGACCTAAATCCGTTGTCCGTCTGATCCAACTGTCTTCGCAGGTGATTGTAACAGCTTTCTCATCTGCGGGTAGACGACTGACTCAACCTTCTTCGTCACCACCTGGAGCTTTAGAGGTCAAGCTGCAAGCACACGCCATCAAGAAAACCTGGCTGATTTTACTGCTTCTGTACCCTACCAAATTGGCGGACTTTCCTTGAGGGCGCATGGCAGGTTGAGCGGGAGCTATCTACACCCCGGCCAACGTGTGCGCATCTGTCTACCAGTGAGCTCCCTAATGGAACTGTGTATTCCTGTTACGATGCGTTTCATGAAACTCGCCTTGACCAAAGCAAGGCTGTTGTTATTGGTGACTTTCAGACGAAAAACCTTTCGTAGACACCATAAAAAATAGAGCACCCACTATTGTTAGCGAGCACGCTGATCCAATGTTATAGATGACTTTTTGAAAAGTCTTTCAGGTCCATCTCATCTATCCTTGCACACTATGCCGCTATGGGGTTTCCTTTCCTAAAACACGCGATCGAGTGTAGGCAAGCGCGTGGCATAAGATAATTCATTGCCAAGGTTTAATTCATCTCAATCCGCTCAGCCCGCATGATGCCCAAGCTCGATCACAACGCAGATCTTCCATTAAAATCGAGACAAGACCGGTAAACCTTGCACAAGCTACTTTCATAGACAGTCGGGGGGGGGGATAAAGGATACATTGAGCACTACCATGGTCCACATTCGATCCAAAGTCGTATGATGCGGAGCCAAAACATTCATATCTCGTAACATAATCAGGAAGATGTACTTGTTGGTGAATGAAGACATACCAATTGTCAGGTGATCTTGAAAGAGACCGGACTTATATTCTGGTTTAGATCTTGACTTCCGGTCAGTCTTATTGATTTGTATGATCCCCTGCTTGACAGGGTCTCACATCCCGTCTTTGAACTCTCATGAGACCAATCTTAACGAACATGATCCTGGACTGCTGTCCCTGCGCAACACGCAAACATTCGCTACGCTGCCTCTCTTTCGTCCCTCTCCTCTCAATCACAAGTTTATGTATCCTACATTATTGAAGCAGCCAACACTTAACCACTCTCGGCGAGACTGACTCGAGGCAGTATGTAAAATGAGTACAGAAGACCACTTTAGGTTTGGTACCTCACTCAAGTATTTGTTTTCAGTGTCTCATAGCGGCTCTCGCAATGCAAAATTTGTTAGCGCACATGGAGGTCCCCGATCCTCATAGCTTTTCGCTCAATCGAGTTAGACTGCAAATACAATAGCCCGAGCCTCATAAGAGGTGGAGACCCATCTCGCGCAGCTAGACGGTACTATTGCAATGAACATGTTTTGATCTGGACAGCTCATGATTCAGCATAATCCAGCTATCTTCTGCAACTCAGAGGTGCCATCAGGTCCTCATCAGCAATATGAAACCGTGGCTGGTGGCTAGGCTGGCTTTCGTTGCGGATCTGACGATTGCATCAGCCCTCCTACCAGGCGCTATTGTCTCAAATGCGACATCACCAACCCCTGCTAACACGACACATCCAGCGCCGCAGCAAACAGCTGTTTTGCTGTCACCATGTGCAGTATGGTACTACATGGCTTGGACTTACATGAGTTGACTGACAATAATTGCAGTTGGGTTGCATAACGACAGAAGTTGCCAGGTCTACATGTAATGCCACGGATTTTGCATGCATCTGTGCGAACCAACAGCTTAATGCAGCTATTGGCTTATGCTTGGCGCAGAACTGCACCGTTATCGAGTCCCTTCGTGAGTATAAAACTCGCTTCCTCACTTGGGCTATCAATCAAGAACTGACTATCTGTTGCACTTCAAGAGGCGCAGAACTATTCGAAAACTTCCTGTGGCGTGCCAACCCGCCATAACACAGTACAAGCCCCAATTTCATGGACATTGTTTGCAATCTCATTTGTGGCTGTGGCTGCACGATTGCTATCAAAGGTTCCTTCGTTGAATCCAGCATTCTCTTTTGGGCTAGATGATTGGGCGATTCTTGCTGCTATGATTGCGCTGGTACCATCGGATATTGGGTCTCAGACGCGTGCGCGATACCCTTTCTGCTATACATATTTCCAAAGCTCACCGGTTCTTCATAGTGATTAGTCTGGGCCTCGGTAAAGATATATGGTCAGTTCCACCTGAGGATATAACCCAAATATTACTCGTAAGTCGAATCTTCCCGCAGGCGTTTAAGACAGTCCTATGATTGACCCAATCTGTAAGCTTTTTTTTGTCGAGGAACTTCTTTATGCTTTTGTAGTTGCGGTAACAAAGCTGTCAATTCTCTTGTTTTACCTTCGTCTTTTCAGCGAAAGATGGTTTCGACTATTCTGTTATGTAATGCTAGGTATCACCACCCTCTATGGCCTTGGTCAAATGCTCGCTATCACTCTGGTCTGCACACCGATTAGTTACAATTGGACGCGGTGGGATGGACAACAATCAGGACAGGTAAGGATTCCCATACGCAAATTCGGTATTTAAAGTTCCCTCAGCCGTTCTTTTGCGCTGAGTGTTGTACTAATTCCCAATCGTTCCAGTGCCGCAACGTCACCCTCATGACGTTCATCAATGGTGGTATCAACATTGTGCTGGACTTCGTTCTTTTCGTTTTGCCAGTGACTCAGTTGTAAGAACCAACTCATAATTTCCCAAGGCAAGGTGGCTGGCTCCTCATGGCTGACTCTCTGCAACAGTATCACTGTCTCTTGGACAAACAAGAAGAAGATCGGCATCAGTCTCATATTTCTTGTCGGTCTTTTGTAAGTTTGATCATAAGCATACATAATCCTGAAATCAGTGTTAATTCACCACGTTACGGCAGCGTGACAATATGTAGTGGTGTCCGTTTGGCGACGATTGCAAGATTCGGTGACACGCAGAACCCTACATGTAAGGATACTCCCCTCTACTTCCTTGCTTTGTTTAGATCGGCTTAACTGGTGTTTTTTGGTAGATGATTTCAAGGAACTTTCGATCTGGTCTTTGGTAGAGATGCGTATGAGCGTTATATGCGCGTGCATGCCAGGAATGACCGCCTTCATCCGGCGAATTGGGCCCCATATCCACCGGTCGAATCCTACCACGCCTCAGCCCCAAGCTGGTAATCAACCTCGAACAGGTCGATCAATCGTGCGGAGAATACGGGACACATTGACACATCTCACGGCCGCCAGTGCACCAAGAAACAATTCGGGTTGGAAGAGCTCGCGTGCTACAGCCGAAAGCAACCTCACAGGGACCCAGCCTAGTGCCATCGATCCAGAAACGTCCCAGTATAAAGATTATTTGGCTTACGTTCCATATGCAGAGAGGGGGGAAGCGGGCACACAACTACAAAAACTAAACAATAGAACAGCCACACGAGACAGCAGTGAGATACGAGGATAAACATACGTAGACTGGATAGAGAATGCCAAACTGTTTTGCATTGTGAGACTTTTGTGTCTAAAAATCAAGTCTCTCTCGTGTCCTCTAGCATTCTTTAATCATTCTCAAATGCTGGTCTGGCGACCTGCATTTGGGAACGACATCTGAGCAGCGCGAGAGAGCCTTGCTGACTTGCCAGCAATGTTCGGGTCTTCGCCCAAGAAATTGCTTGGGAACCCAACATCAAAATCTTTGACACTCTCCAAGTAAGCGATCTGCTCATCCGTGAGTTTGATCTTGAGGGCGTCGATGTTGGCCTTCAAATGCTCCACCTTGCGCCCGCCTACGATGGGAATGACATTTGCTGCCTTACTGCGAACATATGCTAACGCGATAGCTGTCACGCTCTCGACGCCATGCTCTCCAGCAACCTTCTCCAACGCCCCGCTGACCCTGATTTCCATCTCTGTCTGCTGCCCAGTGCTGACGAAAGATCTCAACCCCTCCCCAGCCTTCTTGCGCTCCTCAATGGCCTTTTTCGACTGAAACTTGCCGGATCCCAGAACATCCCATGGGCAAAGAGCCATACCAAACATCTTGGCCATTGGCAGGATGTCGCGTTCAAAATCGCGGTGCATCACGCTCCATCGGCCTTGATAAACACTGAAGGGCGTCTTGCCATGGTCGATGGCGTATGTGTTCGCTGCACTAACAACCCAAGCTGGTGTATCTGAGATTCCAAGATAGAGCACTTTACCCTGCTCGACAAGGATATGAAGAGAGTCTACGATCTCTTTGATCGATGTCGTGTAATCCCACCAGTGCATATAGAGGATATCAATGTAATCGGTGCCCAACTTCTTCAATGAGTCGCGGACGCTGGTGTGAAGACTCCGACGGTGGTTTCCGGTAAAGTTGGCCGTGTTCCCCTTGCCCAGGGAATGGCTTTTGTAGTCGGAGGTGTACTTGGTAGCAAGTACAATCTGTTCCCGGTTGCCCCTAGCCTTCATCCACTCGCCGATCCACAGTTCTGATTGCTCATCCTGGTAATTGTTTGCAGTGTCGATGAAGTTGCCGCCCGCCTCAAAGAAGGCGTCCAGAAGCTTGAAGGACTGCTCCTTATTCATTACACCCATTGCCTCGGCCCACGCATCTCCAATTGACATAGCACCCAGTGCAAGAGGAGATACGCGAATGCCGGCGTTAGGAGAAAGTACCCGCAGCCTACCCAACTCAGTGGGTGGCTCGGGGGCTGCGGCCAAGAAGTTCGACATATTACTGGCGGAATTGATGTTGGACGCGATTGAAAGGGTTATAGCGGAGGAGACAGAAGACCTGTACGCAAGTCTATAAAACTCGTGATACCTTTGATATCATATAAAAAAGGAGCTCCAGGCTTTTTATGGTCTCAGGAAGAGGGGCAGTGGCCGGCAGCGGCATCAGACAGTTGACATAAGATCGGAAATATGCCCCGGAATTGGCTACACACAAGCCGAAAGAAAAGTACACCGTTCCGACATGCCTAGGCATTGTGCTATTCCGGGGCGTGCGGGACAGGCTGCGCCAATGACGTATTTGAGAACCAGATCGAGGGGTACAATGATTCTCATCAAAGCGAAGCAAAGGTCATCGGCAATAAGAAATGAAAAGATCGGTGATATACGACAGGTCAAGCTGGTCGTCAGCTTCGCCGAAGGATTCGTTCGGCTCTGTGAACTGACGGCACAATCGGCACTGTTTCGTGGTAATACGACTGGAAGCCCGGAGTTTGCGAGGCTATCTCCGGGATGACCTGTCAGCACCCAGCTCTGGTGAAACCGAGAATAACATCAGTTAAACTTGAAAGTAACAAAACGATGAAACTGGTTCAAAAGATCTAGTGACTTGAGTTGATCCGCATTGTGAATCCGCATTGCGAAAACCTTTACTTGAATCACCGCAGCTGGTGCATTTTCCAAGGCCAATTCGGGGTTTGATAGATGACGTGTGCGAAACGAATGAAAAAGGCCATTTTGACCCTCGGGAGTCTGGATGTCATTTCTTTGCCTTCAGTTGCCTCACCAGCTTATTCGTGTGAATGATAGCCTCCCTAGCGCCATCCCAGGTTTTCCTCTTCCCCGTTTCAAAGTACCGGAAAGCATACGCCGTCTCTACACCATGGTTCATGAGATAGCTCATGTACGGTTCTCTGAACCAGGTGACCCAACCGCGCCATCCCCAACCGAGGTTCTCCATACCAGTGCCAGCAGCCTTGTGCAGAAACCCCTGGAACTCCCATTGTTTGACGGCGCTCGGGTCGGACCTGTTTTCGCGGGTCCAGCGATCTGCAATCCACTGATGATGCCGGTCAACGGCACGTTCCATCTCGGACCTTGGTGGGATCATGTCAGCGCTGACACCGCGCCATATATTACTGATAGCCATGGATGTGACATCGGAGAAAGAAAACCCATTGTTCTTGCCGTACATCGAGTACGCAAGGATAGCGATGCTGTCTGCATGTGCCGGCGGGAATAGATTCATGTAAAGCAGAGCGATAGGACGTCCTCCGTAAGGGTTTCCCGAATTGTCCGCTTTGGGCTTGCTCATCTCAATAAAAGGAACGAGATCAAAGTCTGCCGAGTAGCCTGTGCAGCAGATGACAGCATCAACGTCGTCGAGGACCGTTCCGTCAGTGAACTCGATCGATTTTCCCCCGAGGAATCTTTGTATTCCATACAATGAGGTGACTTTTCCCTCGCGGAGGAACTCGACAGTGGTGTCTATGCAACCTGCGAGGTGCAGACTGAGTGGTGCCATGTTGTCAAGTAGACGCCAAGAAGGATCGAGCTTGCCATGCTGTTTCATGAGAAAGCCTGTAGCAAGCATCACAAGCTTGTTACTTAAATTGGGAAAATGACTTTGCAGGAAGTACGACATCTGCCTACGGGCGCGAGTGACGAGGAGATCAGTCGGCACACCATTCCGCCAGCGGCCTACAATAAGGCTGCCGTTGCGATGCGAGATATAGGCCTTGTCTGTTTGCTTGACAATAACAGACAGCAGGTCGCTTAGAGTGGCGCTCAGGCCAACAAGAACGACCTTCTTTCCTTTAAAATCTTCGGGGCTAAGACGCTGCCGATTAGCCAGTTACGTGAATGAATGGGGAGGAGTGCAATCTTACTTGCGGAACTGCTGGGAATGCATTAGAAGGCCTTCATACTGTTCCTGTCCTTCATAGACCGGCATCTTTGGTTTCGTTTGATAGCCATGGCATAGAACCACCTTGTCGAACTCTTGGGCCTCCGGGTTCCCTGATTTGATCATCTCAACCCGCCATTTGGACCCATCGGCACTTCGCACGACCTGCTTGACGGTTGCGTTGAAAGTCATGTGCTTGTAGAGATCGAAATTCTCAGCATAGGATTCCATGTACTCTTCAAAATCTCGTTGCGACATGAAAGGCCCGTATTCTACTCGAGCATCAGCGTCTGTCTTTCCGTCTGCTCTGCATTGTTCGTAAGAAGAAATGTGCACCCACTATCTGGCATTGCGAAGTCCGTAAAACCGCAAGTGTACTTGCTGATGACTGCATTGGTGGCTGAAAGTAATCAGCAGATGTCTTGAACATTTGTTTCATTCAACTTGAGAACGAAGGCCTACTTGGAAGGGCTGTGGTCATGGTTTTGTCGTCAGTATAAGACCATAGGCCGCCGACGCGGCCCCGTCTCTCAAATAGCTTTGCGTTGAATCCATCCTCGCGTAAGGTCTTGAGCATGGAAATGCCAGTGGCACCTGGATCATTCTTATCAGCCCTGTCTTACTTGGTAGCCCTTAGGCAGCACTCACCTGCCCCGATCACCGCCACAGACGGCGGGTTGCCTTTATCCATCAATACAGCCTCGTGATGCTGATTTTCACGGAATTATGAAACTTCGGAGAAACGAGTAATCAAGCTTATTCAACGGAATGAGAGTGGACCAATACATTTCAGGTGGGCGAAGCTCACCCTTAATACGCCGGCCTTAGATCCTTCAAGGAGAGACAGTTGTGATGACAGTGCAACCTTATCGCCGTCAGCACTAAATCCTCCATGCCGAATGGAGTTAAAGGTTTAGGTGACAGCCATGAATCCTTCTCGACACCCGAGATAACCAATGGCAGTTCTTGAAGGAGTGCGATTTGGTGCTATCGATTCCTACGTGGTAGCGCCACACATCTGAGCGCGCGCGTAGTGGAGCGGATAAATTGCTTATTGCGAGCTTTGAGGTGGTGTTTAGCCTCAAGATTAATCAGATTCGCAACAAAGCCATGCGCTCTAATAGTTTGGTGAGACTTCAGGACTTCCAGATAAATGAATCAATTGATGACAGGACATTGTCCGTGATTGTTATTCTGTATGCTTTTTAAAAGTTGTTTTCCTTGTCCATGGCCATCTTTGCCACTTGACCTCGGACTGCAGCATCAGGTGTGTATTTCTTAAACTTGCGGGCAGGAATTTCCTTCATAAACATCTCGTCCAACTCTTCGTATGTCCTGCCTGCAGTTTCAGGCAGATTGTACCACAAATGTACCAATGAAATGACTGCCAGGCCGCCAAAGATGAATGTAATCTTGGCACCGAGGTTCAACTGATCAGGGTTGAAGAGGTAGGGCAGAACAAAGCTCCACATAGTGTTCAGCCCGTTCTGCATTGCGAGTCCCAAGGCGATGGTCTTGATACGAAGACGTGACGTTGCAACCTCGGCAAGAACAGTGTAGGCGGTTGCGCCGATCGTGACATTGTACCACCAGCAGTACAGAAGGAGGAGTGCTACTGTGCCTCGATTGAATGAGAGCGTTCCGGGTAGTGCCAGACCACCAGTGACCAGAAGAATGACGGTCAAGACTGCAAGTCCATAGATCGTTAGAGGGCGTCGTCCCATTTTATCCACCAAATACCATGACATGACATTGCCGATCAACGAACAACACTGCTGGACAACCTGAAGCTTAAAGCTATCAGCGGTGCTGTAGCCGGCAAGTTGCATGTAGTAAGTGAAGTAGGATGCGGCGAACATGATTCCCGATAAGCTCTGAATGCAGAGTGGAGACACGCTGATGATTGTGCGTCTAAGATTCGACTTTCGGAAGCACTCGAGGTAGCTTGCACCAGCGGTCTCGCGGCTGACCTGCTCCAAAGTCCGATGTATCACAGCAAGTCGAATACGGCCTTCGTCGCCAGGGTACCCGAGCTGAGCCAGACTCTTCAGCGCTTTTTCATCCTTTTCTTTCATAGCGAGGTACCAGGGACTCTCGGGCATGAAAGGTAAGAGGATAGCTGCGATGGCCGCGAAACCATATTGCCCACAGAAGACAGCACGGTAGGCCCAGCGATTATTGAAGTTGCCGGTTTCATTGATGATGACAGCGGCGATAAGAGGACCGAGGGTATATGAGAGGGCTGAAAGACAGGTGAAGAGGCCACGAAGAGCAAGGGGAGTAATCTGAGAAAGTCTACATCAGTCTCTGACTCGGTTAAAGCAAGATAGTGGCTTTTGGGTCTTACCTCTCCGATGTAAGTAACAGTGACAGACGAAAGTGCACCGATGGCAAAGCCGTTGATGAACTTGCCCCCAAAGAAAACCTCGTTAGTAGTTGCGATGAACTCAAGTGTGATGCCGACGAAGGAGAAACACAGGGCAATCGCGATTACTTTCTTTCTACCGAGCCAGTCTGCGAGGTTACCGCTACCCAAGGCACCGGCGACAGCACTACGAATGCAATGTCAGCATGCAACTCCTGGAGAATCATTCAAACAGTGATTGAGACAACTTACGAAGCAACGGGCGCGCCGTTGAAAGCAGATTGCCATTTTGCGTCTAAAACATAGTCTCCCTCGTAGAGATGACCGAAGTCCTTTCGGAATTCAGGGATGCTCAAAATGCTACCACCTGCCTGGTTTTCGAAACTGAGAACGAGGACACACCAGACAGCATAAATGCACCAAAACGATGCCTTGGGGTATTTTCGGAATGATTCTATTTTCCCAACTTCGTGTTCCTCTTGATTACCTAAGGTGGCAAGTTGAGCTTGAGCTTCCTGCGGGTGCTCAAGGTGAGTGGCATTGTCTTTCTTCTCCACGTCAGACATAGCGAGAATTTTGCTTCCGCAGAGTGGCTCAAGAAAAACACAAAGCAGTTTTGAAAGAATGAATGTCGCTTCAAAAAACAGGTATCTCGACTTGGAGAGGCTGAAAGAGGCTGCAGTCCGAGGAACGCCAAGCTTGCGGTTCTCAACGAGATTGCAAACATCACGGACATTGGCGCGTCTTTATAAGGCAAAGTATCCGGGTGACTCGTAAGTACCATAGCACCCGATGATCCAAGCCGACACCATAGAGCAATCATCCAATCCTGAAATCCCGGGAGAAAGACATAACGGTGGATCCGGGGTGTTGCCAGCATTGTCTGGGGTCGCATGCGGGGCCCCAGCTATTTGGAGGAGCATGGGGACTGGCCAAAACGAGTCAGGAGAGTAAGGATTGTCAGGCTAACACCCACCGTTTTCCCGGTGAAGTGCCTAGGTTTTCCACATCCGGGAGGGATTCTGGAGAAGACTCCCGCGCAAGAACCGGTTTTTTGGGCCCTGGGGAGAAGGGCAGAGACAATGCTATCCAACCACATAATATCTGTCCCTGATCGAGTACCAATCCCGTGGCATTACCGGAGAGCTCCGGTAACAGTACAAGATGACGTAGGAATGGAAAGTAGTTCCAGGACTTCACCAAGTCGCGATAAGTGACAATTCCAACGCCTGCTTTCAGCATTAGATCACGAGGGCAGCTTATGAGATGAGAAAGTTTTCAGACGTAACACACAGCATAAATCAAATGCTAGCTCTCAGATTCTTGTTGTTCTCCGCCAGGGTGTGTTTCTGTTCTCATCTAGGTACTGGGCTTGTGGTACCATAGTGTGCACGTGAGTGATTCTAGTAATTTGAGCTGTGGAGGTGCCCCGCGGGGATTTGTCCAACTTGGCCGAACGAGGCTCGATTGTCCCGGTGACTCTAGTATGGACGACATGAAAGAAAGATGGTGGCGCTGTCACTTTGCGTACCATGCAACCAAACTTGTCCGATATTGATCGAGGTTCATCCGAGTTCCTCGTGGCTTTGAGCGAAAAGGTGGTGGGTGGTTAGCATTTCCTGATTTGGCGGTGTGCAGTATTTGCATGTTTTCCGTTGTTGTTGCCCCTGAATCACATCCGAGCTGCGTATCAGCCGTACCAGTTCGATGCTCGAAGTTGATCAATAACATTCAATAAGTCGAAATCCTTCTAGGAGCCATGAAAAGATCTTTTGGATTGGGACTGCGTCTATTCATAATTAGGCTGCTACAGCAAAGAATATCATTTTACCTTTGAACGAGGCGATTGTCGCAGTTTTCAATTCGCAATTTGCATAAATGACGCAACAATCCCTAACCGAGGATCTGGTAAATCACTCGGCAGACTGGAGTCGCCGCCGCCGCCTCCACATGGCGGGCGTGGGCGCCTGACAGCCCCAAATTGGACCAGCTCGAATCTCGGAGCTGGCCTGTTTGCGGGGTTGACACCCTGCTAAATCTTCAGGACCGGAAACCGACCGAGACAATCTGTTACTCGCACCCGACAGTTCGGGCCGGATTTCTAAGTAGGGAACGAGGAGACGTATTCCCTAACCTAACAAGGAAATCTTTAGCATTCCAGCCATCGTGAGTATTTCGGGAAGAGGTTTCCATTGGAAAGTGATTGCTACTTGTAGCAATTCTCTGTGAGAACATGCCATTAATTCTTTCTAGACTGACGTCCTGATTGTCAATCTTGTCGCTAGACTTGAGTCACGTCTCATTTTCTGTTGGATCAAGACATTATCTGTGAACTGTGAACTGCGACGTCATACGACATTGTCAAGATGGCCGATAGTATCAGGTTACAAACTTTTCCCAGCAAGCCAAGGGTGTTCGTCCTCACGGACATCTCGAACGAACCTGATGATGCCGAATCTCTCGTCCGTTACCTCCTTTACTCGAATCAGTTTCAGACCGAAGGCCTCGTTGCCGTTTCATCAACTTGGATGAAAAACAAGGTTTGCCCTCAAGATATCCACAAGATCCTCGACGCCTATGCCGGAGCCGTCGATAACCTCAACAAACACACACACCCCGACTATCCATACCCGTCAGCCAATCGCCTTCGGACTCTGGTCAAGTCGGGCCCGCCTGTACGTTAAAGATTCGCAGCTACATTCGGCTAAAAGCAGTTCATCCCATTGAGTTTGATCATTGAACCAAGCTAACGTCTATCGAACAGATGTATGGATTTGCGGGCGTGGGTACCGATAAGCCTTTAACCGATGGCGCGCAGCTCCTCCTTGAGCGAATTAAGGCACCTATTGAAGACCCTCTTTGGGTTCTCGTCTGGGGTGGCACCAACGTCCTTGCTCAAGTCCTTTTGAGTATTCGCGACCAATGTTCTGCCGAAGAAGCGACCAAGCTGCGCGCGAAACTGAGAGTATACACCATCTCCGACCAAGACGATACCTCCGCCTGGATTCGTACCCAGTTCCCAGACGTATTCTACATCTCCTCCATTCACGGCTGGAACCAGTACGGCCTCGCTGCTTGGACAGGAATCTCGGGTGATAAATACTACGGCTTCGACCAGGGCGGTCCGGACTTTTCCAAGGTCTCCAAGCAATGGATCAAGGAGAACATTCAAATCGGACCTTTGGGCTCGGCTTATCCTGATTATCTTTTCATCCCCGAGGGTGACACCCCGACATTCCTTTACCTTATCCAAAACGGCCTTGGTGATCGCGAACATCCCGAGTACGGCTCATGGGGAGGTCGCTACGCCCTAACAGATGCTAGCGATGCTGGCCAGCAAGGGAAGCATTACAGTGACATGTCTGACTCTGTCATCGGCATTGACGGCAAGACGTACCGCTCTAACCAGGCCACTATTTGGCGATGGCGCAACACTTTCCAGAATGACTTTGCTGCCCGCATACAGTGGTCGCTCAACCCCAGTCTGGCGTCCACGAATCACCATCCAATTGTGATTGTCAATGGTTCTCGGAGCCAGAAGCCGCTGCAATTTGAGGCAGAAGCTGGCTCAACCATCGAATTAGACGCATCACAAACATATGATCCCGATGGAGATGACTTGACCTTCACATGGTGGCAGTATCGTGAGCCTAGCGCCACACAATGGCTGGTGCAATTTGAAGTCTCAGAACTCGGAATCGAGAAGCTGGATACTCAAGGGAAGAGGATCAAGGTTATGGTGCCAGAGCCGGAAAAGTCGTGTATGGATCTTATCAGTCGGACGCCTTTGGCCAAGGGCCAGTTGCTGCATCTGATCTTGGAGGTGACTGATAGCGGAACGCCTACTTTGACGAGTTACCGCCGGGTGTTGATTCAGTCTACGAATAAGGATCTGAGGGGAGGGAAACCACTAAAGGAAGGCGAAGAGTTGAACGCAATTGGTGACGCCATGAAAAATTACACTGATTAAGTAGTCTTGTTGTCGAGTCAACCCCCAAAACGGGTTCAATGGCTCCTGATCAAAAGACACTTATCGTTTTCCGACTTGGCAGCTTTGGATAGGTCCCATTCACTCTATATCCGTCGCAGTTTGCCCGTACTAATCAAAGAATTTGAATGCGCAATTTTCAGTAAAAACAAATCTCAACCCATCCTGCATTCAGATGTCTCATGGTTCTTTGGTAGAGTGTTGTAACAATTGCATGATGAACATATTTACTAGCACCCGTTTCGATTATGTTGTTAGCATCAGATGCACTTTCTGTTTTCTTTGACGACGGATAGCGCCAAATTTCTCGTAACTCTCTCCCATTCACTGCAGTCGTTTATGAGGTTCGGTCATCCTCGTGATGTATCAATATTGTTCCATAGTTTTTAGAGAACCGCCATGTCACCTTTGGCGATCGTGTCAGCGGAATATGAAAGTCTCAAAATGCGGTTTATTGTTTACCCATACCAATCGGTGAGCTGTCGTCGTTTTTCTCAATCAAATGGACGTCATGACCCTTTCTCCAACACTCGAGAGCAGTTAAGTAACCACCAAGACCTTCACCAATAACTGAGACTTTGATTCTAGTTGCCGGATTTCGAAGAACTCCATCAACAAGGACATTCTGATGAGAAGGGTTGGGAATCTCCCAGTTTGCGGGTGTCTCAGCAGTCGTGGTAGGCACTGTAGTGGTTTCAGTGACTCCTCAAAGTGATCTTAATGTTGTACGCGGGTTTGTCAACAAAAATCAACAACAACATAAGATAGGATTTAGGATTGGTATTAAAAAGGACCTTCCTGTTATAATATGATGTTCCAAAGGCAACTAAGCATAGCCCAACGGGCATACGGTTCGGCACTGTGGCGGGTTGCATGCTAAAGCGAGCCGGGTCCGCATCGCGAGCACAACATACTGTGCGCGTGATTAAACGACGTATAAGTAGAAAACTCTCATTGAATGACCTGGTCATTAGAAGGTCGTGCAATTGTCTTATGACTTCTCGACGGTTTGATAAGGCTAAGTTCGCAGTCTAAGTGTTGCAGTCAGACTTTCCTTTGACGACGAGCACAGTGAACGCACTCTACGAAGACGTGAGTTCGGACGAGTCAGTCAAATTGACATCACAATCTGCATCTAGCACACTCGGCAGACTTGATGTCCCTATAATGGGATTCGGTAGAGTTCTATACCACCCAATAGTAGTGAGAAATAGGCGTTGCTCTTGACAAAAAGGTGGCTACAGGAGAGGCATCAGTGCGAACCGTTTCAAGGACACGCATGATACCAGCGCCACCAGAACAAAAATCATGACGGAAGGGTTTGTGCCTCTGCTCTTCTAAAAATCAATACGTATACGTCTACTTTCCCCCGCAAGCAGCCTCTCCCAGCTCCAAATATCGATAGAGCCCCTCAGACATGGACAAAGCCGGGCCAACTGCACGTGAATCTTCAGAAACCTGACCCAGCCTAATTTGTCCAACAAGCTATTGCAGTTCCAAGACCGCAACCAGCATGACCATGTTTCCATGGTATCACATGTTGAAGGAGCTTAGAGTCAACGTTCCGTGTGTCTCGTCAGGTATTTTAGCAACACACCTTGGGCAAGATAATAAGTTCAACAAGAGAACTCGGACCTCGGATTCCCGTTTGACGTGAATTGATCAAAATCAAGTTTGAAGGACCAAAGTGTATAGATACAGGTAAGATTTGTGGGCCAGGAAGGAGCTAAGCCATGGTGAACAAAAAAAATGGTGTTGCACAAGCATGTTCAAACGAGGGTTCGGTCAGGTCAATGCTGCTTCACGCTCATTATGGAACTATCCAAGGATCGCAAGATGCAGCCAAAGAAATAGGATGAACAGTGACAAAAACATCCCCTTACACCCATGTCTAACTCTCAAAACCCACCACTTATTGCGAAGTCACTTCACAAGGCACGTCCCCTCCAATTTGAGGTCATCTGCTCGTGTCAATTTCTGACAGCCACTAATAAGCATCCGCCAAGGGGACGCTAGCGCAAATCGCGTTGCTTGTCACCGGACGTCACACTCCGGAGGGGAACCGAGGGTTTGATCCGACCGCTAACAGTTGCCAATTTGTGCAAGCGAGATCCGAAGAAGCAAATATGCTTAAATATGCAGCCTCCCTTCATCGGAATAAAGGAAAGACGCTCCGACCTGCTCAGTCGGGCATGGCGATACGGGCTAGACCTAGGGAGATGTGAAGGTCTCGCGGCTTGACGCATATATCGAAACCCTGGTACGCTACCACACAACCCCTGGACACGGGTGGCGTGCGTGACATTAAGTGCTCGAAGAAGCAATATCACGGATCATGAGGTACCGCTTAGCTGTGCCAGTTGATTCAAAAAATGAAATGTCACACCCCATTATATTATGACGATTCTTTCTCTTTCGGCACCGTTACGATATATATGTCGACACATCATCTATATCAAATATCATGACAATGCGCTTCCAAGCCCCCAGTCTACGTGAATCACAGACCTTTGACTTCCTGACACTGCAATCATGAAGATCTCCGCAATAATTCTCAGCCTTGCCGCCACTGTTTCTGGCCATGCCATCTTCCAAAAGCTCTCAGTCAACGGCGTTGACCAGGGCTCCCTAAAGGGAATTCGCGCTCCTTCAAGCAACAACCCAATTCAGAACGTCAACGATGGCGGTTTTGCCTGCAACAACAACATCCAACACAAAGACAGCAACGTCATCTCCGTCCCAGCAGGCGCGAAAGTTGGTGCTTGGTGGGGTCATGTAATTGGAGGTGCCCAAGGAGGCAACGACCCCGACCATCCCATCGCAGCAAGTCATAAGGGTAATGGACATGATCCCATCCGTATTCCAAGGTGATCAAAGCCATGGCTAACTTGATGTTTTTTTCCAGGACCTATCATCGTTTATCTTGCCAAAGTCGATAACGCTGCGAGCACTGGCACCTCCGGACTGAAGTGGTTCAAGGTCGCCGAGGCTGGCCTTAGTGGAAGTACGTGGGCCGTTGACACCATGATCTCCAACGGAGGATGGCATTATTTCACTCTACCATCCTGCGTTGCACCCGGCGACTACCTCTTGCGAGTCGAGCTTATTGCACTCCATGGTGCCTCGGTTCAAGGCGAGGCCCAGTTTTATATGGAATGCGCACAGTAAGTCCGGCCTATCAGAATCAGCATCTTCATACTCGAGAAACTAACATATCATAGGATTCGTGTAACTGGCTCTGGTAACAAAGTCGGCTCCGAATTCGTTAGCTTTCCTGGCGCCTACGCTGCATCTCACCCTGGTATTTTGGTCAGCATCTACGACAACACTGGCAAGCCCACCAACGGGGGCCGAGCCTACTCTATACCGGGCCCCGCCATCATCACTTGCTCCGGTGGCGGCAGTAACTTACCACCTCCTGCTTCAAACCCCTCTCCCTCAATCCCGCCACCTTCCAACAGCGGTGGTTCCACTGCGCCATTATACGGGCAATGTGGCGGGCAAGGGTGGGCTGGTGCTACAACCTGCGCGTCTGGTAGTTGCAAAGCCACCAACGAGTACTACAGCCAGTGTTTGCCATGAAGCCTCAGTCAAGAAACAGTTTTGGGGTTGATGGTGATGACAATAAGTCACAATCGTAGGGTTTCGTTGGTCGATGTGTGATACAGGCGGTCAGTAAGGTATAACACATGCGGCTTGGGAACTTCTTGTGCCCAGTTGAGAAAACGCTCTTTCCTCTGATCTTCTTTGTCGTAAGTCTATGTACGCCACGAAGCAATGGACACGTTTCCATTCAAGGGTTTGAATAACAATCACGAATTCAACCTTCTACGTAGGAAGATATGATACGTCCTTTTATGTATGATGGCAAGATGTTACAAACTCACTGTCTTAATTATGCTCGAATGATCTGAAACGCGATTCAATCCTTGAGTCGTTCCAGCCAACCAAGACCACTGCTAATGACTGCTCCAACTTTTGTGGAGCTAAGTGAATGGTCAGAAATCACGCAGTGGAACCAATCATGAGTAGTTGGAAAATTATAGATGACACGTAACCAAAGGTCGGTTAGCTCAGTTGGTTAGAGCGTGGTACTAATATATCATCAGATATATCGAGTAATGCCAAGGTCGGGAGTTCAAGCCTCCCACTGATCAATCCCTTTTGCTCCTGACGAGGATTGCAAATGTGTGTCCCAAGTCTCTAAAATACCAGATTTGACTGTCTGCAAGCAGAAGGGGATAATCTCAGCGCTGAGTTTCCACCCGAAATGGCGAAGGAAGTGGAGAGACATGGTAGTCGCCCCGCTGCTCGTCGGGTCCAACGGAGTCTCCTCCTTCGTGCGCAGGATTACCATCAGAGTAGTCTATGCATTCCCACTCCCATACTTAAGACTCATTGGGCTAATGTAGCTCGGCTCCCTGCTCTAGATGGTCCGGGTTGTTGATGTGCTTCGGCGCCGAACAATACTAAAATTGCTGACCTGAACCCACATTCCAACTGGCATTGGGTACCGGAACATTGAGTTACCACGGCGTCGTTCGTCTCAAAGAGCTCTATCATTAAACGCACGAGCCGGCTGCTGCTCAAAGTTAACCTCCACGGCCCATGAAATGCTCAGACATTCCTGAGACGATCGTAAGCGCTTTCGCCACGGCGACGGATGGCTGGGCTTTAATACTAGATTGGTAAGCCTCCCCGCAAATCTTTTGACAGCTGCAGCGACGAACATCAGCTAACGACAAACTAGGTATGCACGATGCTGTCATCAGGCCCTTGATACACCTTGATACACGGAGCGAGTTCAAAGCTTGTTCTTCCATCTTCCCCGTCTGAAAATCTGCAGTTTATCAAAGAGAGTGCCGCTTGTTGGGCCATCTCGTACGATCTTCCGTGGGTCTAGATTACCATTGGATGTGCACCCTCTAAAGGTCAGACATTGACATTTCCAGTCTTTAACTTGAGATTTAATCGAGCAGCTCACAACAAATCGAAGATGGAAATCGAAATCCCGGCGGTTCACCCAGCGGTCGCTGTAAAGGCCCCAAGAGAACCACTCATTATTATTGACGCTCCAACACATCTACCTGACGCCGGCGAGGTCATTGTAAAGGTGGAATGGACTTCTTCGACGCCTTACCATCTGCACCAAGCGGATGGTGGACTGCTGATCGACATGTTCCCTCGAATCCTTGGCGACACCTTCGCAGGCACAGTGCTACTAGTCGGTCCCGGTCCTCACCACGTTGATCTCAAAGTTGGGGACAAAGTTCTCGGTTATTCATTCCGGGACGACAAGGATGGCAAAGAAAAGGCGGCGCAAACCCTTATTACCGTTCCGACTTTTTTGCTCGGGAAGATGCCTAAAGGATTGACGATGCAGGAGGCGGTGACGGTCCCTGACAATATTGTCACAGTCTTCCAAGCTGCGGTCGTTGATCTCGGCCTGCCGCTGCCGTGGCCTATCCCGGAAGGATGGACGCCTCCGGAGGCCAATATGCCGATTTTGCTGTGGGGCGGGGCCGGAAGCGTTGGCATGTACTCCATTGAAGTATTCCGGCATTGGGGCTACAACAACCTGGCAGTTGTCGCCAGCGGGAAACACCATGAGTATCTCAAGTCACTTGGCGCGTCGGTTTGCTTCGACTACCACGACAAGCAAGTGGTGGAAAAGATCCAGAAGCACCTTGGTCCAAAAGGCATACCATATGTCATCGACTGCATTGGACACTTGTCAGGGTCACTAAAACCCATTACTCAGCTCGCTGGGCGAGGGACCAAGGTCGCGGTGATGCTGCCTGTGGTCATTAAAGATCCCACTGAGATCGAAGCTCCTGTTTATCAAATGACGGAGCCTGCTGAAGGCCAGTGGAAGGATGGCGTTATCGTGAAAGGCGTGAGGACACATTTCTATCTTGAGGTACGTTGGCAATCAGCCGTCAAGAATACACAAACTGTGTAATAATCGTCGCCTGCTAAGAAACAACCACAGAATCAACTGTTCAAAGACAAAATGCAATGCGAGATTATCCCGACATTGCTGGAGCAGAAAGTGGTCCGACCAAACCCACAGAGAATAGTGGAAGGAGAGACTTTGTTAGAGCGAGCGCAGGATGCTATTGTACTGTTGAGAAATAAGGCAGTGAGTGGTGGAAGGCTTGTATGGAGGGTGTCCGATCACGATACTCCCGTCTAGACCTTAGGTCTGGGCGTGACGGCTTCCTTCTTCCAAACTCCATATCAATTCAATAGTCTCATGCGTAGTGATGTGCACAAGTTTTAGTATGGAACCGTAATAGTAACATGTTTCTGACAGGAATTTCAAAAGCCCAAGCGAATTTAGACTCCAACCAGCTGACTAACGTACAGTGTTAACGGGGTGGGCAGAACCATATTCGAAGCTAAGTATAGCCAACGGATTAGCTCGGCTCAGCTGTTTAATGTAAGTGACCCGACCGATCGATGTGATTTCCCTGTTGTTTTCTCAGACCTCGGAAGTTGATGGCGCGGAACCCTTCCTCCACCGGAGTCTGCTTTCACTAGGTTCCGGTGGGGTAACGATGGCTACCCGGCTCGCCCGATTCAAGTCCCGCCTGCGGAGAAGAAACAGCATGCATTGACACCAGGTTTCCCTAGCCTACATTGTCAAAAGCTCTCTCCGGTGGAGCGCATCTGGGCCATGATGCTACGAATTGACGTCGCGCAAGAGTTGGTGGAAATCAGGCATCTCGCAAAGAAGCCATCCAACATTGTTCAAGAAGGGGAACTCGTTTTAGTAGAAAATTCGCTGCAAATCAAATTATTTCGCTTGCTAACGCAGTTCTAAGCTAGTTTCCGCCGCCAACACCACGTAATCTTGGCAACATTGGGTCGAGACACTTCACGCGAATCCTGTTATTCGCCCTGCTCAGCACTTATCTTACGCAAGAAAGCATGATTCGCTAGGAAGCAGGACATCTCATCTTCCAATACAACGGTGGGCAGGTATGGATTCAGCCGTGGGGTCTAGACACCTTTTGTATCCGAGCCACAAAGTCCCATATAATGCCGTCTGAAGCCTGGGCTCTTGATATACAACCACCAACTGTCGAATCTCAAATATCGATATTAGAAGATGACCCAGCGACTATAACAAACGGTAAAGCTATAGCTTTGATATCCAAACGCGGGAGGGTAAACATCCACAAGTCAAGCGATGGCACTATTATTCTCGAAGAATTCGCCCGAAACCGACGCGACTTGCTAGACGCCAAGTGTAGCGCAATCGAGATAGAAGCGCGCGAATACAAGGCCCTGCGGGGCGGTGAATATCATCTTACGATGCGCTTCGAGAGTCAGCGACCAGATGAGAAGATATACGGTATGGGCCAGTACCAGCAACCGTTCCTAGATCTCAAAGGGCTTGATCTCGAACTGGCACAGCGTAATTCATAAGCCAGCGTGCCGTTCGAGTTGACGTCTTTGGGTTACGGGCTCTTGTGGAATAATTCTGCAGTTGGACGCGTCGTTTTTGGAAAGAACACTACCGCATTTGATGCGTACTCTACCAACATCTTGGATCTTTGGGTGGTAGTCGGGGACGCGCCTCGCGAGATTCTACAGAGATACGCAAGCGTTACCGGGACCCCGCCGATGATGCCGTAGTATGCCCTGGGCTTCTAAGGAACTGCGTTGCCTAGTGACGAAGGAAACTGGACGGAGAATGAGCTCTTCCTCAAACAACTTTTGGATGACTTGAAAACCAATGATATGCTTGAAGGTCTTGTTTTTTGATATTTGGAACGAACCGGACCTCGACATATTCTGGTCTCGGTCATGAGAGTAATACTTGGAGTATCACGTACGGGTTCATCGAATCATCAGGTAAGAAGTTCGACAGCTGACATCTTTTACATGTTTTAATAACTACATCAAAGAGAGATGCTTCCCGAAGTCCTCATTATTGGCCCTTCGGCTGCCAATGTCCCTACTCTTGACTATGATAAATGAAAATCGTGGCTGTCCACTATCTCGGAGAAATACACCATCCCCGACGTCTACTCTTGGTACCAGATTGGAGACTGGCAAGGTGAGCCAGACAGAGTCATCCCTGACTATGATACGTTGCTTACCAGGTACAGTATCCCAGAAAGATCGATTGACATCAACGAGTACGCCTGGCCTTCCGAGCAGAACCCGGCTAACTCAGTCTTCTACCTGTCACAACTTAAGCGGCACAACCTACGCGGTCTTCGTGCCAGCTGGGCAGTAGTTTGGCTCCCCATGACTACATGGCTGACCTAGTCTTCAACAGTACGAATGACTGTTACAGCCCTAACGGAGATTGGTACCTATACAAGTACTATGCCCAGATGGTTGGTGAGCGAGTTGCCACCACAGCTTCAGGTAATTATGAATTTGATGATTTTACCGTTATTAACGAAAACAATCTGGATTGAGTCATCGTGGACTTCCCCTTAAAGGCACTATCGAAGTTCGTAGCCGCCGCTTCGACTGGGCCGGAACGAAAGCCGATGTTGGTGAGCCAGTCGACCAAGGTAGAGCTACGCTCAACTATTCGTCGGACACTGTAAGTACTGCATCGAAAACAAAACTTGAATTCATACATCAATGCCTTTCATCTGACGCTACCAATGCTGTCCGAAGTGTATAGCATTCAGTGTCCAGACGTTTGCATTCAATTAAGTCGTCGGGCCTAAGCATTGTTTTCTGGAGCTTTGTCAGTGCCGCGACGTATTCCGCTCCTTTTGAGATGGCATTAGCAAGCTTCATTGTGCCCGTACTGTTTGGTGGTGCTAATCTTGGTCTTCGACAGCTCACAATCTTTGTGGAACCACCGACGCAACAGCATTTGCTTTTGAGTTCGCTGGTGTGAATTAAAGGTCAGACTGATTGCTTAAGTCTGATGAGTATGTCGTATGGACTCTAGGTGGAACCAACGGCCTTTCGCATCAGCAGGGGTAGAAGCTCCTATTCATATCCTCATTAAGTCCACCAGGGCGGTAGTTTCAGATATGACCAAGGAGCACTGGACAGTTGTCCTACCATATTAGTTGCGGCAATTTTTTGATACTCTGCCGGTTTTGGTTTGGTTGGAATGTGCGACAGTCTCGCACTTCAGATTCAAGACTCATGATCAAGAAAGACTACGAGATATTTGGACATACACGCAACTCAAGAAGAGGGGAAACAACTAATATTGTCCTATTATGATTATTGGTTACTCTATTATTTTGGCTCAAACACGGCACATTCTTCCATCGTTGGCAACGCTCCACGACTCACTGCCGACAGCATTGCGAACGTAAAAGAAACCATTAGGGTCCCACTTGTTCTTGAGACACAACAAGGAGTTGTAGTTGCTGCCGAAGAAAGCCTCCTGGAAGTTGGGCTGCTGGAAGTCGGCCTCGTTCATATAAGCACCGCCATTGGGGGTGAGGGCCTCAATCTCCTTCATAACAACGTTGGTCATGAGGTCTTGGTTGGCGATCATCTCCTCCCAGGGGGCAGTGAAGTTCCAGACGGTGGTCAGGGTGGCGTGGACAATAGCGTTACGCCAAGCGGGGGTGACAGAGTTGGTCTCCTTGGTGCCGAACTTGCCCACGTCGGTTCCGACGCCGATAAAGGTGACGCCCTTTTCGGCAACACTACGAGAGAAAGAGCCGATGTTGGTGATGTTGTCGCGGGGAATGAGGCGGCCTCCGTATTGGGCAATGCCAACCTGGATATTGCCGATAGGCAAGGGGCCAAAGTACTGGTCGTAGTGGTTGTAGTAGCTTTCAAACTCGGAATATTTGACTGTGTACGTGATGCCGAGGCCATCGAGACGGGCGACGAAGGGAGCAAGAAGGGTTCTGACCTCGTCGGCGGTCTTGTTGTAGGCATTCAGAGGGGCGATCTGGAAGAAATCGGCACCGAAGTAGTAGACGACCATGGAGCCACCGTCAACCATACCGGCAAGCTCCTCATGGAAGGCATCAATAGCATCGAAGAAGGCAGTGTTGTTGTTTTGGGCAGCCATTATGACAAGAGTGGCACCACCGAACTTTGCATCAGGGTGAGCCTTAACGGTCATGGAGGTTACAACACCCCAGTTACCCGGGCCACCACCAGATAGAGCCCAAAACAAGTCGGCGTTCTCAGTCTTGGAAGCAGTGAGGAAGCTGCCGTTAGCAGTGACGACCTCCCACTCCAGAACGTTATCAGCGCTCAGACCGAAGCTGGTGGAAAGAGCGCTGTGACCACCACCCTGGGTGTAACCTCCAGCAATTCCAACCGTCGGGCACTCTCCACCCACAACAGCGAGACCAGCGTTGTGGGCGGCCTCCATGACTTCGAAGCCCTGGGTACCAGCGCCGACTTTCATGGCCTTGCCTTGGTAAGCGGCGGTGTTCCAGTCGACAACCTCGGTGCTGTTCATGTGGTGGGTCCAAACAGAGAGAGCTCCAGCACCGGTCGAGCGACCATTGTAGTCATGGCCAGTGTTACGGACGACAAAGCGGATGTTGTGCTCTTGCGCAAAAGCGATAGTGGCCTGGATGTGCTCGGGAGTCTTGGCATCAACGGCGTAGACGACATAATTGCCCAGCAAACAGGGACGAGACTCTGGCTGAAAGGGGTCGCAGCTTTGATTCGCGAAAAATGGAGCCATGACGGAGGAGGAGGACTCCATGCTACATGCTTGTTAACGGCCTGTCACACAGGTTTCTAAGCGCATTAACTTACTGGATCTCGGAATCCTGCCATTGGCTTTGCAGTGAAGTGCAGGTGGCCGCATCGTAGGTAGGGTCGTGACAAGGCGAGCCAAGCGGAACAGTAGCAATGAGGTTTCCGCCGACGGTGGTGTTGAGGGCCTCCCACTGCGCCGTGGCAGGCCAGCAGCTATCACCAGGGAAGCACTTGCAATCACTGGCGGCTGTGAGCGAGCGTTGGTTCGGGGCAGCAAGCGCCGCACCGACGAAGACCACTCCAAGGACAAAGCTCTTCATCTTGAGACTTGGCGTGGGTGGGGAGAGGGAGGGAAGAGACAGCGCGTATTGCGAGATAGAGATCGGCGCTCGGTAGACGGCTCAAGGCGCGGGGGGATGGAGGGGGAAAAGAGAGAAGAGAACGAGTTGCCGCTGAGCTACTTCATTAAACGAAAGTTCTACAAACGGCGGCCAAGTGCAGCAGTTTTAGTATGCTGCAGGACTGGGGACCCGACGTCCGGGACTACGGCATGGAGATCCATCACAAGGGGTTGAGGTTTCCCGACTGGGAGTTGGAGCCGAAATATGGCAATAGTACCTATAGAAAGCGGCTTCGCCCCCCTCGAACTAGTGGAAGCTAGACGCGTCTTACTGACTGCTGATGAATCAATCTCGACATGGTCCGAGGGGTACCCATAGGTAAAGAAGGAAATCTGGTCGATATTTATGCAGAGCTGTCTGAAGCTGATTTCCTTCTATGCTTCCTGCCAAGCGCGGGCTCGATGGTAGCGTAGAGTGAAAAGACAAGAATGACACGGTAGCAACCGAAACTCAGGGCATCCCGGCTGCTCCGGTCGGCCGGTTAGTGCTAGTCAGCACCGTACTGCTATCTCCGCTGACAGCTCGCTTTATCGTCGCATCCGGGCGCCTTATTGTGCCCATGCTCCGCAGGGCGACGAAGATCCGGGTTATGACGGTTCCGGCTTCATTACCTGGCTACGGCAGGGCCTGGGTGGCCAAGTTGTGCTCCACGCGAGTATCCTTCCAGAGTCTTGTTCAGCGGGCCCTCGAGGGTCTCGAAGATCAAAGGATGCGGTGATCTCGGCAGTAACCTAGACGGCCTCGGCTATGCCACCAAATCTGCAGAACATGTGTCGTTCCTTGCAGAGTGCACAACACTGGAAGGGTAGATTCTAGAGACCACCAACTTCTGAGTTATCGCAACTGCCCAACAGGTATGAACTGCCCATCACTGCGTAAGTACAGATCTAAATCTGCAGATTAGCGTGACTCCCTCCGCCTCCGGAGTTCTCCTCGGTATTTTTGCGAGGACTCATGGATAGTCTAGCGCAACCTGGTTCGAAAATTGGAGTTGCGGAGATTCTTCAGCAAAGCCTATTCCGACCCCTGTCGATAGGAAGGGCCGCTAGATCCTTGAAAAGAGGAAAATTGGGTAGCCCCTTCCAGCCTTCAGGAGAAATAACAAGGGCCTCGCGGCGGTCTAACCCAAACTTGCTATATCCCGATGGCACGTAATGCCTCCAGAACTCGGCAGGAACCGCATCGTACGAGGCAATGCGCAAATGGCAAGGGGTTGGGGTAACTACGCTGGAGAGTTTGATGAAGGGTTTTTTAGTCTGGCCAAATCTTAATTTGCACAGGATGTGAAGCTTGGACTTCGTTGCGCCGGCTCTGGTTGACTCCATGGGACGGGAGGACTGAAAGCTCATGGGTCCTTCCCCTGGGACCTTCGACCAAGACAAGAATCATGCTGCATCGAAACGCTCATCCAAACTGGATCTATATGAGATCATAAGTCCCTTATTATCGATTCTTTTGGGAAGAGTATAATCTTCTGGCTCTCAGAGTAGTTGAAATCATCGATGCTATCTGGCACTATTGGAAAGCGATTGGCGACATTTGTGCAAATCTGCATCTCACCATTATGTACGTGTGTGCACCTGTTTGCGGGCAGTACAGATCAGTCACCACAACTCATAAAAGGCACGGACGCCTTCGTCCCGTCCCGCCCAACGGTTTTCACGCTGGTGTGTGTGTGTGCGTGGCCCCCAACGTCCCCGGCATGAGACAGACAGTGAAAGACAGGTTGACCTTGGACCTGCAAAAAAAAAAATCAAAAAAAAATCGGGAAATTGTTCGATGTCAGGGTGTTCGAGTCACGACAATGGCCTTATTTCAGTGGCTCTCTATTGTGTAGGGTCGTATCGCTCTCCTCTTATCTCAAAAGGTGAAATGCTCGTACTGCACCCACCTGGTCGGAAAAGTGGGCAGTGTTGTGCGGATACCTCCGTACGGCCCTGGGGAACTCGAGAATGTCTTCGCTTGCACAGCTGCGCTCAAGCAGACACTCTCACCTGAAAAGCGGAATGGATGGTTGCTCATGACTTCGGGAACCTCTTTTCTATCGGTGGGGGGGAGACCGGGATACCGAGGCCCAACCGGCACATCAGACCCACGTGGTGATGGTGTGATACGACAACTCGGGCTGCCAATCGCTAGTTCATGGCTTCAACCAAAGTCGAAGGTCTCTTGGTGAATGGAACACATCAGTTTGAGTCAAAGCGTAGCACCGGACACATGTAAATACGGTTGAACATTGTTTTTATAGGAACCCTTTGTTTGCGCAGATGTCCTGCTAATACACATAGTATTCAGGATGGCACGTCAATACTAGGGTAGAGTCCGAATTTTTATCGCTCATGGTTGAGCGCCCGAAACGACGCATCTCGGACAAGGGTATGCTCGCATGCCATGCCGACTGTTGTTGGTACCTACACGGACCAGAGTCTGGTCTGCTTGGTTGACGGTCCACCACGATGATTACATCAACTAGAGTCCTAGACTCACAGTTGGACCGACAAGTAGTGAGAGCCCCTCCGCCGTCACAACTAAAAATGTGGCACTAGCCTTCAATGTGATGTATCACAATATCAAGGCCACTCAAGGATTTGGTCTCAAGTTTAGGTCAGCCTGCGGCTCATTTCTTTTATTCAAAGCCACTCACCTGTTGGACTCAAAACTCATGAATGATAGTTCAGGTCCCACCACATTGACGAATTTCTGCTGGCGGCAGGGAATCGATCACCAACAGCTATCTGACGACCACCATCCCTAGTAGTGCGCTAATTAGTGCCACCCACAACAGCCGTATGAGTACGTATGTGTATCGCACATAGTACAAACAAAGGGACCTGCAGGGCATGGAAGTAGCGGTCACGTCTTCTAGATCCCCGGGCGCGCTGTTGGCGCGGAAGATAGATGCAAAGTCACTGATCGCAACCCTATGTGTTTTGTAAGGTACAGGCCAGGGTTTATTTGCCTCGGAACGGACTCCTGAAATGCAACATCGGCACGCCGTCCGGTGGGGAGCCCATCCTCGTACGGAGTCGTACCCCGTATGCGTCCTCGCGGTTTCCACCCCCAAGAACTTTGCAAACGTGTGATGCGCGAGGTAGGAGGTGACATTACCTTGTAGAAGACCCGAGGGACAAGGCCGAACCTCACACATCTGGTCTAGAGGATCACACAAAGTTCATGCCTGCAGCCCGGCTTGGCCATTACTGCAGATATGATACCTTTGCATGCCCCGACAGGGAATGGCCTTCTGGCCCAGATACTCGGTACCGGAACAGAATTACCCTTCTTGCAAAGTTGGACTTATGCAGGAAGGACGTAGTGAAAGGGAGAAGACGGGCAGGTATTTCTACATTGATTTTCCCTCCGCTCTCCCTTCTTGGCCTAAAATCACTTAAAGAGAGGCTAGCTTGATGATGTTATCCACGATCTACTCCCCAGATAAAGCGGTCTAGAGCCAGTTGGCCCCGCCACTTCATCCACTCGCGCCTCTCCTTCCTCCTGCGCCGGCTTTTCGGCAACGCCCATCTCACCTCATCACGTTCTGTCGATAGGTCTGTTCGCAGACCTTCAGCCTTACGACTGATTTCAGTTTTACCGCACATCGTACTGGTCTTGAGGAGGCTATTCGCTTCGTCTGCCGAGATGAGTGAGCCGTGGACGTACAACTCTCCTCCGGGGACGGAGACCACGGGGCCACGGATTACCGCCATCGCGTTGGTCTTTTCGAGTCTGTCGTTCATCATAGTGTCCATGCGATTATATGTTCGTATGATCATGCTCAAGGCATTCGGTCCAGGTACGATGACAATTTCAACACATTGCAAGACAAAAAAGGGGACTGACTTGTGCATATAGATGATGTTGTCATCGTCGTAACATGGATTGCCGCTTGCGGTTTTGCAGTAGTCAGCACGATCCGTAAGACGCTCTTCCCTTCGAAGTTTCCCTAGATGCTGACAGCCACGGAAAGAAACGAAATGGGGCTTAGGACTCGAGAACGTTGTGGATATGCCAGCGCAGAACCTCTATACCTTTGGTTTGCTTCAATATGCCGGCGCGCCCTTGTAAGCACATGATGCTATCTCCAAGGTAGAGGAACGGCCATGCTAACACTGATCAAAGCTACATCACCAGCATTCTGGGCTTCAAAATCAGCTTGTTGCTTTCTTATCTCCGCTTCATTCCAAAAGGCATCTACCGATGGGCGACGCTCGCCACCATGGGTATGTGTATTGCGTACCACATCGCGTTTCTCGTGGTCCAATTGAACCTTTGCACACCGGTAAGTCTGGCCTTTGTTAGAATTACCTCAGCTGGCCGCTGACAACCTCAAGATCGCCAAGCAGTGGGACCCAACAATTACGAACGGATCTTGCATCCCAGGAGTCCCTTTTTACACGAGCATGGCCTCTTTAACGATTTTCTTCGACATTGTTGTGTGAGTCGCTTTACCGATGCGTCTACAGGCCCATTTGACTGACTCTGCAATTGCTTAGCATGCTTCTGCCCTTCCCAGTCCTCGCGAAATCGCAGATCCAAAAGCGCAAGAAATTTGTCCTCCTCGGTTGCTTCGGCCTTGGCGCCTTCATCACCGTCATCCAAATCATCCGAATCCAGACCGTCCACGCGCTCGCAAACTATCTCGACTCGGCGCCCCTCATCATGTGGTCCGCCATCGAGAACAACCTCGGTATAATCGTGTGCTGCATACCGACCCTTGCCCCCCTCGTCCAGTACTTCAATGAGAAGAGCAGATCGGGAAGCCGGAGTAACAAGTACGGTGGGGGGAGTGGGTATGGCCGGAGCGGCCAGAGCGGGAACGTGGGCAGCAGGTACGCGCTGCAGAGCTGGCGCCCAGGAATGAACGGAATGCAGCCGCTGAGCAGCGGCACTGATCGCAACGACGGCGTGCAAAACTCGAGGGTGGGAAAAGGGTCGGACGATGAGAGTGCGGATTACCATCTTGATGCGCCGATTATTATGAAGAAGACGGAGTTTGTGGTGACGAGCGATCCGAGGGAACCGGGCATGGCTATCTAAGGGAAACGGATTAAACTTAATTGATTAACTTATATCTAGCTCTATAAGTAGTAGTAATAGTTAAGGCGGACGAGTAACACAGGCAGTGCAGGCAATTTACGTCCTCAGGTCGTGAGCCTGTTTCCTCGACTCATAGACTTTTGCCAGGGCTTTGCCACTAGTTTCCTACAAATTTCCTACAGACTTCACCGTTCGGCATACTCCAATACGCGGTGGAGGTTAACTAAGTCGATAATCAAGGCTGCCGACAGCTACGTCCTTGTGTTCCTGGTTACGCATGGCTTGTCGGAACTATCCGAGCTCTTCGATATATTATAGGCGTTTGATTGGATTCAATGTTGACAGTATCGGTGTACAGCCATTTGATTACAGTGTGAATACTCTCGTGATTGACGTTCTGTGTTGCAGGGGCATCGACTTAATTCTTCAGATCACCATAAGCATCTCCTTATCTCTCCAAACCAGTGGTGCGTTCAATCATACACGGTAGTTATGAGTTGGTGGTCGCCGCTCGGCGCATATGCCCGTACTCTTTCCGTCACCAATCTTGATGAGACGAGGACAAGAAAAAGTTTCATAAGAAACTTCCTCCAAATCAATACAGGAAATTGAAGAGTGATAACAAAAGAATAAGATTCTGTGTGTTATTGTTCGTTGCTAATACCGGGAGTCAAATACAGCAAAGAACGGCAAAGTGGCTCTGGAGAGGGTATCCAAAGGGGCATAAGCGATTATCTTCGTTGAAATGCAGTTTAACTTACATTCGTGAATCGGGGTCAAGCAAGTAAGCAGATTACTACTGACAGCTTCTTGTATGCTTGAGAGTTTGGCAACTCGAGAGCACCAGCAGACTGGCCCGTGTCTAGCTTCCATTCAAATCGAGGCGGTACTAGTTTTGTAACGAAATACATGCCTGGGTTTTGGTAAGAATGGTTACCACGCAGGCACGGTGACCTGCAATTGTTTGATACATCCCCAGAGAGTAATCCTTGGAGAACGGAGGACATCCGATCAACCATGAGTGGGGAGTAAAATGAAGAGCATCGTTACAGAACATTGGCGGTGGGGATACCAAGGCTAAAGTTAACAGAGAGTTTTCTGGGTCTAGAGCAACAGAGAACAGTCGCGGAAACAACGGCACAATACACTCCCAAAGAAAACAGCAAAGAAGTCCGCAGCGTCACAATCTGCAGCCCTGGTAAGTTGAGAAGCAATTCAGTCAAGTCCATTCTACAAGCTCGTACCCTTGCTTTGTTCTCAATGATACACTAGGTCTCACTCAGTATGAGAGCGGATTAAGTCTGACGACCCTATCAATCACTATAAGCCATCGCCGTCGTTTTCGTCATTGTCATCCAGCTTCGTTGTCGTCCCCTATTCCCGATTTTCCAGAATTCCGTAAAACCCGTATACACGCAAGAAACCTCCTAGATAGAGTGACCGTGGGATTTATCAGCAGAGGGGCCAGGTTCCTCTCTCTTAACGTAAGCACTGTCCTGTTTCCCCTCTCTATAGTTTGAACCGAAGTCATCGGCGCCGTCTAGCTTTCCCCGTTCTCCATTGTGGTATCCGTCGTAGCCTTCAGACTCTGGGCGAATAAAAAGGCCGGAAGAGCTGGATGCCACCGAGTCACGGCGAGACCGAATGACTTCACGTCCCATGCTGGCACGCTGGCCGTAGCTGCGGCTGGTGGCTTTCTGGACGCGGCCACCCTGAGTGTGGCGAAGGACGCCCATGCCGTCCTTCATGAGCTCTTTTATCTCACGGATCTTCTTCCGGATCTCGTGGCTCTTGTGATTATTCTGCATGGCGTCCGCGAAGGATTCAAGATTTGCGATGGTCTCGCTGTAGATGGTGGCACCGGCACGGACGTCTTGGAATTCCTCGTCTTCGTAGAGGGCGTGCTGGGCGCTGATGTTGTTGCCCCAACTGAGCATGTTGGAGTTCTGGTGGACAACGAGGTGACGGAAGATCTCGGTTGGATACTTTCCACCGTTGAGGGCGATAGCAGTGAGAACATCGCGCTGAGTGAGGGTCTGACCCTTAGAGACCTTGTCAAGGACGCGGCGATAGAGAGTGTGGTCGGTTACGTTCTCGCGCCAGAAGCTAGTCTCGATATCCTCAAGAATGATCTCAAGGAGCTGAGAGTCAATCTTGGTGATAAGGGTCTTGATGAAGTTGCGGGCCCCATTGAGGGCATCGTGGTACCACTCGTGATTAGCCTCGAGAACGGCTTTCTCGACCCAAGCCTCGGTGTGACAACGGATGAAAAGGTCTTTAAGGACGCGGTTGTACTCGCCGTCATAGTTGACGGGGACTATGGCCTCGAGGGCGAGGAAGTCGACGAGGTCTGGGCGGCGCTCTCGCTCGGGGAGATTCTTGTCCTTGAGGGAATTGCAGAGCGACTGGTAGATGGTATTGTCCGAGATGCAACGGCGGAAGGCGTTGGCATCAATCCGAGACTCGATCCGGCCCAAGAGGGCGGGAGTGTAGGTAGCCGCTTCGCGGATGTGATTCTTGGCCTCCTGAACGCGTCGAATGCGCTCCTCAGGGGTAATAACTGTCGTGCCGCGGTCGCGACGGTTGGACATATTGATGGAACCGCTATGGGTGATGAGAGACGCGCCAGCAAGCTTGTTGAACAATGCTCCCTTGTGCTCGTCCAGACTCGCTATAATTTGATGAGACGCGCCGAAAAACTAGGCAATTGATATGTCATACCTGAGTATTGATCGGCCACTTGGAGGTAGCTCACAGGACCTCGGGATCTTTGAGTCTCGGAGGCTTTGAGTCTCGGAGACCTTGATTCTGGAGACTTTGTGCAGTTGCCCCTTCGTTATGGTGTTTAGGATTTCTGCTGCGCACGGAAATAATCAAGGGCACACACCAAGGAAGCCACAGAAAGAAAGTATGAAGGTGAAGGACAATAGGGGAAGTACAGAAATATGAGAAAAGAAGGTCGGTGGGGGTGAGGGCGAGAGTAAGTAACTGAAGATAGAAGGGAGCGTAGAGGGTGAAAAGGGCGAGGGTGAATGTGAAGCAAAATACCAGTCAGATTCTGCAGAGGGAAGGTGCGTCCTGACTGAGGCCCCCAAGTGAGCCAGAGCCCACCGCAAAATAACCACAAATATCGATGTTTCTAGTTGACTGTGGATGATCAGAACTGCCGAGATGCAATCAAGATGTGTGTGGAAGGAAAAAAGAGCAGTCGTCGGACTTCCTTGAATTGCTAACGGTGATGCTGTGAGGAAACATTGAGGCGGAGACTCAACGGCGATATACTTGTTGGCAGGCTCCGTTTATTGTATCCGAGTAAAGTGTTCACTAGTTCCTTCTTCGTCGTCCTTGAATCGCTCTCTCTGTCGGTTCTCCTCGGCGTCTTGAATACCTCTTGTCGAGACGGACTGAAGAAACGATAGGGGTGAACAGGCTTAAACACCATCTTTAATTGAGAACAAGCAACATCACGAGGCGGAAGCAAGTGAGACCCTTTTTCTTTCCGTATTAGTGAAATGGGCAATGCAGAGATTCTGCGTCACTCTTCGGATGTCCCAAATCGCCAAAGCGACTTTTAGACATCTATGCTGTATTCATTAAGACGCAATAGGCAAGTAAAAGTCATTGTATAATGGACATCAATTATTCTAACTGGAAAATATTGTTCGACTTAGCATTTTTCAATTTCCTATGCAATGAGGCAAGTGGTTGCCACCCAGCCTGTGATCCATGGTGTGCTCATGTATGTCATCAAGTCGTCATCTCGTAAGCCATTTCCCCTTAACAAAAGATACACTTGCTTCAACAATCCAAAAAAAAGTTTCCTTAACGAAAAAGATGACAATGCAAGAAATCCAGTTTGCAGTACATGAAGATCGCGACAACGAACAATGACCCGAGCTCAAGCTGCCAAAGGGCTGATGCCGAGTACTTTCATACCGTTCTCAAACACCTGTCTCGCATTCTCATACAGCACGGCTCTTGCGAGGTCAAGCTTTGGGTCCTCGGTCGTTTCTTCCTCCTCTTCCTCATCTTCTCCTTCGTCGTCATCGAGGCACATGACAACCTGCTCAGCCAGCCGATACAGGAATGTCAGCACAGCAGACGGCTCAAGTGTCTTGTACGCGGCGTTGGCAACGTCAGGATACTGTGCCATGAGCCGAAGAAGGTTTGTGTACTCCTCGTCCTCCAAGTGAGAGTAATCGACCTCCTCGAGATTGGTGGGATCAACCCCGAGCTGCTTGATGGTCAAACAAAGACGGGTGTAATGTAGCTGCAGCGCAGCCCCGGTCTCGCCTTCGAACTCTGTCATCTTTTTGCTATCAAAAGCGTAACCGTTGCTGCGCTTCGTATGCATGTCTTGCGCAATGAGCGAGGTGATGCCGAAAGGCTCGGCGGCGGCAAGAGGCGCTCCAGAGTTCTGTTCTGTGGACATGGCGTCTTTGACCGCGTTGGCACACTGGTTCAACATGTCTCCCAAAAGATGCGCGTTTCCAAGCTGAGACGACAGGCCTTGGACTTTGCCAAAGTTGACATGCTGAATCTTCTTGGCCAGGTCGTCGCGCCCCATCAGCTCGAGTGCTTTGATCACACCGCGAAAGTGAGAATCCTGCTCGGCGTTGACGACGTAGATCATCTTGTCGAAAGCGTACTTCTTCTCTCGATCTATAATTGCAGCGAGATCTCGGGAGAAGTACATGGTAGTGCCGGTGCGATTTCGAATCATGCCCGTGCCGAGACCCTTGGCGCCGTGCTTCTTGAAATCGATCAGCCAAGACCCGTCGCTTTCTTCCGAGATTCCTTTGTCTTTGAGCAGAGACTCGACCTCTGCGATGGACTCTGAGGTAACTTGGGACTCGCCAGTATATTCGTCAAACTTGATGCCGAGACGGGCATATGCCTTTGTGTAATCTTCGACATAGACGTCGCGGAACCTCGTTGTGAGGGCCACTGCATCGGCGTCACCCTCCTCCATGCACTTGAAGAAGGCGTCACGCTCCGCGTAAATTCCCTGAGACTCAATCTCTGCTGTGTTTCTCCCCTCGTCTTTGGCCTTAAGGCTCGCCTCTTGCTCCGGCTTGAATAGTTCGTTGATCTGATTATGGATGTCAAGGAGATGGCGGATAGGATCTTTGCTAAACTCCTCCTCAGACCCAAACTTATTCCAACCAACGGCAAGAAGGGCAATGTTTTTGCCCCAGTCGCCAAGGAAGTTCAGTCTGACGACGTCCCATCCCATGCTCTCGTGAAGATTGGCGATCGAGGCGCCATTAATGGTGCTGCGAAGGTGTCTGCCTTCGAATTCGGCTGCGATGTTGGGCGAGGAGAATTCGACGACAACCTTCTTGCGTCCAAGGTCTGGGGATGCAGTGTCTTTTAGACCATGAGAATCGTCTGCACCATATAGCTCTTTACGATCGGCAATGAAAGGTATTATGAGTCTTGGGAGGAAAAACGGGTGAGAGAAGATGCGGATGTGGACCCCGTCGACGAAAGGGAAGGTGTAAAGCGGCGAGTTAGGAAACTGTATTTTGTTCCATCAGCTTCCTTGGCCATGTTGTTTTGACTAATATTTCTCATACCTTTGCAAGTAGCTCAGCTGCAGCATCTCCTTTGCCCTTGATCTTGAGACGAGGGAGGATGACAGCAAGGTCGCCCATAGAGATGGCAGCCGTTGACTGAATGGCCTCGTATGCAACCGCAGGGTCGCATTCTGCAATCTCAGCCACAATCTGGGCTATGTAAGATCGGAAGATATCAAGCGGGCGTACCAGCACCTCGGCAACGGGGAAAGAGGGAAGAGGAGTATCGAGGCTGAGCTTCTCGAGCGAAGACTGAAGACCACTAATTGAAAGAGTCGCCATGACGGTTGATTCAAGCTGACAAGCCTTGTGCACAGCTTATCTTACATTGTAGAGAGAAGAGAGAAAGGAAATCTCATCACAAACGACAAGGGACACCGGACTCCTTCTTCAACGGAGACTAAGTTCAACGGGTTGGGTGGTGTGGTCGGGCATGAAGGTTGTGCTGCGAGCTTGACGCGTCATGACAAGATTGGACTCGCCTGCAGCTCGTACATCGGGTCTCTCCCCGTTGTCAAATCAGGTGCGTGGTGTTTTGGGTACTGTCTTCTCCTGCTTGGGTTGACATGCTGGGCTGCGCTGATAGGTCGCCTTGTTTTCCATTCGCCTGTAACCCTGGTACCCTGGTATTGGGTTTCTTCACCACCACCCAACGGCTAAGCCCGAGATAAGCTTGTCCAAATTGGATCACCGAGCTTGCCAAGACATAAGCAGCGGATGCCTTCCTGACACGTGGCGAGGCGATTTGTGCTTGGTCTTGCACATGTCTAGCCGTCAACAGGTTCGTTAAACAGTCTGGTAAGCTCGTTGCAAAATTTGCACCCTCAACGAGCTAGACGCTCGGCTCTCGAAACTGTGTTCCAAAGACTGGAAGCGATAGCCACACACTGACAGCACTTCTGAACATGCGAAGGCACCGCTGAGCCGAAGTGGGTGCGTAGACAACCATTTTGACAAGATATTTCCAATGGGTGGTAAAAAGGTGAAGCGATCTCCAGAAGAGGATGATTAAGCGAAGTGTTGTCGGTTGGACCATCGCAGCTGGAGGAGGTTTGGTATTGACAAGCTCGAGTGGCTCTCGCGAATTCTGGGAAGTCCTAGCACCATTTGATTGTCGCAGTCTCTCTGAGATATTTTCATGAATACTCAGCAAATTGTGTTTCGACGTGTAGCCAGTTGAGGTTCTGGATTCACGGAAGCTACAATCCGAGAATCTCTCAGAGAGATGTCAGTTGCTCTAGCCGTCGTGGGTTCCGTGGTTTGGCGCTTCAACGAGCTTCCGCCGTCACCGAACAAGCGGATTCGAATCACAACGATCAAGCTCATTAGTCCCGCCATTATCACGACAGAGCAGAGAAAGTAGTACCAAGTCCGTGGAAATGGGATAATACCATCACAGCTGAATATGGCGGCAGTATTGACGAGCGGTTGAGATACCTAGTCACACGTTAATCGATGCGCACAGTCAACGAGACATGGGGATCACTTACGATTGCTGTGCACGATAAAATTTTGATCTCCAAAGATTGACGAGGAGTGGCAGGTTGAGAAACTGGATAGCTTCTATTCATCTTCATTTGTGACACAATCTGTTTCCAAGTATCAGCCATAGGTGGTCCTATGAGAAGTTTTGGCTCACGTCCAAACTAGCAGCTGCAAGTGTAGCTTACATCTTCCTTCGCAAAGGCCCCGCGCTTCAGCATTTGTTCACAGTCATCTCGTAAGTCAGAGAACCTTTTGAGCTGCTGTGCAATGTCGTGAAAGGTCTGCCGAATGTGTGACAGATGAGGGATACACTCCGCAGCATCTCCAGGGTGATCATCACGATGTAAAAAATAATTTACATCGGTTTCCATGAAACGCTCACCGCTCCTAAGTGTTTCTTCTAGGTCATGCACATGGTCTCTCAACAGAAACACGGCTTCACGAACGCCGTGCTCGAACCGGTGGATTCTTTGCTGCTCATCATGCCAGGCTGGCAAATGCTGAGTGCAAATCATTTCTTGGATGTGAGCAAGGAGGTCCTCATGATGCTTGGACTGGGCCAAGGGGTCAGCCGATTTTAGACGATAGCGGTCTGTTTTGGTGGGGGGTTCTTACGGCAGCTTTGATTCTCTTGTGGAGATGCGAGTGCACCCCATCCCATTCCTTGTAGGCTTGCTCCAGGCGGACTCCAAGAGCATGGATAAAATAGGACCGAGGTGACCAGAGAGATCTTGTTATGTCGCCTCTCCCCCGGCAAAGTGGATCAGGTATCAACATACAGTCGCCATCTTGGTAATCATTTTCGTACCGCGTCACTGTATCTGGAGAGGGGTCATCAAGATTGTCTTCAAACCAAGCTTCAGCCACACCGACTCCCGTCCATCGGAATTGGTCGTAGCCCGTTACTATGAGACTCAAATGGCTTGAATAGATCATATCTCGGGTGCATCTCTCTGACTTGGCGTTGGCGAGATCCCTTAAGAAAGTGATATCCGTTGACTGTCGTAGTGGTTCTTGGTCGGATTTCTTTATCCGAGGATCTCTCTTTGGTTTATTGGTCGACCGAAAGGCTCTGATTGGTAAGCTGAATCGAAGTGTGAAGGTCTCCGGTCCTTCCGTCTAGTTGATAAATCAGAAAACCGTAAGCTATTTTTGCTTGTTTACCGGTGGCTATTTGCTTACTGCGAACGAGACTCCGATTTTGCAGTTGGAGCGGATGTAGTCGAGTATAAACTCTGTCAATGGCCGATGAAGTGATTCTGGTGCAGTGCCAATGAGAGCCAAAATACTCCAGGAATCGAGTGTGTCAACGTAACTAAAGACATATTAGTTGAATGTTTGCCGAAACACAGTATTGCAAATCACATCAACCGCCGCTCGGCTTCAATGAACTTATCGTCCGTCACATCCGTATCCTCCAAGTATCGCTTGATAACGTTAGATTTCATCGGTCAGATGGTAGGATTATGATGAGTAACTAACCTTTTTTGATAACTCCTCTAATAGCCCTTTTGCTGATATCCCTCCAAGGAAGCTCCTGAATCGTCGTTTGCCTCCGATATTGTTACCGTCAATGAGCAAAGCCACTCGATCCGTCGGGACAGCTTCTCCTCCATCCTGTAGTTTTCGTAGCGTTGCTCCGCAAAAGATGTCAAGAAAGGATTCGATCCGAAAGTTGTCTGGGGCCCAGTTCTCTTCGGTCCTCAGAGAGTGAATCAAGTCTTCGTCGTCGGGGTCTTCCAAAGCTGAGGCAGTCTCTCGTACTCGTAGTGTAGCCTTGATGAAAGGAGTATTTTCCCATAGCGGCGTGATTGTTTCCCTAACGAAGAACCGCTCTGGCCATGTAAATGCTCCTACATGTACACTCTTCTTCACAGTCTTCAATCTCGGCAGCTCCGTTGGGACAATCAATCCTGGGGGGGTGATCATCCTTCAGCGTGATGGCACAACGCTGGAAGCTGTGCCTCGACAGTTTGTAGCGTTTATTGACTCCAACGCCTCGCAATTATTCTCGTGTCTTCAGCACACTTCAAGCTGGGCCACCAAAAACTCGCTGTCCAGGGATAGTTCCTTGCCCCGCAACTCTTTTGATTGATCTGAGCGAAGGTTCGCCCTCGGTCCGAGTTCCAAAAACGTACAGGAAGAGTGTTTATTTCCGTTCGTTACAGTATCCGATATCCGATTGACCATAAGGATACTCCGTTCCGTCGAGGCCCGTTGTTCAATATCGAGAGTTTCGAAATCGATTTTGTCTACCACCGGTAAAGTCAAGTCCAATCTAAAACCAAGAGCAACATATATCCTTCGCGCCGTGTTATTGTCGTGTATGGCTGTGTTGGCAGAGATCAGGTCGGTCGTGTAGGTGTTGGCGGACTTGAAGCTTATCTACACGACAGCGGGCGCAGCGTCCGTAGCCGCAGTTGATACACGCTTCGTTGGAGATGCTCATGCCACCTTGACCACAGTAACACTAAGAATATCATTAGCAATGAGATACGCGATAGGCGGGCAGAGATTTAGTATCTTGAGATCCGCCTATCTACCTATGGAGGATACGCACACAGGTCCACCTAAAGGTATACTTCTTCCGTGGGGGCTAGATAGAGCTCGGGTCGTCAGTGGCTGAGAGATATAATTCCAGGAGTAATATAGAGAAGCAGTGATTGCAAAGACAAAGGAAGAAGTACCATTGTTCCAGGAAGCTGGAACAGATGACGACGACGTGCTTCTCTTAAGATTCGTTTCCTGCAGCCTGCTAGCCTTTCCTCGTCACGTCTCAACCCACCAGCGCACCCTTGTTGGCAGCTAGCATGCAGCGGGACCGTATGGGAAGGAGCGAGTTGTCACGCGGTCACGCTCGCAGGCGATATCTGAGGCGAGCGCGAGATGTTGGCGTCGGGTTTCGAGAGGGTGGTGTGGGAAGCTGTTGTGTGGATTGGCTGGATTACCCCCCCTGGGCGCTCAATTGAACTTCGAAAAGTGCCAATTGGGCTTAGAAAGATCTGTTAAACCCGAAATAGGAGCTTTGAGGGGCTCAGATCTTCTTGAAGTTGCAGGGCGTATGGCAAAACACGCCAGTATTTGATCCCTTGAGTGACCGCTACATTGCATGCTCAATGGAAAAGAGTCCGGAGATCTACCCCAACAGAAAGACCGACGACGGTCACCTGACCGTCGGCCTGTCATAATAGGGGTAGTAATTAAAAGTCCCCTGTCTTAAACAAGCTCAAGAAAAATACTAGCGTTCACTCAGCCATCTGTAATTAATACTGGTCTGCAAGGAACGCGACCAAGAAAGAATGAACTCATCTATGGAAACCGCGATCGGGGTACGCATTCGTGTGGTGTCTCTTCAGGCGCAGCTACTGCTCAGCAAAAACAGCGGCTAAGCCCTGGGTGACGGGCTCAAAGGGGCTGGCATACCGAGGCGGTCATCCCAGAAACAAAGTTGTGTGTGCATGGGGGAAAGGACGCTTGCATCTCTTACGTTGTGCAAGGGAAAGCGGGAACTACCTGAGACGACAAATCCTTAGTAGCAATATTTATCACTTATCTAATCAGTGATCATGTGATATGTATCTCGCAGCGCGTAATGAGAAGGCGACGGCCCCGCTCCCTCCCTACCAGCCGCCTGGAAGATGCCATCCTTCTCTCCATGGCCGTTACATCGTGCAACTGGTTCTGACGACATTCGTCCCACCCTTCGCACTTGCAAGACACGAATCTTGCTCACGGAGAGACTGATGATGGTTACCAAATAAGTGTCGTTGTGCTGGTCGACACCAGCTTCGCGCCTTATCTACATTGCAACATGAAGGGTTCGCCCGGCGGCGTGGCACCAATGGAGGCATCTGCTTTTGGTGTCTTGTCCCCCCTCCCAGCTACTCAACCAAGAGAGTGGACGGTGTGTAATAAAAACCCTTTGGCTTGTCTATCATTCTGTGATGATATGCGATGCAGCCCAATGCTGCACGTGGAGTAGTAGGCCTCTCGAAGTTGCATTCACACTGTCTTAGCTCGGCTGCCTTTCGGTTGCCTTATATCACAGCCCTCTTCTTTTCTCCTTGCGACAACCCAATCTTACCCGCGCCACCACTCTGGATGCAGCCGTGATACTTGGTCTTATCGTTTACGTATCCGTCTACAACCACTCATGTTTGGCGAGCTATCCGTCGGCAACACGACGTACAGCTTTTTCGATGCAGGTTGCATTATGGGAGCAACGTTACTCACAGTGTAGCATGCTCTCGCTTCGGTATCTCAGGGAAATAGGATTGCTCCGACATCGGGAATTACTTGAGGCTGTGTAAGGAGACGACGAGTCACAACACCACCAAATTGATCACGATCGAGGGAAGACACCGTGCAATTGACCTCATTGGAATGACGATCTCAACTCCCAAGAGACACGTTTTTCCTTCACCGAAATCTCCCTCCCGCTTGGGGTTGGGCATCACCGCACACGCAACTCTTTGCCAACAAGGCGGCCGTGGACCAAGGACCAGTGGTAGAACAACCCGCGCCCATGTGACCGACTCGAGCGACGATGTACCTATGAAGGCTGTCGTGTGGGGGGTCTCGGGTACCCAAACGACCTTCAAGGCTCAGTGGGAGTCTTACATCCATTAGAATCCTGCCTTTTGTCCGGACCAACTACGATGCCCCATGACTGGCTTCTCTTCGGCGTCAACTCAACACCTGACCGGGATGACGACGTTGAAGACTTGAGTCCACTGGTTCTGTCGGGCTTACGAAGTCTATTCTTTTCCCCTCCCTTTCCGGGGGGCGTTCTGGTGACTTTTCAGCTCCTAGGGTACATGGTGCATAGGGGGGAGCCTACGAAGCACGCCCCTGTTCGGCCCGTCATACGACATCAAGATGTCTGCTTATCCAGGACAAGCAACGTGCAGAACGGAAATTACCTCCATGACCTACAGGCCGTATGTCATGTTGGAAGCCGATAGTTGCCTGGTCACTCTACTTTTTATCCACTAGCAATTGTGGCATGTTTTCTCTTGCCGTTTTTTCGGTTAATGAAATACTGAAATACTCTGAACTACAGACCAGGCTGAGTCACAAGCTGGTTCCTCGCTTAAGCCACGTGTTTTAAACCGCTCGATCTTGGCCGAGGAATTTCCACGGCCCGCCCTGCTAAATGTACTGAACAAGACGTTGATGTGTGCCTACGCGCGATGCCTATTGTTCGTAGCACCAAGTTTTGAGACTGCGGCATTGTGCCACTTAGCCGGAGCCTGAGTGTTCGGATGGTTAATGGTCTGGCTGGTCTTGTGGTAACCAGGACTTGATGCATCATGGCCACCGGCTAGTACCAAGGAGACTTGGGTAGTGCATGCTACCTAATTCCGGTAGCGGCCAGCTCATGATGAGTAGCGGAACCCTGCCTAGTTGCTGCGACCGCACTTTGAGTCACGTTGAGAGGAACAATCTTGTGTTTTCATGTTTTTTCAATGCTTGTTGCCGATACATCGTTTAGCTACCTTCACGGTGCTTGTACTGGAATATGAGTGTGGCTTTAATGTACATGCTTGCGGCTATTATCCTCCGGGAACCCGAGCCTCACACTTGTCATAATACAAGAGTGACGCAAGCAAGTCGTTAGCCGTCTGTTTCTAGTACCGGCGGCAGTGATGGAAGTGATTGCAGTGGTACAGGGTCATGTCTTGCTTCGGGTTGCTTAGCATTCAACTGGTTTTGTAACCGGTTCCGGTGGGCCAGTACAGCTTGATTGTCTTCTTCGCTCGCACGAAAGCCGATGGTACTTGCAAAAGACTTTGGATCCTGAGCAGCAACTCCAAGCTTGTCGGACGCGTCACCGTCGTCCGTGTTGGGGCACCTGCTTGCTTCCTGCTGCGTTTGCAATCCTGCCGAAGCCGCGAATACCTTCTGAGTTCGCCCCCAGCGGTTGCTTACTAGCATCAAAAGTCCCTGTATCAAAGATAAAACCAAAGTTAGAGCGAGGTAGGTAAGCACAAAATTCTGCCAAGTTCGTTTGCAAGTGATGATTCCGTCGCAGCTGTAAATCCCGCCAGTAATTATCAATGGGCCGGTCAACTGTTGGGTATTGATAGTCAGAATCTTGCACAGATAATATGTTCTCAGTGTTCCAAGTTCTTACTCTTGCCATCCATGTGTTTACCCGGGCGTCGTTGGGTGTTGGAAGAAAAACAGTTACATGAACAGGTGGAACGTTGTGCGTGACGGCTGTTGAACTGATCGTACTGATTTGCAGACGAAGGGTGTACTGATGGGAAATTAGCTGATGTATCCAACCACAAGACACCTCGAATTCCGGTTAGAAGCTGTAGTTACATACCCTTTTACGTGCTCTATACGAGTCCTCAAGCATCTCTTTGCAGGTTGTCTGCATAATGCCGATTCTCGGATGCAGCTGGTGCAGCTCTACCAAGGTTTTGCGGACTTGTGTCAAGTGAGGGAAACAAGCCGTGACATCTCCAGGACTACCGTCGTTAGCCAGAAAATAATTGACGTCCGTCTCCATGAAGATTTGCCCGCTCCTGATGCTCTCTTGAAGCTCATTCTCTGGCTCTCTCAATGAATCTTTAAGGTCGCAGATGGCGAGCTCAAGTTCGCTGAACTCCTCCTCAGCGTCAGACGCCATCCATTCTCTCATTTCTGCCATTTGCATTTGGCTCAAGAAAGTCTTATGTTTCATAATCTGCGGTAAAACTATGACGTTAGAGGTTTTGTCTATGCAAAAAGCGTGATTTTCAGCACGTACCAGTCTCTTGATAATCTTTTCAAGTTCTTCAATGGTCCCCTCCCATTCGTGCTTGACCTGAGCCAACCTAACCTCCATGATCCTAATGAAGAATGGACGTGGAAACCACGAAGTCTTTGCTGCTTCATCTCTGCCACGACTCAATGGGTCCCAGAGCATTCCATCTTCTAAATCGTTCTGGTATCTGGCAACAGAATCAGGTGTTGGATTGTCGAAGAACTGCTCAAACCAAGTGTCTAGTATCAGAATCCCAGTCCACCTCCATTGATCGTATCCAGTCACCATGCATGAAATGTGGCCACCATACAGTCCTGCAACCATGCCTGCATCTTGCTGGAGACCAGCAAGTTTTCTTATTTTGGACATGTCCGTGGATGATCTCAGCGGCTGCCCGTCCGATTTTCGAGTACGGACATCCTTCATAAGACCTTTTGTCGACCGCCACGCCCGGATTGGAAAGGAAAATTCGAGGGCAAATGTCTCAGGGCCGTCAGTCTGTGACTCAGGTCAGAACGTTTCAGAAGCCTTGTAGCCCTGAAGGGTCACGTACCGAGAAGGAAACACCAATTGAGGATCTCGAGCCAAAATACTTCAACATAAAGTCGCCTAGGAGACGTGCAAGTGACTCCGGCGCTGATCCGACGAGAGCCAGAATGGTCCAGCGATCAAGGTCAGTGATGTATCTTTCACAGTACAATGGTTAGCAGTGGTTTATCAAGAATAGTAAAGTGGACGACGTCCTCTGTTCTGCTTACAACAATCGTCGTTCGGCATCCGCAACGCCAGAATCGTCGTCCACGGCACCATAACGCTTTCAAAATGTTAGCTCAAAACCCAATGGCTCAAAGGAAACACATTTACTCACGTCTTTGAGAAGTTGGGTGAGTAGCATTTTCCCGTTGAGACCTTTCACTGGCTGTCGGAAAAGGGGTTCTTCTCCAATAGCGCAGCCATCGATAAGGAAAGCAATCGGGTTGGGGGGGCAGGTGATCGTCCCATCAACAAGTTCCTTCAGCGATATTCCATGGCACACGTCAAGAACGGCATCGATTCTGTATTGATCTTGTACTGAGTCCTCGTCTGTGACTAAGAAGAAAGTGATGTCATCTTCCGTGGGTATATCGGCCGCTTCCCGACGCTTGATCCACGGCGAGTTCTCCCAGTCGAACGAGATATTCTGACGTTGGTAGAATCTCCTTGGCCATGAAAACGGCCCGCTGTGCTGTTGGTCGGTACGTGTTGACGGCTCCGCACCGGCCGTTTCTACCTGTAGTCGTAGAAGTGTGTCTTCAGGGGCCAGTGGCGCCTGCACTAAGGCAGGGTTCATTGGGAATCTGATAACCAAAGGTCTCATTAGGATGTCAGAAGCTTTCCACGTGCTTGAGTCTCGTATAACTGATAGACAACACGATGCTCACCTTAAACCCGCGCTTGGGTATCTCCCAATGCTCCTACTAGCTCCTGAAGGATTCAGTCAATTTCCGTAACTTCTTCAGTTCAATATCGTTGCACCGTGAACCGACTATCTCACTCGCTGGTGTGTGCGCAGCGGTTAGATTTCCACCAGTGGTATTGATAACGAGTTGAGACTCTTTCAACCCTGCAACGAGAGCAACGGGGAGAATGGCAATGGACACAGGGGTCAATAACAACCGTCATACCCCCTTGTCCACAATAGCACTACGGAATTGGTTAGGTTTCAAAGCAAAATCCATCGGGCTCGGTGAGGCTCGAAAGACACAAATGCTACATACGCAAGTCCATAAAAAGGCATATCTTTTGCGTGGCTACTGGCAATTTGCAATATCAGCAAAATGTTCGAGAATGTGGGAATTAAAAAAAACCAGGATCTTGGCCTGAAGCCGAAGTGAAGTACCATGGTGCTGGGGACTGTAGGATGCCCTCTACTTCTTATCAATTATCTGATATAGGCGTCCTGGTTCAAGCATCCCAAGACAGTCGCTCTAGATATTCGATGCGTCTGACTACCCCGTTGGGTATCTACAGGTGGTGTGTCGCGATAGGGCTGCCGAAGTTGATCGGCCGGGGCGGACGGTGGTGGGCAAAGGCTTCGTTCGTATGAAAGCTGGTCACTTGATATCTGGACCAGACAGCGCAATTGGCTATTGATGAACTATTATCACCCCCCTTTTTAATGGCCCAACAACAAAGAGAAAGTTCCACGGTCGGCTGTGTAGATATTTGGTTGGTTCTAAGGCAGTAGGGGCAAAGAAGAAAATGGTGAGGGGCAGTAAGCTGTTAATTACATATACGCCATGCGACGACAAAGGCAACAAGAAGCAACTCCCCAGGTAGACTTCCTCCTATCAGCGTTAATCAACAATAAATCCTCAACACATGTAAGTTTTCACTCTGATCGTTTTCTGTTAGTAGCTAAGGATGTCGATGACGCCCTTCTGGAACAAATTAGATTTAGAATTCCAACTCGAACGCTCTTGTTCTAGTCGATAAACCCTTCGTGAGTATCACATCGGCTGGTTTGGTATGTTTTTCAAAGCGAAGCTAGATTACTGGGCTTGAAAATGAGAAGTGGACTTGAACCATTGTGTCTGGGTTAAGATAACGCTGACACGAACTCATGCCTTGTCAGCGATGACACCGGTTCGATGGTTAGCCACAGAAATGGTGAGATCTTAATCACAAGACCAAACAAGTAAGAATCTCGCTGCAGAGAAAATGGGCGAAATGGGGGAGGGAGGGGATGGGGAAAGGGGGGCAGGCTGCAAAATCAAGCATGCAATGCGTGGGACCGCCCAGCAATTGAGCGATCTACGAAGAGCGTACAGTGTATGGATACAGCCGGCGCTGTGCAACGAAAAGATTCGGGAGCTTGCTTGAATACTGGAAGCAGGGTGTATGTATCCCCCCTCCCTCAAGTAATACATTTGATGTTCTTATGGGGCTGCGGGAAGACAGGCCAAGCTGGACATTCATCTCGTTGAGGGGCAAGCACCAACTAACAGCAAACACCCCGTGCTGGTGTACTCCCCAAAGGCTGTACATTATGTTTATTTCTTCCAAGCCACTTCCCTGCAAGTCACTCTTACTTGCTGTTGAAGGTAACGCATTACTGCCGTCATTGGCCATCACTCATCATCATGACATGATCCTGTAGGGCCTCATGTACAGTAGTACATGCGTAGGCGAACAAGGCTGCCAGTCAACTACGTTTTGATGTTGGCCCCGCACTGTCCATGACTAAGATCGCATGGCAGGTAAACAACCATTATCACAGAAAATACGGTGATATTAAGCCGGTGCGATTCAACGAGATTCACTGGGCCTCGGGTTTGTTGCATTCCCAGGGAGATCAAAATAATGGAAAAATACTGCTATCATATCTAGAGAGCTGAGTGCCTGCTACATCGGAATGCAGAAATTTATTTTGAGGTACTAATTTGAATTCTCGAGTTCTCAGGTACGTGAGGAATGCAGCTAGCCAAGCGCGAAAGTAGCCCCGACTCAAGATTTTGAGGGTGGGAATGCTGGTCATATTGGACACACACCCGAGCTAAGGCATGCAGAGCGAGGCTGCGTTGCTCTGTATTTCAATAATCCTGGGCGCATGATTACAGTACTGATGAAACCCGATCAGAAGCTCAGCATATTAGGAGTCAATATCTAGAATTTCACGATAACCGAATCTCGTTAATTCAGTGAGCCAGCTCAACTCAAGTCAAGCCAATAAGGGGTGTGTTGAAGTCTCAGTAAGTCGTTCTTATGCTTTTTGAGGTGTACGGCGTTGTTCAATAGTCCTAGTCATGTACTTAACGCCAATTTATGTTATTATATAGACCGAACCATTTAGATCTGTTCTTTGGATTTCGGCCGAGCGTAGCCAACAGGGTAAAAGCAAAGTAGTCGGGTTTGTCGCCAGCGGTCAACAGCGGTCAACAGCGTAATCTTCTCTGATGATCGAACGCGGCATTTTCTTGTAGCAGGAGGCTTTAGGCCATTGCGGCTGGGCGCCTAAATGCCCAAGTCCTTAAAACCGGCGAAAGACAAAGTGCAGATATGCCCATTGGCTCCAGCCTCTACTCGCTTTTCGCGGGACGCCTTACGCCACAGCCACTCATCGGTGATGTGTATCTCAAAACAGAAGTCTCTTCCGGTGCGTGGATATCCATTCGTCAAAGATGTCAATATCATCGTACTGGGCCTCACCGGTCGTCCTTCCCAAGAGAAAGATTCAGAATCCAAGGAAATTAGAGGCCCAATCCGAAAAGTTTGCATCGGCACCTGACCTTGCAAAGGATGATGAGCTGGCATTCAGCATAGAATTCCTATGTCAAACATAAAGCAACGACTGGACCAGCTCCTGTGATTAGGCAACGTTCGACGACGCTGATCACGAAGTATCCACGCGCCCTCCCCCGATAGTCACCCCTACCTTCTTCGAATGAAGGATTTGTCCGCCTCAATTTTCTTGTCCATCTTCGGAATCTGCTTATTTAGGGTTTTGCAGCAAGCAGCTACAAATCACTGCAGGTGTGAGTTGTTCTCTCCTAAGCACCGCTAACTCCTATTGAGGACATTTGATTGCAACGCGGGGCAATGAGGCAATATTTCAGCCCGCTGTCGCTAATTGTTGTGATGTTTGATGAATTGTCTGTTATAAGGCTTGCAAGCGAAGTTACCGTAATGCGATAAAACCCGAACCTAAGCTAATTTGGTACGGAATCGTCATTATTACAACTCAGCATGGATTCAATTAGTGGAGAGGCTTCTTCTCAATTTAAAGTGATCTGATATGCATTTTACCTCGAGTCTTTTTGCACTTATTAACCGAGTTGAGACGAGGCTTCTTGGCTAGGCCAGCGTTAGACGTAATTGTTGTAGCAAGTATGCAAGGCTTCGGGGGCAATGAAGTCAAGGAACATAACCGAAAGCTGCTCGCACGTCAAATGATCCAGGACTATAGAAATGAAAGACACTATCATGATGGAGGGTCAATCTCTTGCTTGTTTCTTCTACGTCAGCAGGTAAGGAAACGCGGTGATAACAATTATTCTGCAAAATAATAGCTAATCCTAGCATCAAGCAAAGTGTGTGGGCCTGTCTGCCCGGACTTATTTCTTTTCGGACTGAACAAGCGCACCCGGCTGAACACGTGGCTGGTTCAGCGTGCAGAATGGCATGAGATTTGCAGATTAGCTCTTTCAGCGCCTGATATCATGCTCTGTTTGCCACATTGCCCGATTTGCGATGGAAGCGGTACGCAACCTGGTAATTCGAGTCCGGCAAGGTCTACTCTGCACAAGTAATGAACTCATCAGCGGCCAACTAGGATATTGGCGTTCTATTCATAAGGATCAGCGAACGTTATCACCATGTCCATAGTACCCAAACCTTCTTCAAAGCTTAGAGTTCACTGCAAAACTCCCCACATATGATTTTTTGCACTGGCTGATCTAATCGAGCAAACTCATCTCAAACATGGCGACAAGAAGTTTTCATTGTCGAAATTTTTGATATGAAGAAAGCTATGAGGTTATGTTCCTCAGGTTGGCGTCTGATTGGGTCGTAAAATACCGCTCGTGTGGCAAGTTGGGTAACACCCTCATCACGCTAGTTTAATCATCTCACTCCGTTGCCAGCAACATCGCGTGCGCGTCAGCTGACAAATTAGGCCAGTTCTTCTCCAGCTCTTCCAACGGAAGTACCGCCTATCATCATCTTGAATTTGTGACGGCCAGACTATCAGAGTTCCCACGTTTCACATTCGTACATGTGACGGCTGCCTACCCCTTAGCGATATTTGGGTTGGACTTGTTAAGGTGACTTGTCAGTGTGCCAAGCATAGTAATCAACACATTACGGCGTGGATCATTTGATTTTGGGTCAGTACTAAGGTGTATGCTATTCTTTTCTCATGATCAGCTACGGAGCTAATGTTTCCCCTTGGCAACTCTTGAACACTGGCTTTGTCTACGCAAGCAGATCTTCAGGCCTATTATATAGCTCAACAGTTGCAGCTAGATCCTGACATTGAAACAAGTCTCTAAGATGCATGGTCCAGACTGTCTCATCATTCGCAAAGCATGGCTTATGGGCCGCCTGCAACGATGGACCAACAATAAGTCACCGGCGGCCAACTCCGTTACCGGCAGCTCACGAACAGAGACCAAAGGCGATATTACACATAACAAGATTAACCACGCACTGTTATTACCAGGGCATCCGGATCCAATCTCTCGGCACCGAAGCCTCGTTAGTTACTTTATTAAACAAGCTTATCCAAAGGATGATCTCGATGACTAGGCCAAGCATCCTGACTCGGGGACAAACTACTCAACCTGTTGTTGGCGAATCAAGAATTGAATAGATTCTTCGGTGAATCCTGGAGTTAGGTGGTTCAGTTTCAGCCGAAGCTGTCAAGCGAATGGCAGGTCAAATTCAAGTTGAGGGCAGCTGAATGTTGAAAGAGACGTTGCCGATCCCCTCGGAGTTGCAAGACCGGAACCGGCTCCGCAGCTGCTGGAGAGTTAAAGTTTGGAAGGAGTGGGTCCGATTGTAATCTCCGATGGGGGCCAAAGTACGGTATTATCCTCGATTTCTCTGCATTTTGCCCGAGTAAGTGGGTATGATGCTCCCGCTCCTCTGTTTCTCGAGCCCCTTGCGCGTCGCGGCTCAACCATCCGTCTCCGAGCAAGGGATTTCGTAATCAAACAGGCTGGTGATGCTGTCAGCAAGACCCCTGGACGCTTGTTTCTCTTTGAAAGTCAATCGGGACTAGCGCTTCTCCTCTAGATCCAATGGATAGAGGCGGATTAGGGTGTCTCGGAGGCAGCCAATGGGCGGAGCCGTTGGATCTTCCCATAGGCGGGTCTGGACCCATCTTGGACGGTGAAAGTGGGGCTGCTAGGGACCGGCAAACCAAGGCCTCCAAGTCGCCATCCACCTCCTGTGCACGTTTTCTTTTGCCTCTTTGTCCGGCTGCCTGTCATCGGCCATCGAACCGTCCATTGTCATCCGAACTCGATCAATCAGCAGATTTCCCCAACAATCAGAAAGGGACGCTAGCCCAACTGTCGGTGTGCACGTTCCATCGCTTGGGCCGACCGAGTCTTGGTATTGGTGATCTTCAACGCAGAGGAGCCACGCCAATCCAAGGTGGCCAGTAAAATTGACCATCGCAGACGGCCAACGGCAACGGCCACCAGGCCAGCCACCGTCAATGACCCGTTCGATCGGCCACAGCGCTAAGCCTGCAAGTCTGCGGCGCGGGGGAAGTTTTGCCAGATCGTATCAAGGCGATTTCCCCATGCCCAGAGTGCATTGTCAGACAGCTACCGTCAGCACGTTTCGCTGTTCGACCGCAAGCTCGATATCAATCCCACGACGTCGCCTAGCAGGCTCCAACTAGGGACCGAGTGCTTCAAGCAAGACATGTTGTGTAGGGTCCGGTACGATGGGTATTGTAAGACATCCCCGACGACTGCCGTCCCCTGAGGCCTCCAACTGACCGTGAGCAGCCTCTCGATGGCGGAGGTGATGGCCGAGTCGGTTCCGCGCGCGACAACTCGACGGGCGGAACCGTGAGCAAGCTGCAGTTGGACGATTCTGACTCGTCTTCGCTGATGTCTCTTGTCAGCACTCTTGTACCTGTGCTCATCTATACCGCCGTCTGCCTACTCATCTTCTGGGCTCTGCGTCGCAGAAGTCTGCGCGTCTACTCGCCTCGCACAATCCTCAAGGACTTCTTTTCTCAGTATGTCGTCTTGCGCAGGTTCCCATAGACTGTCAACTGACCACGGCGCAGCGAGAAATGCGCACCGCTGCCGAAAGGATGGCTGGATTGGGTGAAGCCGTTCTGGGCGATCCCAGATACGGAGATCCTCAACCGCTCTTCGTTAGACGCCTACCTGTTCCTCCGCTACCTGAAGGTCCTCAGTCTGATCTGCTTTGTGGGTTGCTGCATCACTTGGCCGACGTTGATGGCAATCCATGCCAATGGCACCGGCGGGTTGTCGCAGTTGGATCGCATCACCATTGGTAATGTGCAAAACCCAGGCATCTTCTTCGTCCATGCCATCATTGCGTGGATCTTCTTCGGTGGGTCACTTGTCCCATGTCTCTACTATATACTAACGTGCCCCAAGGGTTTATCCTCTTCACCATTTACCGTGAATGCATATATTACATCAATCTGCGGCATGCCTATCTTCTGTCGCCTTACTACTCGAAGCGTCTCTCGTCCCGAACAGTCATGTTCAGCTGCGTTCCACCAAAATACCAGGATGCCGCGCGCCTTCGGAAGCTCTTCGGCGACACCGTTAAAAACGTTTGGATTCCTCGGGATACGAGTGACCTGGAGAGGCTTGTAAAAGAGCGGGACGAGACTGCATTGCGTCTAGAGAAGGCTGAAATCCGGCTCATCAAGATGGCGAACAAGCGGCGAAACAAGCAGTTGAAGGCCGCCGTTGCCGCTGCTACCGCTGAACCAGAACCCATCTCAAGCCCGTCGTCGAGTGGTGGTTCCGAGCGCTCGGACGACGCCGAGAAAGGCTACCCGTACCATGAGAGTACCACCCTTCCAGATGTCAACGGCTCTGTGGCCGCGCAATGGCTTGGGGCCAGCGAGCGTCCTTACCATCGGCCTCTGGCCAACTTTTTCCGTCGGGTCGATACGATCAAGTGGACTCGCAACCGGATCAAAGCTTTGACGCATCAGATCAACAAGCTGCGCCGAGGCTTCCTCAAAGGCGATGGTCGCCGACTACCTGCCGCGTTTGTTGAGTTCTCATCCCAGGCCGATGCTGAGCGAGCATATCAAACCCTGGCCCATAATCGGCCGTTGCACATGTCCCCGCGTTACATCGGTATCCGCCCTGATGAAGTCGTTTGGAGCTCCGTTCGGATGCGGTGGTTCGAGCGAATTGTCAGAGGCTTCTTGATGCGCGCCATTGTCACCGCTGCCATCGTGTTCTGGTCTATTCCGTCCGCGATCGTTGGTACCGTCTCAAACATCAAATTTCTGGCCAATTTGTTCCCCTTCCTGGCGTGGATCGCTGAGCTGCCAGGCCCGGTCACCGGTATTATTAGCGGTTTGCTTCCTGCCTTGGCTCTGTCCTTCTTGATGGCCATTGTGCCATGGCTTCTACGAGGTAAGAGTTTGTTCCTCAGCTGACCGCTATGTCCACACTAATTTTTGTAAAGGCTGCGCTAGACTTGCCGGAATACCATCTCTATCCCTGATCGAACTATTCGTCCAACACGCCTATTTCGCATTCCAAGTCGTCCAAGTCTTTCTCGTCACAACCCTTACGTCGGCGGCATCAGGGGCCCTAGCCCAGGTCCTCAAAAACCCTCTCTCAGCCAAAGACCTCTTGGCCGATAATCTACCCAAGTCCTCCAACTTTTACATATCCTATATTCTGATCCAGTGTTTGGCCGTTGGTGCTGCATCCCTTCTCCGGGCATTCGACGTTTTCCGCCATCATATCATGGCCAAAGGTTTTGACAACCCCCGTGGGCTTTTCCGAATCTGGCACAGGGAACGTCCGATGCACTGGGGGCGGTGTTCCCCGTCTTCACCAACATGGGTGTCATCGGTAAGTTGGTTCTCGCAAGCTTGTTGATTATTGGTGCTGATCGTCAACAGCCATTAGCTACTCCTGCATCGCACCCGTCGTTCTCGGCTTTGCCACCGTCGGCCTGTACCTCATCTACCTTGTTTACAAGTATAACCTCCTTTACGTCAGCGACTCCTCCATCGACACCCGCGGTCTCGTCTATCCTCGTGCACTGATGCACCTCCTTGTCGGTCTTTACCTCGCAACAATCTGTCTCATCGGCCTATTTGCCCTGCGCTCGGCGTATCCTCCCATGGTTCTTATGATTGGTTTCCTCATCTTCACGGCTCTAGTGCACGTCTCCCTCCGAGAAGCAGTCTCTCCGCTGCTATACAACATCCCGCGCGCTCTGGCTTTGGAGATGGAAGAGCTGGACGGCGGGCCTATGGTGGATTATCCCCAAGATGATTTCCTTACCGATGCTGATATAACGGCCTCGTATCCCGACTTCTTCGACCACATCGACGAGGACGAAGGACCTGCCCATCAAGTCAATGGAAGTCGAGCCGTAGAAGGTGCCAGTGGTCTAATGGCCTCCGTCAGTGAATGGTCTGCCGGCGCTCTTGCCAAGAAGCTCCAAGCGACGGTTGAGAATTGGGGGATGGCTGGTCCGATCAGCTATGTCTCGCATTGGGTATCTCCAAACCCTTCCATCGAGCCCAACATGCTCCTGCGATTTCTTCATCCGGGCATTTTTGACGACTTTTCTACGCTTCGACGCATGATCCCCGGCGATCTTCCGGACCCTACGCAGACGTACCCAGCCGACTACGCTCGCCGTGCCTACTGGCCGCCCGAGATGGCGTCGCCGGCTCCAATTATATGGATTCCAAGAGATCCGGCCGGTGTGAGCAAGCAGGAAGTGGAGCATTGTCGGAAGGTTGTCGGGTGCTCGGATGAGGGTGCCGAGCTCAATGAGAAATGTCGCATAGAAGTTGAGGTTGAGAAGGCACCCTTTTGGGTGCCTCGTGTGTTGTATTAGATATTATGTAGCGAGGCGTACGGCGCGTGTATTGGGTATAGATAGAGTAACCGCTTAATGTAGGTGAGGCTAAGAAGCCCCAGTCAAGTGAAGCTTCGCTCCTCCCTGGGCAAACCATTACTTGGTATTGTTTCACATCTCACTGATCAGTTCTTCAATGGTCCGCCACGTCCGCTCGGCAACGAGCATCTGCGCCAGATAGTTGCCCGCATGATCTTTCCCCTGGATATAAATCAGACAAGGTGGGTGCATCCGCATCCGGGGCGTGTTGCACTGCCATACGATCTCCCCCCTCGGCGTCGTTCTTTCCTCTTCAACTTCCCCTTCAACCCTGACAATAGCGGGACTGAAGTCGATGACCTCATGAAACCTCGCCTTGGCCACATTCGACACCGAAACAACGAAGCCATCCGGCTCAGTGAACTGATTGGTACTCCCGCTTTCTGCAACAGCATTGTACGTCAACCTCGTTGAGGCGTAGACCTGGGCATCAGTGAGCTGCGACCTCACCGAGTCTCGAATGAGCGCGACAGCCTTCCCAAACGGGCCGTGCAAGAATCCAAGAGCCGTCGTACTCGTCCAGTTATACGCCACCAGGTTGGTAATGTAGGCCACGTCAGAGGGCATGTCCTCCTCGTGCAGGCGGCCTCGGAGGTCGAGGGCCGTAGATATCGCAATCGGCTTGGCGGGGGAGGACTTGGGAATGTGCGAGCAAGCAAGGCGGACGAGCCAGGTCGTGAGGATGTCACCGTCGCTCAGACGGGTCGCAGCCTCGGGGGACTGCGCGATGTCGGTTTCGGCGCGTTGGCGGAGGGACTTGAGGGACGCGGCGGGGATGAAGAGGTTTCGTTGGCGGATGCGGTTCGTGAGGAGGTACCACAGGAGGCTGAAGGTGAAGCGCAGCTTTCCCCAGCCGTGTAACCTCTTGTGCTCCCATAGGAACGGCTCGGTATACTGTTGCTTCTCTGATTTTGCGACATTCGCCATTGGGTCGAAAGTTAGATCTGCCAGGGGCGTGACGTCTTGGCTCTTGCCCGCTAGCACGCGACACCAGTTTTCGACGAGCTCCCTACGGCCCATGCCGTCCGCGATGCTGTGCGGATACGTTATGGTGACGAACGTTGCGTCGGTGAAGGTTATTACGTGCAGGGTGAGCAACGGGCGGTCTGTGGTGGTGTAGTCTGAGAAAGTTGTCGGAGCCTCAGGGCCTGCAAGGATGGGGGTGAGTGTCGACGGGGTGTCGAGGATGTGTGGACGTGATAGGGCGTTGGTGGATGGAGAGAAGAGCGACGGGATAGTTGAGGCGAGGGGATGAGATTTCACGCTTGAAGGGTTGGGCTCACTCGTGAAGTGGACTGCTGGGCGGGAGGGGTGGAAGACCTCCGGTACGTGAAGCTCGAGTTTACCGTCATCCTGGTGACCCATTAGTGAATTCTTCGTTGTCTCGGATATTGTGCAATGAGGCCTAAGGGTCAGGGAAGAAAAGGCCTACTGTCAACCGTGGTCTACCGCCAAGCTTCCGCCAGTTTCCGACTGTGAGTAATTCCGAAAGTGAGGAGTGGAGCATGTCCGGGTCGAGGACGTCGTGAAAGCACATCGACCAGCTCATGATCATCATGCGCATCATCCAGGAGCTGTCCAATGCAGAAAGCTGGATGACGGTGTCGGTCGAGACTGGTTCTGGCTGGCGAGGCGCAGGGCCCAGGATCGGGTTGAGGAGAGGCCGGAGGAACGACATTTTGACGGACGCCTCGAAGATTCCTGGCCGCAATGGCGAGATTCAGAGGCTGACGAGATACGATGTTGAATCAGAGTTCGAGGTTGAGATCTAAAGGACGATGAAGATGAGATGGTGTGGGAGATACAAGGGGCGAACCCCTCCGAAACCGCACCTTCAAGGGCCTGTCTTTGAGTGGTCACGAACGACGCCGTACAGACAGGGACAGGCCCTGTCGGCTGAAAGCTTGTTGTGGTGTTGTCGATATGGGGTTGCAGGCACTGACTCGTGGGGAAGAGATAACGTAAAGTTCAACACGTAGTCCGTGGGGCAAAGAGATGAGTGTCGATGAGAATGAGTCGGTCTTGCGCATTGATATGAACTTGAGGGTTTTCTGGAAGTTCCCCACGATGGGAGGGTAAGGTAAATCAGCCGTGGACACCCCTAGATTGACTTGTGAGATTGGGGTGATAAGCCGGCTTTTGTCTGCAATCTTCGCTAGCTCATCGACCGTGCAGTCTCAATCATACTACACCTGGGCTATTGCAAACCGATCAAGCAGCTCAAAGTTGTCAACATAATGTCACTCACGATTCAGCCCCTTCATTCGACCTTTGCGGCAGAGGTCCGTGGCGTCGATTTCTCCAAGCCATTGACGAATGATGTGCTCCAAGAGATCAGGGATGCCATTTCCAAGGTCAATCCCCATGTAATCAGAATCCGCATACCTGTGAGGTGGCTACTAACGTTTGAGACGTATAGTATGGCGTCTTGGTGTTCCCGGCAACGGGTCTAGATGACGAGCGTCATGTCGCTTTTGCGAGTCGCTTCGGCGAACTTGAACGCCGCAAAGACACCGGCGCGCCATCTCGAATGAGCCTTCCCGAATTGACGGACCAAGGCAATATTGACGGCAATGGAAATGTCATTAGCTCGAAAGACCCTAGGGCTCAGATCAGCAAGGTTCGTCCCATGGAGTGGTCGTGCGAATGAAGGCCGGGCAGACACTGGGCTCACATTTGACTAGGGGAATACGCTCTTCCACGTCGATAGCAGCTTCAACTCCCAGCGGGCAAGCTACTCCATCCTCCTCGCCCATGAGATCCCGCCCTCAGACGGCGGCGGAAACACGGATTTTGCAGACACGCGGGCGGCATGGGACGACCTCCCTGAGTCGTGGAAGCAGGAGTTGCTAAAAGAAGACTACGTCGCAGGCCACTCGTTCTGGCACTCGCGCAAGAAGGCGTGTCCCGATTTCTTCGCCAAGCTCGAGCCGGAGAACCATCCGATGAGCAAGCACAAGGTCGCACAGCTCCATCAGCCGAGTGGACAGATGAATTTGTTTGTGCCGTCGCACTGTCATCATATCGAAGGGCTCGAAGCGGGAGAGGGGCAGGAGAAGTTGAACTTTTTGTATCAGCATGCCACTCAAGACAAATTCGTTGTCTCGATTCCGTGGAAGGAGGTGGGCGACTTAATCATGTGGGACAATACGTGTACGCTTCACCGGGGGACGCCGGTGGTTGGAGTTCACAAGAGGGATATGAGGAGGGCAACAGTGTTGGATGGAAGTGAGGAGGCTTGGGGGTTGAATGAGAAGGTTGAGAGGGATTTCGCGTTTGCGCCTGAGGTTATGGCCGATGTGTTTCGCTGTCTTTCTGGGTGAGGAGGTAGAAGCCAAGCGAAGAAGGCAAACTACTTGGGCTGGAAGAAGGAACCCAAATTCAAATTTCCTTCAACCTTTCACTTTCTACCTTTCACCAAACCTACACGTCTTCTATCCTCTTTCTGTTCCCTCGTTTTCTCGATCTCGCACAACAGCCAATTTCCTTCAAGTAACATCATCGTTTTTAACTCTCCTGATATACGCTGCTAATACTAACAGATCGTCTTGGAGTGCGGAGAAAAGGAGGTTCATTTACTTAAATTCACCACGAACCGTTTGAAGCAGCGAATCCAACGGCAAACGCGACTTTTTTTTGACCCTTCCAAGTCCCAAATAAGGCCTTGAGGATGAAACGCAAGGACCTAGTTCTCTTTTACCTCTCTTTTATCTAAACATCAACAAGTACCAGCCAGTGGCATATCTACGCATGCCGTACTCACTCGGCCACAAGCAACGGCACCTTGCGTTCATGTCTGATTCCACCATCATTTCTCTACTTTGATCGGCATCCATCGACCTCATTCAAGCTCACCTCTGGATTATTTCACTATTCTTCTCTCCATTCAGTCAGGCACACCACCGTTTTTCAACATTAACTGACACAAACAAGAACCAGTCTCATTGTACCTCGTCTACTCGGTTATGCTTGACCTTACTCTAGCGTTGCCTTGGACACGCGCTCAGATCTTCACTACCAGCAGACCCAGGCAAGAAACGATACCATGCAAGACTCATCGTCGAAGTGATTTAGCAGCCGCTCAATCCCGCCTCAGCCGTGTCGTGAACTCACCGCTACCCATTCACCATCAACCCACCATGTCTCCCGGGGCCGAGCTACACTGTCGCAGTAGGAGAATAGAAGCACGGAGGTCCTTCCAAGAGAACTTTCGCTTCCCTCACCTTCAGCTCCTTCTTGTTCTGCCGCCTTCGACATCACGTGTACGACCAAGGTTGGAAAGTCTTTCCTCCTCCTTCTCCAAGTCCCAATCACAGGCGGAGGAAAGAGCGAGGATTGGTTTGAAGCCAGGAAGGGGCGAAAGCGACAGATACTCTGTCCCGGCTTCGACTTCCCATGCCACAGGCTTCACTGTTAAGGCAGTCAGCCCAGAGCTGTGTCTGACTTTCTATTCCCTTTTTCCCACCACTTCGGGGCATTGTGGCCTTCTCTTTCCCATCCTCACCCATGGGCAATACGGGGTCAAGAGTCCCGGCCTTTACGGCGATCAATTCATCTTCCTCTGCTGTCAAATCAACATCCACGATGGGCGGACGCAGCGCCTCGACCGCGAAGCGTCGCGTCCAACCAGCACGCAAGCCTTCCAAGAAAGACCCAGTCGCCCCGACGGAACCCCTCAGCTTCTTCCACCTGCCCAACGAGGTAGTTGGCCTAATCGCTCAACAAGCTCTTGCTATCGGCGGTCATCGTCTCGTCCACAACTTCAGCTTCACAGACCGCCGCACCTTCGAGCTTTCTCAGCGAGAACTCTATCGCCACATCGTCCTTCACGACGAGGTTGAGATCGCCTATCTTACGAGAAGCCTCATCGAGAATCCTTCGCTCCGACGAATGATCCGCAGCGTCAGCCTTCACACCAACTCCTGGTGTTGCCGACAGGCTGACTCCGACCGCATCCTCCGCGAATGGCCTAATACCCCAGTGGACGAGTCCAAGCTCTCCCAGTCGGACCGTCAACTTCTCATCCTGAGCAGATCCCACTGCAACCGGAAGGCTTCTGACAACATCCAGTGCGTATTCGGTTTATTCCTGTTCTTCATCAACCAGGCAAAGCACATCACCATCGAGATAGATTGGTACTGGGTTGAGTTGGACAACTTTCTGGCCGCAGGCCTTGCTTCCTACGCCGCTCTGGCGTCCGATTCGTCGTCAGGCCCGTCCTTCTACACGGCCCTCTTACCGGCTTTGCAGACCCTTAAGCTTTCCACCAAGCGCTATCTGCGAAAGCCGGTTCAGACCATCCAATCGAGACCCTTCCATCCTTTCAAGGCTCTTACTGCTTCTACCAATCTCCGCGTGTTCGACTTTGACGGAGACATGGAAATATGGGGCAACCTGGACGACATCGACCCTTACATGAAGCTTCCCTTTACGACGGTCAAGCTGGTTGTGGGCCATTGCACTTCGTCGAGCCTCTGCAAGTTCTTACGCCATTGTCCTGACCTGCAGTGGCTAAAGGTTGCGCCCCAAGGTTACGCTGCGGATTATGGAACCGAGGAATGCATCAACACCGTCTTACCAAAGTTCTGCCCTCGGCTTCGAGGGTTGTCACTGCGTCTTGGAGGCACAAAAAGCTTTTTCCGTTCCGGCACGAAAATCCTCAATTGTCTCCCCGAGATGACCAACCTAAGAGAGCTTCGCATCGAAGTAGATGCCTTTCTCCAACGCTCTACGGATATTGCCACACTCAAGCTTGCCAACAAGCTTCCAGAACAGCTAGAGAAACTGTTCGTCGATGCCTCGTTTGCTTTGATCCCTTTCCCAATTCGCAGAAGAAGGATGACCGCCCGCAGCCTCGAGGCCGTAATATACAAGCGCGCAGTTGAGAATATGGTCCAGAACCTCTGCAAAGCCCGAACGAGTCGATTTTCTCAACTCAACACCATAATCGTCGGTGCCAAGTACTCAAAGCCTGTACAATGGACCAAAGATGCCAACAAGACTCTGGCTGGAATCGGTGCCCGTGTCAAGGTGACAAATGGCACTGAGATTCAAAAGTTGTGGAGCTATTCCTGGGACGAGATGAAAATCTGAATCCGCGCCAAGGACAAAGATTTCGATATGGATGGTAAAGAAAGAAAGCAGGGGTTTGGAGATAGAGGGTGAAGTTCGCTAAGGACAAGCGTGGAGAGGAGTGAAGATTGCAAAAGAGAGTGCGACGCCCACACACGATCTGAGGGCGAATGCCCCGGGGGGGACCGGAATGGCTCCTGCTTCATGGCTCGGACATGTATCTAGCAATCCCATACCCTCACCAGGACCTCTCGAGAGAGACCCCATGCCGATGACAACTCTCCAAGCATCTGGATCAAATACTGGCTTTCCTCGGTGATCCCAAAAGCTTTTGCTGAGCGACTCGCCTGCACTGCGCCATATACGAAAACGAGAGGCGCATTTTGGAGGCCGTACTGGCTTCGATATGTTCGCAAGAGAGACGTGATATCCTGGGCTGATGCAACACAGTAGAGGCGGAGTATATCCTCTGTGTCACCGCTGCGAGATGCGACAGCTTGGTCATAGTTGAGGGCAATGCGCACGCTATGGAACAGGAGGCTAGATAACTTCAGACAACCCATCTCACTACAGATTCAGGTCTTATCGAAAGCATAACTTACTGAAGAGCCAGCACTCCGGGTAGTGGTTTGGATGGCGATCCCCATTTCCGCCACTTCGCAAAGTCCGGCAATGATTCTCGCCAGCGATTTAGTTCGAGGTTTAGGTTGTCAAAGCACACTCGCCGGTTGAGGCCATCCAGATGAGACCTTGGCGAGAAAAGTGTTGACATCATCATTTCTATTACCTGAGACAGACGGATCTGCTCATGGAGGTGTGGAATCATCGACGTGGATTGTGTCGATTCAGCATATTCTTCTTCGAAGCCTATGGGACGCCAGAGGATCATCTCGGGGGGCTCACTGTACGTTATAAGATTCGACGTTGACGTAAGCATAGGGCGGTAATTGACGTACGGGAGAGTCTCCATAGGTTGCACTTTGGCATCTTCATACGCCAGGTATACAGGACGACCAAGTATCAGACTGATCAGCTTGTCAGAGATATAACAGCCCCAGTAAATTCTTCGGCGGATCTCGACGTCCTCTGCCGTTGCTAGCGACGAATCGTGGTGGACCCAGTCTTTGGGGTCTCTCTTGAAACCCAGATCTTGCGCCATGCGGAAGGCGATTCCTGTTCAGGGACTAGTCAGTTCAGTCAGTCCCGTCAGAGGATGCTAAGATCCAAGAAACGAAGACCTTCTCACCAGAGTAACCCCATCCCTTTGACGAATTCCCCCTCCCTATCTCATACAGTGCCAAACATAAAAACGCTTGCACGGTCGCGACAGATGGCCTCGTCAGCCCCGTTACCATGATGATGCTCTCCGCCGCCAGGAAGAACCGCTCGCTCCGCGTCTTCGTATCCACGCCCACAAGCGCTCCGAGCGCACAGATTGAGAGCAAAAGCGCCGGCGACCAGTACTTTCCGTTCCTGCGGTCACCAAAGTGGTCTCGGAGAAAGGCCTCGCGGTAGATGAACATGAAGTGTGGGTACTGCCATCGGAAGAATTGTGTCAATGGAGCCATGATGTCAGACGAAGACATGCTGAGGTCGAAATGTTGCATCACAGACTCGAAGTTTGATTCTATGCCAGATGAGTAACCCTGCAATACGATATTGGGGTCTTTGGGTGGTAAGTCGGGGATATCAGCGCGGAAGATGGAGGTTGCGCCCTGATAGACTAGGGACCCTTCGAGACCAAGTTCAGTGGATGCTTGGGAGCGGGCTCGGGCGCCAAGCTGGCTCACGTATTCGCCGGGTGCTTGTTTCAAGTCCACTCCCGATGCTTTTATACTGCTGTGGGGGCTCTCCTCTTGGGCGGCGGAGTTGAGCATCTCCTCCCGTTCCTCCGCCGTCGCAGCGCGGAGGTTGCGGACGAAGGACTCGAACCACGAAAGGCGTGACTCTAGGCTCGCGACGTACTCGTGAGATACAGGTACGCGCTTACGATCTACAGGGCGATACTCGCAGGTTGTGTCTGCGGTGGTGCAGTTTTGGCAAGGTTCGGTGCGTGAGCACTTGAACTGAATGGTATAGTCTCAGTACCATGTGATGAGAAGCAGTTCCGCTGAATGGAGGGAGTGGGGATACTGACTTTTCTGTATTGGCATCTTTTGCATCTGCTCGTGTTTTCAGACATTTGTGCTTCTTCTTCTTCAAAGGGGTAATGTACATACGAGATCCTCTTGGTGGGTTTAACTGACACGGATCGTCGGTCCGGAGGCATGGTCTAGCGGTTTAGATGGCAAGCGCTTGACAAGTCGAATCGGCTCTGCCCAGTATCCCTCTTTTGAGAGGCTTTCTACTTCCAAACGATATGATGCATGTGCAGCATGAGAGATGAGGCCAGCAAAGTGGCAATGCCAGCGACAGCACACAAAACCCAAAAAGAGAAAGAAGTTCGTTGCGCCTAGTTCTGGACTTGTGATGTCGATGGAGAAATGAAGACCGACATGCGGGGGCAATAGAGGGCCCTCTGCCTGATATACGGAGCTTGGAAGCGCTAACAACAACCAGCCCGTGTGCATGGGTGGCTTGTCTTCGCGCCCCGGCCGGCCGGTGACGGAGCTCTGGCATGATGGTTGCCCACATAGGCCTCATGAAGCTCACGAAATGGAGACAACTCTAGCTACGTATCAAAGCTCTTCAAGACAAGACAAACTCTAAGACATTCCCTTTTTTTCCAGTTTGACCTTTTTCCAAGACTTCTTTGTGTTTCTTTTGCAATTTGCTCTTCTTGATCTTTGTCAGTACTAACACGTCGGGATGCCGCTTCCGAGCCCGGACCTGATCCCCTCCATCAGTCTCTCGACATCCTCCAGGTTGTTATAGAATCCGAAAGACACCCGGATTCCCGTGCGAAGCCGAGTCGCAACGATCCCGGCGGCCTTCAAATGCCCGAACCATCTAGGATCGCGTAGTCGAAGAACATGCAGATGCGGCGCATGGCGTTCCCTCTCGCTCGGCCCAACCACGCCAACACCCAGGCCCTCGCACGCGCTACGTAGCGCATCACCAAGGCTGTATAGATGGTTCTCCACGTTTTTGGGTCCCATGACTTCAAGATAGAACTGAAGAAACGCCCGCGCTGCGACTGCTGACACGAAGCTCATGTTGGCGTGCTCATATCGCCGGGCCGTGGGGTGGAAGAGGACAGGCCCCTGGGGAACCATGAAATCTTCCGAGTCGCCGTTGCTGCTCACGCCTCCATACCCAACTATCGGCGGTATCGGGTCAACCTCTGTGATGAACTGCGTATCAACGTACAGCGCAGCAAGACCCGTCGGGGTATTCAGCCCCTTGTGCAGGCTAAACGCCGCCGCCGAGACGCCCAATCCCCGGACATCGACATCCGCAAAGCCAACCTGCTGCGTGAGATCCGCCAGAACATGAATCCCTCGGGGTCGATAGGCCGCGCACACGCTCGCCACGTCGTTCCACTGTCCGCTGTGGAACATGATGGAGCTCAGCCCGATCGCCTTGGTCCTCTCGTCCACGTACGGCGCGAAAGTGTGCGCGTCTGCGGCTGTGGGATTCTCGGCGTCCGTAGGCACGAGCCTGACTCCTAGCCCAGAGGGCCGGAGCGCCATCCATGCGAATGCCTGGTTGGGGTGCTCGCAGTCGAGCATGACCACGTTATCGCCCGGAGTGAACTCTAGCCCGCGGATGAAGCTCCCAAGGCCTTCGGTCGTGTCTCGCACAAAGGCAATGGTCAAGGGGTCGGCGTGGATGTACCTGGCCAAGAGGTCTCTGACTGCCTCGACGTCCTCTTTCCAGCACGCCTTGGGCGAGGGGTGGTGGAGCGCGCCTGAGCAGAAGCGGGAAAGGGCTTCGTTGACCATGAGGTTTGAGGGGGCATGAAGGCGGCGTTGAGGTGGACTGCCTTTGCGTCGGCGGCGAGAGGCACTAGCCGCCGGAGGACCTCGAAGTCTGGCTTTGGAACATGGGCAGATTGCTTTGTAGGTTTTCTGGTGGTATTTATGGTGGCATTCTCTGGTTCGAAGAGGTCTTGGGTGCTTGAGGGGGCCATGATGACGATTTGATAGGATGGCGGAGATGAATGGAGTGCGGTATGCTGGAGAATGAGTGAGAATACAGCAGGGCACGCCGGGCTTCTTATATATCTTCTAATAATGTTGTGCTCCCTCATTTTCTATCTTGTCCCTCTTCTGGAGCTTGAAGCCCAAACTGCATCATCGGACACTATGAGATGCAATTCGTGTTAGTGAAGTTGCCGCTCCGGGGCCCGCGGACCCACAATGGAGTTGCAACTCCGTCCGCCGCATCAACTCGGTGCGCTGGCTGTCTTTAGCAATCTTTCCTTGAGTCACTTACGGCAGTGTCATAAAGAAAGAGGTTTTCTATCCCACCAAGGAGTCGTTCATGGTAGCAATGTCCATTCGTGGCAGTGAGTCAATCCCGGTAGCAAACTGTGATCATGTTTGTTTTCCGGCCGTGTGACCAGCGACATACGGCGCGGTCGAGCCCGCAGGCTCGGCTCCAACATGGGACACAAGCAAATGCACCCAATCAAAATTTCTAGCGGCAGAGAATTATGGAGAAACTGGCGACCAGGCATTTCCACTTTGGGCACTTATCCGGGTCTGGTCTGGGGCGGACTTGGAACTCCATGGTGGAGACCAATAATCTTGGGCCCAGAGAGGGTGCGGTGTCGGCGCGGGCTTGAGTTCTGCCATGTCAGTTGAGGCCTTTGGATTTTCTCTCTGTGGCCTTGATTGGCTTGCAAGGGTAAGATTACTGCTGTTTCTAACAATCGTCACTCAAGTGATTGCGTTGGAGCCGGGCCTGGCTTATTCAATGGGCGCACTGGTGATCGAGGGACAGGGGCGTCAAGATGGTTGCGAAGTCTTCTTGACTCCATACCCAGTCATGTACTTTTAGTTACAGCTCACTCCAAGACTTCAGATAACCCCATTCATAACCAACTAATAGCTGCTTGCTTCCCATGCCGGCTGTCCTAAGTGGTTTTTCCTGTGACTTCGACCATTCGTTGCCCATTTCATTACCCCATAGCGTTGTCTTCACGGCAGCGTCGTACATGCTCAGGGATAACGATGACCGTCTTGAGATGCAGCTTCTGCTATCAGTGGACACATCAAATTCTAGTGGTTTGGTCTCTTACATCTTGCATAGTACATGCTTTGAAAGGGTTTCTTCAGCAAAATCATGCGACGCAGGTTGTAGGAGACAGCCGTCGCCTTCGGGAAGATCTCAACCAGCTACGACAGGTGGTGAATGTCTGGGACAATCTAGGTAGCAAGGTCCAACCCAAACATTCCGATGTAGTTGTAACAGGAAACAATTTGCTTCGCTAGGTTCGAAGATCGGTACTGCTGTCTTCCTCTCCTGCCTGAAGCTGTTGCTCAGCCGGAGCGAGCGCGACGGTCACATAGGAGGAGCTCAGTTCCTGGTGCCAGAAAAATAGACTGTGCGCCGCGCCGCAAAGACGTCGTTTGTACGACGTTGTCTTCCCTTTCAAAAGAAACTAGTGGGGTCGAGCTGCAGTATGGGTTGCACTATAGACAGCATTCGGGAGTTATGGGCGGGTATCCAGCTGCATCCCGGATGCGAGTAGGTCGCAGGAGCTCCCAACTCCCGGTTGGTTCCGGCTGCTAGTAGCAGTGTGGACTCATCTTGCACCCCTGGGTAGCTCGCGAGCCATAAGGAGACAACTGTGGATAAACCAGGGTCGCCGCCAAACGAGACGCCTCCAAAGTGAGACCCAGGTTCATTTGGCATAGGCGCTGTGTTGATTGCTGTGACGATGCATCCCATGGATTAGTAAACAACAGCACACTGTCCTCGTTTGAGTGCCAACTTGGCTCTGGGTCTCCTCATTATAGTCTCACTCTCATTCTCCTCTCGCCTCGCTTGGCTCTCCAGTAGTTGGACGATCTGATCATCTCCTCGCAACCCTGGAGAATCCACCGCCACTTTTCGACAAAATCCTCCGTCACCTCCCAGTTGTTCGGGTCCCACGGCTCCCCCCACAGAATCATGCCTCCCTGGCCCGACGGCGCGTCACCGTTCCCAATCATGTCGAGGCACAGCTCTTCATCATTCCAGTCCTGGCCGGCCTTTATCAGATTGTCCCGCATCCGCGGCAGGGGCAGGAGATCCAGCCAGGGATGATGCTCGGACGTCAGCTGCATCTCGGTCGGCTTCAGGAAGAACGGCAGGGTCCACTCCGTTTGGACGTTGTAGATGGGGTCGCTGCCGAACGGGGAGACACATTCGTCGTCGCAGACCATCTCCAGGGTGATGCCCAGCGTCTTCATGTTCTCCATCAGCCCGCGGAACAGGTTGAACTGCACCAGCGGCAGTAGCGAGTCCGACATGGGGTCGGGACTCGGGGTCCGCCGGCTCCGGCTCTCATATGCACGCTGAAGGAACAGGTGATAGAGGTCGTCCATATCCTCATCTTGGAGGTCTGTCATCGGCCGCTCCCGACCAAGGTACGTCAAGGCCATCAGCGTCACTTTCCCTCCGCACGAGCGCGCGTCTTCCTTCTTCCTATGCAGTTCCGGCCGAGACAGCGGCATCGTCGCGTACACAAGGGTCTTTGCGCCATCAGGGGCCGCCGACGCCGCGGATAATGTCGTCCATCTCGAGGTCGCTACCAGGGCGCCAGCAGGCGGCGGCGAAGACGACGAGGATGGGACGCTTGCGTCCTGGGCCCCTCCTTGGCGCTCCTGAAGCTTCTCTTGCTTCCGTCGCTGTCCTGTCGCAGAATCAGTCGTGTCAGCAGAGGCGATCGAGGTGACCCGAGAGACAACGGGGCGCAGAATTCCGTCAAACGGCGATGATCAATGGTGGGCGTAAGCAGGTTGCAGGAGGTGGGTGCCACTTACTCCACGTCCGCTGATTGAGCCTGTTCTGGATCTTTCTCCTCTCGGCCGGGCTTGTCTTGCCCTTCCAATTGTCCTCGCTGGACATCACTCCATGGATTGCCGGCTGCATCAGGCTTGACAGCGGTGGTAACGTCGCGGGCTCGACCATGCTGGATTGGTTCTCAATGCTTCCCTCGGCGATATCTGATAAAGAATGATGGGATTTTCTTGATGGGAAAGCTGCGGGAGGATAACTGGAGGGAGAGGCCCAAGGGCACGCACAGGGCTGGGGAGCGCATCGGCGGGGATCTGGAGTTAGGGGATTTGGTTCCCGAACAAGGGATTGGCATTTGCGGTTAGGCCGATGCACATCATGATGCATATCGAGTTAGTCCGGACCAGGACGACAGCGTTGTTGACACTAGTGACGTTGACTGGAACCAGTTTCTGGACATCGGCTGAAGTATATTATCAATACTGTGTGGTGTTTCTCCTGTCTTATTCAATGTTTGCTGTGTTTCTCGGGTTCCCCAGATTTCCCCCTCGTTTCCCCACGGCACCCGAGTCTCTGCAAGTGAGCCTCTGCCTCTTGGAAGTTTTGTTTCCGATGCAATGGCTGCCGAACTTGCGTATTAGTGATCATCTTGAGATCCCACGTGGCAAACGATGCCACTAGTGCGCCAGACTTTCAGTTCTTTCTTACGACGAGCGGTATTTGTATGACATCTAGGCCTGAAAGAGCTTGGCTTTGGCCTTCGAGCAGCTCCGTGTCCGCACTTCCTTTGGCTTTCGTAAGGCGTGTCGTGCAACTGGGTCCGCGCCAATCAAACATGCCACCGAGTGCCACTAGCGCAGCCTTGGATAATGCCAGCTGCACTCCGATTTGGCGCCCAGGGGTCCTCTTTCAGCGCTAACTGAGCGGCTAGAGTCAGGGGTTGACGATTACAGAGTGGGCTGTGTGCGTTTACTGTCTTCATAACTCATTGCACAATTCACTGCACAACGCTCCCCAGGCAATTATCCATTCACAAGCACAAGCACAAGCATTTACTTGGACACTCTCCACGACTGAGAAAAGATGAAGCAGACGCAGTCCATCTTCTCTTCTCGCCGCCTTTATTTCCGTCCCACACTTCACCGTTTTTATATTTGCTGTCCAGCGGCAAGCAAGCAATATGGCTACAGCAGCTGTTGTACCGTTCCGTTAATGACGTCTTCTGTGGGCAGAGGCTATGTTGAGCCTATGTTAAGGCAGCATTCAGAAGTTGGCAATGAACCAGGCAGTACCAACCAGAGTTGCTTAGCGCAATGACCTTGCCTTCGACACCAAACAAGCTACGAATCCATCATCTCCCGTTCCACCCACAGGCCTCACGGACCCTCCTCTGGTCACAGAAAGAGCGTCAACCCGACAGCCTGACTTCTTGATTGCATTCTCACCATCGCCAAACAGCGAAGGACTCACTGACGTAAGCTTGTCACCGCACCGCCCAGGAAGTGACTGGACTGGGCATTTGCAGCAGTCTACACACCCATCAAAGCAAAGAGTGAATCTTGGAAGGGGTGTTCGAGCGTTATCTCCCCCTCAGAAACGGTCCGCAGCCAGGACGTCGTCAGGTTCAAGATGGGTTCCGAACCATCGGTGAGGGCTACAATGACAGTCATCGCAGACCCCCTCGCCGCACGCCGAAGTATCGTTTGGCGCAGTCGTCCTTGGCCGAGCAAGACCTCCACTTCCCAAGGCCTTGGTTCCTGGCGGTCCAGCACCCACCTTCCATTGCCATCGCACTTCTCCCAGCAATAACCCTTGGTGTAGCCGTAGTCGTCACTGAACCAGCACTCCCGGGAGGCAAGCTCCGGTGACAGGCCGCCGTCAACGCTCAGCGGGCTCCCCCTGCACGTGCGGATGTCGGCGGAGTCGGTGCCGGCGAGGGATGATCCCGTGCAGGATAGGATGCCTAGATTGCCGCAGTTCGAGGTGGCATTGAGGGCGATGCTGGCGAGGGCGCGGGTGAGTTAGGAGGTGAGGCGATGGCGACAGTTGCGGTGAGCTACAGCTTGCTCTCTGAGAGTTCTATGTGCCTTTGAGTCAGCCTGGCCTTCTATTGAGATAACAACAGTGTGGATTGAAACGTACAAACTACCGAGATAAAAGGAGCGATATGTGATGCTTCCTCAAGGCGTTGTGATGAACCTATGATGTTTGGCAGCGTTGTGGTCGTCGTTAACTCTACGTGGAAGGCTTCACCAGTATCAGTACTAGTCTCCGTTCATCTGCCTTCCAAATCGAGGCATCTTGGTTAGAATCCTTTGTCTTCTGGTATCGCATTCATGACACCCGCGTGAGGTTTGGCTATGGCTGACCGCTGTCTATCCATCTCCATAAAGCCCGAATCTCTGGGGACATTGACAAGCATCGTACACCTTCAGGTCTCGCTATCTCTTCTAGGGGTGAAGCTGGTGTCAAGTGACAGAGAAGGCAGGGACCTCTAGAGATTTGTGGCGAGCAAAGCGAAGAAAAGTTTTACAAATGCGACAAACCTTCATAACCCTCATTATGTATCCTTGGAAGCAGGTCGAAAGACGAGTCGAAGGACGAAGAAACGACGCTGGACGATTCGGCGGGAGTGCCAACATCATAGGGCTGTGCACTTCACATCTTCTACGAGCCGCGAGTTCTTGAACTCGGTTTGATGAGACCATATTCCAGCACATCGCGTTATATCTCATGAGTTTCGTTAATTATTGGCATTACACCTACCTTCAACTACAACATGTAAACGTAAACTTGGAAAAAGTCGCCTTTGGAGCGTTGGTACAACTGATTGGGCAGGGCTGACGTTCTGGCCTTGCATTCACCCGCACTACCGCATCCCTACAGAAGAGCAATGCGATCAAAGATCCAAAGTTACGGTTTGCGAATGATTTTGAATGGTGTTGCAGCGCGCAATGTTCTGTCTGTGACTGCTCTGTTGTGAAGGAGATTGTGGTACTGCAACAGACCCTTCTGGTATCACTGAGAGACTGGCTAGAAGGGCTGAGCACACGTGATGCTGAAGATGGGGTGTTTTAGCTTCCTCGTTTAGATGATTAAGGGAGAACTTACGCTCATTCGCAAACAGTTGGTTTGCATTGTTGATTGCCCTGTCTTGGATGGATAGGTCTCAACCTGATACGTTTTCTGCCACGTCTCAGCATGTTGACCCCCAGTTCGGTACCTTGTTCGTTCATCTAGCCCCTCTCATGATATGACCTATATAAGAGATGAGATGACATCATCTGGACTTCGAAACGAATGCCACCTCGGCTTACCGAGCCACTTCCAAGACCCAATCAGATAAGTAAAAAGTCATAATCCCGGTACAAGAAAGCCGACTGGCCTTGCTACAAGGGGGCAGATGGGATTAAGACGATATCTTACAGACGCTTAGACAAGGGCTGGAGCGTCGGCGGCCACAGTAACGAGTCCAGATGCTTTCGAATCATACCATCAAAGTGCCAGGGCAATGAAGCTCATGATATTCGGTGGCATGGTTGGATATCAGAGAATCGATCAAGACAATTTATTTAAAACAGCCAGGGAAATTAACCGCGAAATGCTTTTTTTGCGTCTTTTTGAGTTGGAGTTCAATTCAAGTGAATGTGAATAACCCAATTCGTGCAAACCCAGTTTCGTTCAATCGTGCCAAGCACAAGATCTAATCTGATAATATGACTCAAGACACCGAGGCTCAAAACCACTCCGTAAGTGTTCAAGTCGTGCGACAGCATCTCCAACTAGCCCCCGGGACGGCGACCGGAGTCGGGGCGGGAGGCCGACGGCACCAAGGCCCCGGAATCCGAGCTCCGACCAAGTCCCACTATGGCAAACAGCTCGGGGCCAATCACCTACGGCAGATGCAACCCCCACCAAGGTCAGCATACCCCACCATCGTCAACGCCCACACGGAAAGGGAAAGGAGCTCGTGCTTGCCGCAGCTCATCCCATCTCCGGGCAGCACTTCGGCGAACGTACCTCAGCCAACGAATCAAACGACCAATCATTTTTAACCCCGCGGATCGGTTTTTTTTATTCTTTTTTATAACGAGAAGGGGTACTTGCAAGGGAACCCGACTTATAAGGCGAACCAAAATCAGGATTTCCCTATTCTCGCAAAAACCAACACTGGCGACAAGGGACAAGGGAGTCAACAATCATGGCCGAAGCGGCCTCTCAACAGCAGCCATCGGGCGGCACGATGCTAACGCCGGACGCCATTGCAACCGTCCTTTCCTCCGCTTCGGCCTGGGCTGATCCGGGATCGGAGGACCAAAGCCGCGCGCATAGGACGGCCTTGCTGGGCGACGTACTGTTCACGGCGCAGCAGCTGTGGAATGCGGGCAGTGAGGAAATTGATGTCGTTGCGGAGAAGCTGGGTGACGGGAGCCGAGATGGTGAGCTCCCTTTGACATGAGATATTGTAGGACAGGCATGCAACTGACACGTTTCACAGCTTCTTGGAGACTGCCCTTGGGGAACTCGGGTGTCCTAGACTTCTTCCTCTCCATCATCTCCTCAGATGGCCTGCGGCCAGCACTGAAGAAGCATATACTCCGTATCATTGGCAACTCATGTGCCGACACTGGTATGACACTAATGTTTGCTTTCACTCATATCCCGAAGGCTGACCTCATCCTTAGACGAGAACCGTGAAAGGGTCATCGCCTCCAACGCCATCCCTTCCATCATCGGCTTTCTCGACGACGACACGGCGCTTCCCTTCGCCGTGCCCGTCCTCTACAACACACTCGTCGACTATGAACCAGCTCAGGCCTATGCCAGTGCCTCGTCCCTGACCAAACACCTTGTGGGCCTACTCGCCAGCACGCGGCTCGCAAACGCTCCGCACCTCGTCAGCATCATCGCCAAGATCCTTGCTCTGCTAGCCACTCACGGTGAGAACCTCACCTGACCGTCCCTCTTAGGAGCATCTCGCTAAACCTTTTCCCCAGAATCCGAGGCAAACCTCGCACCCCCGGAAACGCCGGCCATCCTCCTCACGCTGGCCCTCACACCTACGACCGACGCCGAGGACTTTGTCTCCCTGACGGCCGTCGCCCTCGCCTACCTCACCCACGCGCCCATCCAAGCGGCTCTTATCGCCACAGGGTCCATCCCAATTCTCCTCGCGACCTTCTACCACCTCCAAACCCAGCTCGAAGCCATCCAGGTCGAGGACGAGGACGCCGCTGTCCAACTCAGGGCCCTGCCGCAGTCCTTTGTGCAGATCCTTGCCGACGTCTCCTACGCCGAGGACTTCACTCTCCACCACTCCCTCGGCTCCCCCGTCCTCGACACGCTCCAGTCATGGCTGTCCCTCCCCAACCCTCACCTCCGCTCCGCCGCCTGTCTCTGCCTCGGCAACGTCGCCCGCTCTGACGAGGCCTCCTTCGCCCTCGTCCGGGACCATGCCGTCCACGTCCCGCTCGTCGGCCTTCTCCGCGACGCGACCGATTCCCTGCTGCTACACTCGGCGCTGTCCTTCCTCAAGAACCTCGCCATCCCGTCCCAGAACAAGCCCGTCCTCGGCGACGCGGGGCTCTTTGACCCGGATGTCCTCCCCCGCATCTGGGCCCTCGACGTGAACCCCCAGGTCCAGTTCTCCGCAGTCTCTCTCACCCGCCTGCTCCTCGTTAACACCCCCTCCAACGTCCGCCGCCTCTGCGCGCCGCTGAGCCCGGACCCCCTATCCCCTTCGCACGAGACGACGCAGCTCCACCGTCTCCTCGACATCTTTTCCCGCACAGACGCCGAACACACAAAGACGGAGGCCGCCCGCGCCGCCGCCGTCGTCTGCCGCGTGCTCCACACCGCCCCGATCCCCCCCGTCCTCCCCGACTGGAAATCCTCCAAGGACAGCTACGTGTTCCGGCCCGAGAAGCCCCTTTCGCCCACGGCCGTAGCCGAGGCCGAGGGCGACGGCTGCACCAAGAGGCGAGAAAAGTTCTACCGCCAGCACGCGAGCCTGACCAGGGCCCTTGCCTTCCTCGTCACGCAGACGCGGTTCCCCGTGCTGCGCAGCGAGGCATGGTTCGTCTTCGCGCTCATGTGCCGTGCCCAGGACGGCGCCGACGTCGTCATCCGCACGCTTCAGGTCACCGGTGCGTTCGAGGCGCTGACTGAGGCCATCACGGGGCGGGCGTTCTCCGGGGAGGAGGCGCCGGCAGACGCAGGTCAGGCCGTCGTCGTCAGCGGCGGGGGCAACGCGGCGATGGTGGAGGGTCTCGGACTGGAGCCGCAGCAGGCCGACCCATCGCAGGCGGCGGGCATGAAGAAGGTCGATCGGGAGAACGGCCTAGTCATGGTCTCGGAATTGGTCAAGAATCATGCGGATGATCTGCCGGCCGCGAGGAGGGCGGCGTTTGAAGACATGTTGAAGGAGGGAGGCGAGCTGCTCGTAGATGAGAAGGGCAAGGGGAAGGCATGATCAAGTAGTCCACACAAAAGAATAAAAAATTAGTTGGTTATAGACGGATGTGAAACAAAACTCGTGATGGACTGTACATCTCAAGACGAAGTTCAGCATTTGGCGCTTCAGTCTCATGCACATGATTGTACGGAGATCACCATTCACGAGGACAGGAACACGGGGTGGAAAATAAAAGCAATCGAATCAATCCTTAGTCTACTCCTGTCACCTTGACCCATGATACACGTCACGTCGTTTTCGTACGATGCGTCTTCCTAAACCCGTCATGCGACGAGCTGGGTGGGTAGGGGGGGCAACCGACACAGGCGGGCGTGATCAATGCAATAGTTTCTTTATGACCTTGTCCTGAGTGTATCTCTCATTTCCACTGAACCCACGCCAGGCCAGAAGACAAACCCGACTTCCGAAGAACTTTTTTCCCTTCCTCGAAAGTGTTTTTTAACGTGTCGAAAGCAGCAGCCGAAAACCCATATCCATGCAGTTTAGCTGCACTAGCCGCAGCATCAAACAAAACCGCCCCCCGACACCACAAGAGACGATAGCAGAGCAGCAGCAGCGGTGGTAGCAGAGGCTGAGACGTGCGTTTATTTCTTGGCAGCCTCGGCCTCGGCCGCGTCGCGGGCACGCTTCTCGCGCTTGCCCAGGAGACGAGCCTCGCTTCTCGCCAGGCGGAGCTTGCGGTAGGCACCACCCTCGATGGGCTTGGGGACGTCGGACTTGGAGATCTCGGAGAAGCCAGAGGCGGCCTTGGCGATGGGGAGGGCGTTGGCGAGGTTCTGGACGGTCTCGGTGCTGGCGAGGTCGACCTTGGAGTCGCCCTGCTTGACCTTGTTGGAGCGGCGGGGGAAGACGACGAGGCGCTCCTTGTAGGCCTTGAGGCGGGCGACGTTGGCGGCAAGGGACTCCTCGCTCAGGTTCTTGCGGCGGCCATCGACGGAGATACCGATGGTGGGAGCGTAAAGGCGGGGGATACCAGCGGCCTGCGGAACATTGTTAGGACTTGCTGTATTGTGCGTGCACCAAAAAGTGCCCCTCTCTATCGTCGTCCTTCAGAGTTCATCGTACCTTAAGCTCGTCGAGGGTGAAACCGCGGCCGGCACGGACCTTGCGGTTGTAGCGGATCGAAGGGCATCTCACGATCGGGCGGAGCAGGTCGGTGGGACGGGGAGCGACCTTAGCAGCCTTGGCCTGACGGGCGACACGGCGGCTGTGCTTCTTGCCGGCCTGTTGTGATGTTCCAAGTCAGATCCTGCCTTTCCCAGACCACAAAGTTTTTTTTTTCGTCTCTCGGGAGCGTCCTGCGCGGGATAAATCATACCTGGTCGAAGTGCGTCCGGACCCGGCGCTGCCAATCCTTGCGGAAATCTGTTGATAGTGGTGTCAGTCCAAAGTGTCTCGGGGAACAAGTCGTCGTCGTCGTCGTAGTCGTCGCCTATCGCGGGAGGAATTGCTCACGGTTGTGGGGGATCTGCTGGTTGTGTGCGATCGCCTAGAAGGAAAAAATCCCAACGTCAGTATTCCGCAATGCGATGCCGTCGACGGCGAGAGTCTATCGGGGGCGCGTATCGACGTACCATTGTGCCTGTATTGCGCGATCAAGGGGGTTAGTAGTCCGGATGGGCCGTCGTCGAGATGCTGCTGAACGCTTCGAAATTTCCTGGGAAGGGACGAGTCAAAATCTCGAGAAGGGCATGAAAACCCTACGAGGGAAGGTACGTACTGGGCGCAAATGTTGATTGGGCTGTGGGGTCCACCTGCCGTGGCGGCGAGGCACAGGCGACGGCCGAACCATGTTCCGGCGGGCCCTCGACGGTCGGCGTGGCTGGAGCGCTGCAATCTCTGCCGCTGGGATGGTACGTACTGGTGCCAATTGTGAAAGACTTTGACGACGCGATGCGACAGTGTCCTAATAGTTGTGAGATACTGGGAATATCTTAGAGACCTAAATCGCGGTACGTTCTTGACGAGCTATGCATTTGGACCAAGCAGCAACTATAGGAGTTACCCAGATCCCCCTCGTCTTTCCTACACTAAACGGCCGATGTCAATAATTACAAATGCACAGCTGCGAAGTCTTCACTGAGGCTACCTGCTAAACTGGTATGTTTGGCACTCTCTTAGCAGTGCCAACAAGTCTAAGCCTGCAAGCCAATAGAAGGACAGACCAAGGTACGTTCTTTCTACAGACCGGCAGGCACCAATTTCCATTTCGCTTCGAAGAGTGGATCAAGTGACTACCTAGCGTGCCTACCGGTACCTCACCTGCCGAGTTGCTCCACACGTGACCTACTGATTGGGGACACATTGTGAAAACCTATATAAGGGCACCCCAAGACCGCAGATTCTCTCCTCTTACCTTTTGGAAGGTATACTTACCTTGCTCAGTTGTCTGGCGATCAACAAATCCGGACTGCAGAGAGGGAGGCCTGCATTGCACATCGCGGTGTCGACCTCTCTCGATTGCCCTTCGGGGCCATCGTGGGTGCAATTTTTGATTTATACCACATTTTCATTGTGCGCTCTGCCTCGTGCAGGGTCATGAAGAAGGTGCCCATTGCTTTTCTATTCGTGATCAGGGAGTGAAGATGATGCACCTTGCCGGAGTTCGATGTCAATGCGAGTCAATCCAAGGCTGGGGTCAGTTAAGATCTTGTGACAGCCAGGTGAAGACTGAAATTTTGCTGGTCGGTAATAAGCCTACGGTTTGCTTTGGAAGTCCCACGGTCGTCGACATATTCGTCATCCATGTCCTGTGACGGTTTGCCGGGCGCAGCAGAGTCTTCACAGCCAGAGTTCTGTTGATTGGTACTTTGCTCTCCTTCGTCGATGCCTCACACTCTGAAATTGACATTAGTGGAAGAAAGGTCCAGCGGCCTTTCATCTGTTAGAATCGATTGATCGAACCATCCATTTGTGTCCCAGCCTGCCGCTTCCAGCACCTCACAATCTCCAGTGGCAAACCCTGGGTAATGAGGATTTGGACTGTCTTGACATGAACGACGGGCGGCACACACTCTGTCGAAGCTCATCTCTGCGTGTTTCGGGTGGTTGGTACTTTTCGGCGACATCCAAAAGAGTCTACCTTCACGTCTCCTGGCATCTTGACCTCCTGGCAAGACACCAATTTAATTGAGGCCGGTCCAAGGGGATGCGTATCCGGTGTTCTGATGCTTAGCGAAACAAAACGGATAGTGAAAATTAGGCGCTGAGTCCAAAGGACCAGAGTATCGCGGCTTTTGAGGTACGACCTGGAGTTGAGATGGACGTGGTTGGAACAGCATGCACCAAAATGTCGAGAACCCAATGCTAAGCATCTAGATTACCTGTGTCCTGCATCTCAAGCAAGATAACCACAACTCCAAAAGATCCCTAGTGCCTCTTGGCTCTGTTCAGGAACTCCTACATCCAGCATCGCCATGTCCATCCGATCCTGCGCTTCACCCCCCAACCCATCCAGCAAAACCCGTCTCTCAGCTGCCCGCAGCTGTCTTTTCAAATGGAGCTCCAGCTCCCCGAGTCTTGAACATTTTCTCGTACGACGCCCCAACGGAATAAGCCGTACCAATGAGGCGCCGCCAAAAAGCATGCATGCCGTAGTGGGCCCGTCCAATTCGCAGGAAAGAGCTCCAAAAAATCTCATGACAAGCCCATCCCGTTTCCCCGTGCTCCGGAACCCGCGAAACCTGCGAAAGCAAACCGACGACGACGACGACGACGACGACGAAGCTCCTGCCACGCTTCTTCCGAACCGCCCTCCCCTCGTTTCCCACGTCCAGCCGTCCCTCCCGTACTTCGACAGGTGACGACACGACGACGACAACGACGTCGACGACCAAGATGGCATCCAGAGTAGGCCCTCGGAGCGCCTCGGACGCCACGCGCTTCACCTCGACCACCCCGCACGCCGCATCCAAGAATTCTCCCACATCGACGACGGCCTCGACGACGGCCTCGAGTACACCACAGCCCCCGCGGGTCCCCGGCCGGCAACCGGGCGAGTCCCCCGAGGAGCGCGTCCGCCGCCTCCGCGCCGCCCACGAGGCCGCGCGTGCGGCGCAGACGTCGAGCGTCGACCGCGTCATCGGCGGCAGCCGCCGCTTCTTCGACTTTGCGCACAAGTTCGCCGTCCTCGGCCTGGTCGGCTTCACGGGTACGTCTTTGTCTGGCCTTGTCCCGACCTCGCTTCAACCCCCGATGGGGCAGCACCGCTCCCCTGCCTCTAGTTGAGGCACACACGGGACGGGTGCTCGCCACTCAGGGAGCATGGAGGCAAGGCAAAAAGAAGACTGCGTCACTGCGTCACTGCATCACGAACCGCAAAAGCTGACATACACCTCTCTCTCACAGCCATCGCCGGCCTCGTCTCCGTCTACTCCGTCTACGACATGGTGACGTACAACAAGCAGCGCCGCACCGACTTCGTCGAGGCCCAGCGCAAGATGGAGGAGGACTCGCTCGCCTCGGCCCGCATCGCCTTCATCAACGGCACCGCCACCGACGCCCAGGTCACCCTCGTCGAGGAGGCCAACGCCCGCGCCCGCGAGACCGGCGTCAAGCTCCCGCCCCTGCTGTCCGCGCCCACCGTCACCACGCAGGCCGAGAAGATCTTTGGCAAGGGCGGCCAGCAGCAGCACCAGCAGCAGGACGCCCTCGCCGCCGCCCAATCGTCGCCGGACGCGGCCGCCTCCGAAGCCGCGGCGGCGCCCGCACACAAGCAGAGCAGCAGCAGCAGCTGGTGGCCCTTTGGCTCCTCGTCGTCCAAGCCCGACGCGGCCCAGGCGGAGGACAAGGCCGCGGGCCTCGCGCGCGCCGTCGAGGAGAGGAAAGAGTTCCTCCAGGACAAGGCCAAGGCGGCCTTTGAGCGCGAGCGGGAGAACCAGCGGCGGGGCGGCGCGCTCGACCAGCTCGGCCTGCCGGTGGAGGAGAAGAAGGTCGAGAAGAAGGGGTGGTGGTAAACGGTTGTTTTTCCGCTGGTCCACCTTCTCGTCCACTTCCTTCCCGCCTCCTTGAGACGGCAGAGGAAGTACGCCGGCGGCGGCATGTTTCTTTGTTGTAATATGATGCAAAAAACTGGAGAGAGCATGCGGTCGGTACTGCGACGATACTGGTGCATAGAAGAACACAAAACTTGGGGCGTGTGTGAACCCCGGCGACGGAGGAACTACGGAGTCTCTCGAGGTTGACTGGCGAGGGGATCTTGCGTCGCCATTCAGAAAGACGGGGAGGAGGAAGACTCGGGTGTAGTCTCCAATTGTACTGCACCATTTCTTCAGAGCCCCTTGCGTATCAGACGGCGGGGCCGAGGGGGTTGAAGGTGTCACTGTATCATAGTGTAGACTGACTGGATGTGCATTAGACGGCGTCCGGTTTGACAAGTTTTGCATGCGGAAGGAAAAAATATCACCCTCATCTTTGCATTGCTCGGGCCTTGGATGCTGCTCTTGCATTTGTGTCGTCTTGTCTCCTTTGGCAGTGACGCGTGTTTGGGGGCTCCAAGACAACATTGGTTGGACCGTTGCCACCAGCCGCCTGTGCCTGCGGACCGCTGACACCATCTCACCAACATCCAATGGCACGCTCAGTGTCGTGAATAGTGCTGGCGCCATCGCCGCTTGATTATGCCCTCTCGGGTCGGTATTATGTACAGCCACCCCATGGAAACGCTTCAAGAATGCAAGTTCCTCCCCGAGTCTCAGTCAGCCGCGCCGGGCCAGTCGACTCTCCCGTCCCAATTATGCATACCAGAAAGCCTATGGACCCCCAAAGGAAAAAGAGCCTGCCCCATCAGACCCGAATGAGTGGAAAGATATGCGCTAAATATGGTATTACCGCCGGCCGAGACTCCCGTGTCTCTGGCAAACCCCCAAATCAGAAACGCCATAAAGACCAAAACTTGGGCGCCTTGAGGCATCGACCTCAGAGAGCACCTCCGTCCAAGACTGGACGACTAAAACACACCGACTTTTATCAGGGCGATCGCCCTTCGGTCTTCCGATTCCTCTAGCTTCCTTGCTTCTTGTTCTCGACGCCTTTGCTGCAAGCGCTCCTCGGCGGAATAGTGCCGCAGTACCATATCGACTGGAGCCGCCAGCTCTACTAGATTGTCCGTCAGATGGACGCCTTGCCCCCTCTACGAGACAATGATGTGGTTGAAATGGCCGGGAACCTTGAGGCGGCACTTCTCGCAGTCGGCACGGTAGCCGATGCTGAAGCTCTTCTTCATGCCGGGCTGCCATGTCCACGTGTTGACAGTGTGCCTAGACCGGATGTGGCCCTTCCGGCCGGGCGAGGGTGTTGCCGGCGCCGACGTAGTCTCCGTAGGGCCCGAGTCTATCGTGGTGGTGACAGAGTCGTCGCCCATCATGTGGTGGTGATCCTCGACGTCCATCATGCCCATGTCGTGGTGGCCATGGCCGTCGAGGGACGATTGCTCGAGGCGCATGGTGAGGTTGGACGGGAAGCCGTTGTCGAGGACCATGCCGGGAGGGCTCAGGCTCCCGCTGTCAGCGTGGCTGCTCGAGTCCTCGCCTTCGCTAATGGGCGAGGGTAGACGGCGGTTCTGGACGGCGTGCCAGTCGTCGGAGCCCTCCATGGTGCGGGGGATGCATCGGGACTGGTCGGCGCTGAAACCGGCGTGCATGTGGCCCATATTCACGACGCCGTTGAGATGGCTCACTGCGGGTCCGGGACCACCCCAAGCGCCACCCCGGACCTGGGCGGCGAAGTTTGGTTGGATGGGCGTCGGCATGCGGCCGTTGCTTGAGGCGTGCTGGTCGGCGTGGATTTGCTGGTGCTGGTGCTGGTGCTGGTGTTGGTGTTGGTGCTGTTGCGGCACAGGCGGCGGCGACATTGTGTCCATCATGTCCATGTCACGGTCGGCGTCGGCGGCCGGGCCCCAAGGCGAGGGCTGGCAGGACATGGGCGCCGGGGACGACGACCAGGGCGAGAAGCGTGACCTGGGTTGTTCTTCCGAGTCCGAGTCGCCGGGCGTCAGGGTGCAGGGCACCGAGCTGAGGGGCATCATGGGCGCCGACCAGCGCTTCGAAGAGGTGGGCGAGGTGCGGAGGGGAGGCATTGGAGGCGTTTCTGGGTGGACAAGTCAGCGAGGGTGCTTTGGAAGGGGGGATGGGAGGACGGGGAACGCAAGCAGGCGTCGTACATTTCTGTGTTCGCCGAAGCTGAGGGAGCCGTTGTGCAGATCGTCGTCGTCGTCGCGGCCCCTCTTCCTCGCGACGTCCGTGTATTGCTGCGTGCCGAACATTGCGTGAAGGTGGTAGTGGGGGAGAGAGTGCTGCGGGTATCTGCGTGCTATGTAGGTACCGGTAGGTGGAAGTGCGACGACGGTTGAGTGCGGATGACGGACGAAAGGGTAAGCGCCACAGCTAGCGATGACAGCTCTGGACTGGACTTCAACGCACGTCGGTAAGTCTGGATGTCTGGAGATCTGATCTGGCCGCCGGTGTAGGTAAGTTGAAGAGGAGAGGAGAAAAGAAGAATATGCGCATGCACTGATGATGGAGGATGGCGCCGGTGGTGCCGTGACGGTCCGTGGTTGCTGCTGCTGCGGCTGCTGCTGCTGCTGGGAAGTTGGGGTGCACAGGCTGCCAAGTTGCCCCGGACTGAAGGTGCCGGGATTGACGGGGGGTGGTTGGTTGGTTCAAGGTTGGTGGCAGGTGCGATGCAGCGGTGCGATGCGCTGCGGGTGCGATGCGAGGAAGACACAACCTGGGAAAGTGTGTCCCACGAATTTCCTGGTCAGCTCCTGCTGATTGGCCTCGTACAAGTTGTCGATTGATCCTGGGGAGGCTGAGTCGACAATTAATAAATCAAAAAGGCGAGGTTGAGGTTTTGCGTGCGCCCCCGTTGCGAGAAACGTCGTGTAAGTCGCCGCGGGCCCCGATGAGGCAAGGCTCGATCTGCACTGCACTGCACTGCGCAGCGCAAGCAAGCAATGCAAGCACTCAGCGTACGGCGGGCTGCGGACTGCGGGCTGCGGGCGGGCTGCGTGTGGGCTTGCCTGCCTGCAGTGTGGTGGTTCCCCAGATGACGGGAAATTGCAACTGAGATTGGTCCCGTAGATCAGTCAAGACGCGCTGGTCGTGCGGCTGTCCAGCGTTCCTTTTTGCGGGTGACGGTCAGTGTCGACACCGTCGATACGATGCTGCTGCTGCTGCTGCTGCTGCTGCCTCCTTTGGAAAGGACTAAGGGATCAAGGAGAAAAGCGCCAAACCAGAATGTCGGGAGGCGAGGGCGGTCGCAGAGAAAGTGAAATGGGAAAGTAAAATAGCTGGGGGAAGGGAAGAAGAAAAAAATACAGATAAAAATTACCTGGCAATGAAGGCGACAGGCAGACTGGGAAACAGACACGGCGGGCAACGTGCCAGAAAGCGGATCGCGCGAAGCACCTGCCTGCACTGGGAAAGCTGTTGGACGCCACAAAAGGGGGGAGGGAAGGGAAGAGAAGGGAAGGGGGAACACGACAGGCAGGTCATGACAGGACAGGCATCCAACGCACCTGCCAGAGGAAAGGAAAGGGTCCCCGAGCGGGAAAAAAAAAAAGAAAAAAAAAAGCCAAAGCCCAGGAAGCAAGAAAAAGAGAGAGAAAGGTCCAGACCCCGTCAAGGTTCTTCCCGGACCAACGGTTTAGGGGACGTGGGACAGGCGCTCTAAGATGGCGCTAGTTCCACCCTGCTGGAATCCAGCCGACAGGAACCTGGGAGGGAGAGAGAGAGAGAGAGAGAGAAAAGAGAGACAGAGAGAGAGAGAAAAGAGAGACAGAGAGAGAGAGACACCAGGGGTTCCGTCTGTCTCTAGGGGCGCCGCTGTGCTGTGTGAGCCCGAATTCTTGGTGATTTAGCTCTGTCGAGGAATGCAAAAGGCGTAAGACCGTTCAAAAGAAGAGCGTGTTCGTGTCGGTTCGCGTCGCTTTGCGAGGCTGGAATGCACAATGACACTCGCCGGCCATCTATTCGCGAAGCAGGTTCGTCGATCAGGTGGTGGGCGGCCGGCCGTATTACCTACATGGACATAACCTAATGCGGGCGGGTTCAGGGAGAGGCCAGGCAAACGAACAAGACAGTCAGTCGATCCAAGTCCGAGCAGCAGGGTCGAGCCCACCACCGCGGCCAAGAGTCCAAAACACCCCTCGGCGCAACAGGTAGGCAAGCGGGTGGAGGAACCGTCCGCAAAGAGAGTGAGAGGTAGGTACGCTCGGTGGAAACCTTGCGGATGACGCGGAAAAAAGAAGCGAGGCTGTGATGAGCAGACCGGGGCGACCTGCGACAACGGGCACCGTCACACACCAGCGCCAGGCAAGGGGGCAACCGGAGAATAGGGCGGAGAATAGGCAAGTCGAAACCAACGGCTCTCGGAGTTGGGGACGAGGGGAGTTGATTAGTGAAGAGAACCCTCCCAAAAAGAAATGTGGCATCCCGAGGCTACGTGTGTGATATAGATCAAGGTAGCTTTAGAAACGAAAGAGGGCGGCCAAAGGGCTCTTGTTCCGAACGACCAGGATCCGGCCTCCGCGGCTCGTCGTCGACTTCGTCTTGGCTGACAAGCTGACGCGATACAGATACAGGACCGACCTGTGTCTTTTCCGCCCTGCTCGTTGCCGGTCATCCAGCTCCTGTTCGTGTGTGCCTGTTATCTGACACCTTGCTCGCCGTGCTTACTCTACCACACGCCGGTCCTTTCACGACCGCAGCGACGAGGCCAGCAAGAGACCTGAGCAAATGGCCAGCTGACCGGGTCTATCCTACTCGAACAGGAAAGTAAAGTCTCGTCAAGCCGCCCGTGCTCTCGAGCGACTGACTGTCCACTACCCGCTGCCCACTACCCGCTGCCCGCTGCTGAACACATCCAACTGTAAAAAAGACGCACACAGAGATCTGTGCGACGCAGCGTAGGTTCGCCAAGGGCGGAAGCGGCCGGCGGCGGCGGCGACGACGACGACGACGACGACAAAGACAGACGTTGGTTCGCTACAAAGGCAGCCCAGGACCAAGGTGAACGGACGCGCGCTGCCTCCTTGCCGCCAGGCCGCGATTTGCCAGTTCGTCCCGCCTACATTCCCCGCCCAGCCTGTGTGCGTAGCATGTTACATGCGGAGGGCTTGCGTGCTGCTGCTCGTCGTTGGGGGAGGGGGGAAGGGATGAGGTGGTGGTGAGGGCTGGTTTCAGAATTGCTTCATGAGATGCTGGGGGTGTGTGTGGTGGGATGAATGGGGGCGGTTGGGTGGATAGTGCTCAAAAGGAGTTTGAGCGTCAAGCCCTCCCGACGATATGCTTAGTGAGGGGCAATAAGCAGGATGGGGGGGGAGGTGAGTTTTGACCGAGATTGCATTGCTGAAGGACTGGGGAGTGGATGGGGTGATGTTGCGCAATCGTTGCGGTCATGGATGTCTGCTTAGATGCGAGTTGAGTTATGCGTGCTCGTGGCCGTTCGGGTCTGGCTTGGACGAGAAGCGGCGAGGCTGTGACGCGATACCGTGAGCCGCCACGGCATATCAGGATCGACTGCCATGATGATTCTCGAGTATCAGGCGGACGATCATTTCTACTTCTCTCGCCGCCGCCGGGCGTCATGAGGTCAGCCATCAACCTTACTCGAAGATGGCATCCCCTTCACCAATGCCACCCGTTCGTCAGCTTGCGACCGCCCCGGTTTCCTGATATCACGCGCCACCTGAAAGGTGACTTGTTTAAAATCGATTTTAGAACATGTTAGAACATGCTTCGGTTGTACGAGTCAACGCCGGGTTAGGGGTGGACGCACAGCTCAGCCCGGCTCGAGCAAGCCGCAGAAATCGATGCCAGGAATCGGATCCCCCCCTCCTCGAACGGGCACGGAGCAGCAGATTCCAACGGCGGGCGGCGTACGGATAACCCTGCGCAGGATGCGCAGGGTGTGGAAAAGGGAAGAACAAGCTGGGCGATGCCCCCAAGGATGGTGATCTGTAGACAGTGGACGTCAGACGTCGTAGGATGCAAATGCTGCTCTCCCCCATCGCCGACGCAACCGTCCCCGAGGGAGAAGCCAGCATGGGTGAGTGTCTCATTGGCGCCCCCACCCCAGATACAGATCCCCCGGGCGCTACTTCCCGTAACCGCCGTCACGGTGCCATCTGGGACTCGCCTAGCCCAGCCGGGGGTTGTCGTAGGCTGTTGGACTCGAGTGGGACAAGACCTTTGGTAGACCTCCCCCGCCGTCCGTGTCCGGGACCCGGACGTGCACCGCGCGGCGCTGGCTGGGAACCCACACGAGTCGCTTCCCCTCTAAAAAGGCAAAGGTTGAGACTGGTTGAACTGACTGGACCGAACGTATCGCACAGGCTTTTGGAGGATTCCGTCAAGTCGTACGACGAGAGCCGCCAACCGCCTCAAATTTAAGCTTTGACTGTCCCCAAGAGGGAGTGATTGCGCCCGTGGGTGGCTACTAGTCAGCAATGTCCCCCGCCGAACCAATGACATAGAACCTGGCACGAGTCCAGCGGGGGGAAAGGAAGATGGTGCTCTGCCACGGCTCCCGGATAGCCAGCTGAGCTGAGCTGAGCTGAGCCGTGTGGTAGCGCCCGCAGCTGTTGACATTGCCGTGGCTTGCATGGCTCGGTAGGACTCTTGACAGAAGGTGAGAGGGAGCTAGGGAAAAAGAGTTCTGACCCTCGGTCCAGTCCGCCGAGGATTGCTACGGCCCAGGGATATTACGTCTCTTTCTCATCTCTTTCGACTGCTGTCGGTAACCGTCATGCCCACGGTGTTGATGTTTTGTTATATAAATAAACGCCGAGGGAGGGTCCATCTATTTTGAACAAGAGAAAGAGGACCAAGAGGAGGTGATCTGCGAAACCGGTTCGAGTCGTCTATCCAAGATTTTCCGGTTCGTGGGCGGCGGGCCGGGGCCAGCTGCGTTTCACTTTGGCTCACGTCTGGTGGTCGAGTGCGCGCTGCGCCGTGCTGCGTTGCTTCAGAGCGCTGAGTCTTTTCTTCCCTGACGAGTCGCAGCTTGCTGACATTGACGACGTGTGTTATGACTAGAATTGTCCTGGCCTTGGGAGGGTAGAGAGCATGCATATTCCCCAGTCGTCCTGCGGCTTGGGATACCTAAGTGCCGGCAGCGCTCACCGAGGAAAGTGGGGACCCGATGCCGGCACTTGCTCGGTGAGACATCGGTGAGCGGCTGGCGCGATTGACCAATCAATTGTGCTTGATTTCTCACGGGATTTTTTTTCGTCAGAAAAGGGTCCAACGGCGTCTCATGTGCAACTGTAACGAAACCATTGATCTTTTCTGCAGATGCCAGTGCAGGATTTCTGCCCATGAGACCAGTCCCCTCTCCATTCCAGTCTCGACTGGCACTATACGAGTCCTAACCTAAGTTTAGAGACTGAAGATTGTTTTAATGTTTAACTCGCGGTGAGGGGCAGGCCGGGTAAATGGCAATGCAATGGGAGGAGGGGGGAAAAAGAAGAAGGCAAGGGAGAAAAAAAGATTTCCCACGTTCCTAGTCAAAAATCAGTTTAGCGGCCGAAAGTGTCTCCAAGACGCTCCAATTTTGCCCCGCCATCGGCCGCCTTCCTGACTCTCTCCCACGCCCCATCCGCTGCGTCACAGTAGGCAAAAATACACAGTATAGGGAAAAATTAAGAAAATTGCTCGCCAATGGCGCGCCACCTTCGCCGTTCGCCGTCTTGCAAGTCGTGAAGCTGGATCTGTGACGTCGATGGGCCCCGAACTCGCACCGATATCCTCACCTCTGGCAGAAAGTAGCTCATGGCGCGTACGAGGAATAGGCAAATTGTTTGCCATGAGGACTGGCTCGGAGCGAAGGATTGGACGGCAACAATGGCAGGACTAACACACGTGGGACGTGCCGACGCTCTCCTGTACATAGTCGGACCGCATTAGACCGCATAGAGCAGCCAATTCCAACCCCCAGAGAGGTACCTTGCCTCCTTTCCACATCATAGCATAGACAAGATACAGAGGTACACACCCTTCAGGTTTTGGTCCGTACCGGCGGGACTGCCTCCGAAGAAAAGGAAGAGAGGGGGAAAAGAGAAAGAGAAAAAAAAAGAGGCTCCGATGCCGTCCGTCTTTTGCCCAGGCACAAAACCACACAAACCAAACCACCAGTGCACACACAAAGGCAGAGCAAACAATTTTTATTTATTTTTTATTTTTGCCCAGGGTGATAATCCACTTCGTGAGTCACCCGCCTCGCCCACCTCTCCTCCTACCACTCACCTCCCCCCAAAAAGGCCACTACCGATTGATTCCCCTTCCCCTGTGGACGAACATTCATCCTCCCACTCTCGGTCAACGACGGCTCAAGCATCGATTCACCACACGATACCCAGTCAGATCCAATCCCAGGCCGACGAACCGCTGCTACGCCCGGCTACCTGTCTCGTATCCCATTGTTAATATCGGTGTAAGCTTATCCCCCTCCCCGTGATTGGCCTTGGGGCGGCCGCTCCCGCCGCCGAGTTGGCCCCGTCACCGTCGTCCGTTTCGGGATGGCGAGCGGGCGGGCGGTGCGCATCTCACGATGATGGCACACCCACCGACGGCCGACGGCCAAGGCGATCAGAGCGCTGCCGCCGCGAGTAGGCTTTGGAGACGCCCGCGACTGACGGAATGGCACAGCTCTTGATATACCCTCACAGCCAAAATGCCCGGCCTCGACCTTGAGCATGAGCCCCTCGCGGCCGACGACGTGAGAAGTGAGTCACTTTTTTTTTTTTTTTTTTTTTGCACCGCCGAATTTGGACGGAACCCACAGCCCATCTTGGACATGTCACTCATCATCCTTGGGACCCTTTTCACTCTGCCCCACTCAAGCTGTTGAAGCGTTCGACTTCACATCGAGGCAATGGCTTCAGCGTGATGACAGGCATCCTACATTCAAAACCTTGTCTCATTGCAGTTGAATCATGCCCTCTCGAAGTTTTCATCCCATCCTCACCTGGACTCGCTCACCGTCTGCGCTCACTCACACCGCTTACCAAACCTCCATGGCCGACGCTCATGAACTAACACGCCTCCAGTCCTGGGACAGGACCCCCTGATCCCTCCCGCGCTGCTCAGCTCCGAGATCCCCATGACGGACTCGGCCCTCCAGACCGTCGTCAAGGGCCGCAATGAGGCCGTCGACATCATCATGGGCCGCGACGACCGCCTGCTCGTCATCATCGGCCCCTGCTCGCTCCACGACCCCGCCACCGCCCTCGAGTACTGCGAGCGCCTCAAGGCCCTCGCCGGCCGCCTCTCCGGCGACCTCTGCGTCATCATGCGCGCCTACCTCGAGAAGCCCCGTACCACGGTCGGCTGGAAGGGCCTCATCAACGACCCGGACATCGACTCCACCTTCAAGATCAACAAGGGCCTGCGCATCTCGCGCCAGCTCTTCCGCGACCTGACCACCGCCGGCATGCCCATTGCCAGCGAGATGCTCGACACCATCTCCCCGCAGTTCCTCGCCGACTTCATCTCCGTCGGCGCCATCGGTGCCCGCACCACCGAGTCCCAGCTCCACCGCGAGCTCGCCTCCGGCCTGTCCTTCCCCGTTGGCTTCAAGAACGGCACCGACGGCAACCTCGGCGTCGCCATCGACGCCATCGGCGCCGCCGCCGCCAAGCACCACTTCATGGGTGTCACCAAGCAGGGCCTCGCTGCCATCACCCGCACCAAGGGCAACGAGCACGGCTTCGTCATCCTCCGCGGCGGCTCCCACGGCCCCAACTTTGACAAGGAGAACGTCCAGAAGGCCAAGGACACCCTCACCAAGAAGGGCCAGAAGCAGGCCATCATGATTGACTGCTCCCACGGTACGTCGTCGTCCCGCTTTGCAAAAAGTGACGAAAAAGAGAACGCTCACGCTGACAACCCTCCCCAGGCAACTCCAACAAGGACCACCGCAACCAGCCCAAGGTCGCCGCCGTCGTCGGCGACCAGCTGCGCGAGGGCGAGACCTCCATCATCGGCGTCATGATCGAGTCCAACATCAACGAGGGCAACCAAAAGGTCCCTGCCGAGGGCCCCGCCGCCCTCAAGAAGGGCGTCAGCATCACCGACGCCTGCATCGACTGGGAGTCCACCGTCGACGTGCTCGAGAATCTCGCCGCCGCTGTCCGCGCCCGCCGCGAGCGCAATGCCGGCTCCTCCAACGGCCACGAGGACTCCCACAAGGTCACCCACCTTGAGGAGGAGTAAATCGAACCTGTCAGTGCTGTATGTGAGAGGGGTTAGCGAGGTTGTGAGACCATCGAAAAGTTTTGAAGAGGGGCTTGGTCGGATGAGAGAAGAGAACATACCACACATGTGCATTGCATTTGCATGTTTTCCCAAAGGCACCAGGGAGGAAACAGAAAAGTCTTTTTTATTTGCGTTCTTTTTTTTATGGTCACGGTGCATGGGTAATGATGCTCGCGTCCCTGGGTCGTCGGCGAAGACGCCCGGGACGCGGGGAGAGATAGATAGCTTTGCGAAAACATGGCTGAGCATTTCTCCGTTGATCGTCTGTGCTAGTATGGCCTGTTGCCGTGACGTGACATTCGTACATGACCCTCGCTCCTAAACCCCGCCCCAAACCAGTCCGGAACGCCAAACCCATACACCGGTCCCAGCGCCAACTTCAATTCGACGTCGGGGGCGCCAACGGGCTATAGTCTCCCCTCCCAGTTCCCGCCCTCGCAGCTTCGGCCGCTCGCTTCCCCTCGCGCAACTCGTTGACCCTCTTGAGCGCGGCCCAGCCCAGCAGGCCCGCGGTGCCGAGAATGAAGCCCCAGACGATGACGCGGTCCTTGTTGCTGTCGCGCTGGAAGCACATGGTCTGGACGTCCTCCTCGGTGGCGTCGCGGCAGAAGCCAATGCCGCTGCCGAGGCAGAACGCCTTTGTGCACTGGGAGCAGGACGAGGACGCGGCGCGGCTGTGGATGTCGGGGGAGGAGGAATCGCGGCGCGAGGGGGCGGTACCGGAGTTGCCGTCCTGGTGTTGCGGGCCGAGGGCGACGATGGTGCTGTTCTTGAAGCAGGTGCATTTGCAGAACGTCGGCGCTGCTTGAGAGGTGTTAGTAGGGGCATCTTCAACATTGTAGACGATTGAGTAGTGATGCAGGACTTGCAATTTGCGCTGACGAGCGCTACTAGCCCGCAGAGGAGCAGTAAAAGTAGAGATATGCGATTCATCCTGGCTGGCTGGGTCAGCGGACTGCTTGCTCTGCCCGTTGCGACACACGCCGTCCAAGAATGAGGTTGTCGCCGTCAAAGGCTTAGGTCGCAGAGGTGACGGCGCACGAGCCACACTCGGCCCGGCTGCGCGACCCCCCTGCTGTGGCAGCACTCCTGTGGCTGAAGCTTCCCGGTCCCTGATTCGCCAGCCCGACCCCAGCATCCAAAAAAGTTCAATTGGAGAACTGCAGCTCCCTCTGGCAACATCGTGCTACCCTCTGTTGCATCTTCAGGAGGAAACCACCGGACTTCCTCACACCATATTCCTCCCGACACAACCGCCTATCATGCGCCGTGTACCGCGTCTCCGGCAGCCGAGCCTGCTCGCGGCGTCCCCGATCCAGTGCACCTGCACCGCCGCGCCCGCGACCCTCCCCATCCAAGCGACGGCACGAAGGACCCTCTCAACGACACCTGCGACGCACAACCGCTTCCGCAAGGCGCTCTGGAAAGGCGGCGAGGCACCCGGCCCGGAGGACCCCTACGCGCCCGAGTCGTCGCAGTTGCTCCGGCAGCAGCAGCTCGAGCGCGAGCTCGCCGAGGCCGAGGCTGAGCTGGCGGCATACGAGGCCGACGCCCAGCACCACGTCAAGACGCAGAAGAGCGACAAGGAACGGAAGCACGTCACCAGCCGGCTGACGAACAAGATCAAGAACCCGCGTGTGTGGGCGCCGACGGAGAAGGAGGTCGAGGCGCAGGGCTACGTGCCGGCCAAGACCATGGACGGGCTCGAGGAGATTGGCGGGCTCGAGGGGTGGTGGGATCAGGAGGGCAAATGGGGCAAGGAGAGCCAGTACGTCGCGTTCGCGCGGACCGACAAGGTCCTCGACGCCGATGTGTGCGAGGCGCTGGTGAGACAGGCCGTTGTCGAGGTGCTCGCCGTCAAGGGCACACGGCAAGACCGCTTGACGGGCACGTGGGCCAAGGGCGGCCGCAAGAACTTTGATCGCGCGATGGCGGTGGGCTTGGTTCTCCAGGAGGACGGAAGCCTTGCGCTCAAGGGCGATGCCGAGGTCACCCACGCCATTGGTCGCGTTTCCACCATCGAGTCCAAGGATGCCGAGCACGAGGCGTACCTTACGCCCGAGGAGGCCACGGAGAGAGTCAAGCAATGGGACCCGAGCTGGAAGAGCGCTTCATTGCAAGACGCGCACCTCAAATTTGCTGTAAGTCCATTCTTCGCCCCGCGTTCCGGGGGACCGCCGCCTAACAGGGAGAAAACACAGGTCCACAAGCGCGTCTTCCAATTGACGGGCCACCACGTCCACGACGCCAAGCTCGCGCAGGTCAACACGGTGGCTGACCTCATCAGCACCATCGTCAAGCCGCCCAAGCCGACAAAGGTGGCGGAGGCGGTGCGCGAGCGCGGCGAGCTGCTCGAGCTGCCCAACGTGCGCGTCCACAACCGCCGCGTCACGCCCATCGACAAGGAGACGGCCGTCGGCCGGTGGAAGGTCATTACGGAGGAGCTCGAGAAGCGCGGCCTGCCCGTCACGGGCCACGAGCACCTCCCCAAGCCGGTGCAGAGGAAATGGATCCAGGGCCGGGCGTAAGAGGCGCTGGTCCGGGGATGGCCTGGGAGATGACGAGATGAGGAAAGGGGAAAAGGAGAGGAATGTGTCTGGTATAGAAGAGGCTTGTACAGATATTGTACTCTTTGTAACATATGGAATATCATCGATTCTTGCTCTGATGTCTGTTCTGAGGCGCAATCATGGAGACAGAGATGCTGCATTTGTGTGCTTTATGCTTGTGGGAGAGGCGTGAGGTAGTAGGCCACGGCCGTGTTGCGACGGAATCTGTTGGAAAACCCTTGTCAACTGGTTAACCTTCGTCTGCCTCCCACCACTCCTCTTGTTCAGCTTCATATCTTGTGTGATGGTCCAGCCTTGTGGCCTTATGATATGCCCGGCGGCAGTCATAGCGAAGCCGGTAAGGAACTCCAAACTCCTGGTATCCAGCAGAGGGCCATCTATCCATAACCGTTGCCGACGTTCATGTTTCCTCTCCACTCCTGTCTCTTTAGGTACCCTATGCAGATGGAGGATCCCATCCACGAGTTAACGACGAACAAACGCACTGGGCATGTGCCGGTAGTCGAGTGAGGGAAGAACTCCCTCGACAGGCAGGAGCACCTTCCCCGGTTGTTCCTTCCTCACTGTCCAGCGAGCTCGCACTCCATCCCAGTACACGACATCTGCACTTTTTTCCCACTCCGTTCAATTTCTTCATACCCATCTCACTCTTTTGCCTTTACCTCCTTCGTCGCCCTATCTCCCTCTCCCACATCACTACCTGCATATGACCCTTTCCTGTCCTTTTGAAGTAAGTTCTACCTCCTTCAACTCCTGCGAGGCTTGAAGCGCAGAACTTGTCGTACCTCTGTCATAACTTTATATCCCGAGGTCCGTCCCCGTCGTCATGATAAGACTGCCTCTTGCTTCTCCACCCTCGACTTTCCCGTCCTAAGGACTATCTGCGTCGGTCAGTGAACTGTACATAGGTCCATACAAGTAAGTGATCTTCTTCTTATGGCCTAACCGACTCGAATGATCGTTCAAGCGACTTGGAGACACTTCAATTATGCCTCCTCACTCGTATCCATGTCACAATTAACAATCCATGCAGAATGTCGCAAGCGTCAAACATGGCGCGCCATTCTACTGCAGAAGGACAGCGACTATGGAAGGCCTGGGCCAAGACTCAAATCAATCCGGCTTTCGCCAAGTATCCAGTCCTTCACAGCCAAGTTGTTGAACAGCTGGACCAGCTGATATTTGAAGTGGGGAGCCTGCAGCCACGTCTTGCGTCCCAGCTAGCATGGGTCCGCCTGAAAGGGGTCTTCGGCAGGTTGGTCCCTTTCGTTGGCGACATCGCTGATCCAGTCGACTGCGAGGTAGTTAGGATTGTCAACGAATGCCGTGTACATGAGTATCTTGGTGATGCTTTGAGAACCTACGGTTGGGATCCCGTCAAGTGTTGCGATCCATCTCTTGGTGTGCACCAAAAGACACTACCCGGACGCACTTTCCCAGGCTCGAGGATCGATTGTCCCTTGCCAAACGCCACCTTCAGTGTCTGTTCTCCGGCAAATGTGATTTTGAGTCCCCAGCAAACAAGCAGGCCGCATTTGCCTTCATCGGGCAGCGGAAACTCTTCTTCCGTGGGGTATGGCGGCCCATTCCTTACCTCTGCAGAAGCAATATCGGCAACCCAAGTGTCAATGGCACGGACGGCACCTCAGCAGACAGCTACCCCTGGGATTGCTTCAACGACAAATCCATACCAATCAACACAGACTAGCAGGGACCAAACCACGTCCATAAACGTAAACATAGCCCCCCAAAACACGAACACATGGGCGACTAATTGGGGAACTGCTCAGACAATCTGCTCTTCGCAACCGGCAACACCGCAGGCTCCTGCACAGGCTGTGCCGTTCCTTGCAGCGGCATCTGCCATCACGTCATCCACGCCTCTTTTCAAAGGGTTTTATACTCAAGGAAGCCCTAAGACAGCTACGGGCTTTAAGCCAGCTTCTCCTGATCAACCACTTTTCACATCGAACCCGAGCCAGTCGACAGGAGGACCAATCATTGAGAAGTCAAGAAACCAAGCTGCCACAAACATACCATCTCCAGCGAGAACTTCAGTCGCTCATGAATTGAAACCCTCTACTTCAGATGTATTGACACAGCCCGCCAAGGTGCAGACGTCGGCTGTTGGAAGCACTTCGAAGCCTATATCGGCCACAAATCCTTTTCCAGGGAAGACAAATGATGAAAGATCACCAGCTCGGCCAGTCGGACAATGGAAACCTGTCATGCAGCAGAACTCATCGTTTACATCAGAAGCACGAACGGAGAACGGCAGCGCCTTAACCTTTTCTGGACGCTTGTTCCCGGGCAGATCATCTCAACTGACACCACCTGCCGCTTCAGAAATCAAGAACAGTGATGTGCTCAAGGCTTCAACAGATGCTAATGCAATCAAGGATTCTCCAGTTATTGATGCCAATGTCCTAAAGGTCCAAGCCGCACCTCTGTCGGCTCCCAAAGCCAACAACCAATCTAGTGACCTTTCGATGTCGAAGGAGGGCAGTTGCACAGTCAAAGCCGAGAAAGACTTTGGCATGCCTACTAGTGTCATGACAGAGACGAGACTTATAGTGATATCGGATGACAATGAGGAACGGGAGACGGAGAACCTTCACGAGGCGCACAACCTGCAGGTCGAACGCTTGTCGGCCAACTTGGCAACCAAACTGCGCCCTATCCTTCATACGTAGATCCGAGAGAGGCTTGCAGTCGTCACCAAAGACGCTGCTGCACATATGCAGCACAAAACTCGCACTCTACTGGGTCGCCAGAACAACGCACACTTTGGCTTCTCCATTTTGCGCGATGTGGAAGTCAAGACGCTGGAGAGTATCACAAATGAGGCAGCAGCGCTTATCGAGGGCTTCATCTCCCAGGCCGCAGACGCTACGGAGTTACCGGGCCGATGTTGGTGAAGCTAGGTCTTGGTGACATGGAGTCATCATGCTAGCCTGATAGGCGGTGCAGAATCAGCCGTGTTTTCCGCTCGGGATCTCAGCATAGCTCCGAAGAGGACTAGCGGAAATGTCGACCATGACATGGGGATGTCTGACCTGGGCTCAACTCACTTGGACCCCTTGTCAAGAAAATATGCATCGGGGAAACAAGACCAGTGGGCACTTGGTCTGGTAGAGACATGCTGATCGTCCACATTTTCCACATTTGCCGAGTATACAATCTCAGCAGAACCATTGTACCATCGCCCAAGACATGAGAAGATGAATGGTTGCTTTGTCCAGCCTGTAGTTAGTTTGTGCCAAGACTATATCACTTCACACAGCTTTCCATCTGCATAGTCTTCAGACATGATGATCATGTAGAAGACCAGGATTGTATGTTCATTCAGCCCTCAGGGGGCGAGTAGCTCAATTGGTGCTACCTGGGGTGTGTAGTCGACTCTAGGTTATGTGTATCATCATCCCTCATCACGCCGTAAGCAACGCTCATGCCATCATAATCCTCCACTTTCCACTAGTTCCATATCTCATCCCTAGGTCAACGTTTCTGTTATCGGCGGTCAGCAGATGTCCACTATGTGGCCGGGGACTTTACGGCATAAAGGGAAGGGAGACTAACAGTTGTAGCTGAAGTTGCCGTCGTTGTTGCCGATGCGCTCCGAGAGGTTGACGTTGGCGTCAATGGGCTCGCCCTCGATGTTGAAGAGGCGGGCGCGGAGGATGGGGACGTTGTCGCCGCCCTCGATGCTGAAGTGGATGTCCTCGGCGGAGTCGGCGAAGCCTGTTTGGGAAGCACCGTTAGTTATCCAGCAATTGAGAACGAGAGCTGTATGCCAAGACCACAGGCACGAGGGAGAGGGGACAGGGAGAAGCTTACCGGCACCACCCCACTCAAAGGAGCCGTTGTTGTTGCCGAGGACATCGTTGAGGTTGAGCTCGGCATCGACGAGGTCGCCGCCGCCGTTGTGGAGCTGGGCGCGGAGGATGTGGCCGTCGTCGACGCGGATGTTCTCGGCGGAAGCGTGGAAAGACATGTTGGTTGTTGAGTTTGGGGGTGTGTTTAGGTGTTTGGGTAGTGGGGTATCAAAGTGTGTTGTTGCTTGGAGAGTCTGAAGTCGCTGCAGAGAGGTGGAGGTGCGGGAGAAAAGGTGACTTATATAGACGTCCCGCGGAGGAGGTTTGTTAAGCTCCCGGGCGGCCTCCGCCCAGACGGAGCAGGAAGCTCTGATGGAGCAGCAAGGAAGGAGCAGCTTGGGGCGGCGAGAGAGGCCTCCATCGTATTCATTGGAGAACCTCGCTGTTGCAGACACGTGGAGGGGAAAGAGCGGTCTTGGACGGGGTGGTGATGAGGCCTTGGCGATCGCGTCACGCCTGCTTTCGCCATGAAGCTCTGGGGGGTTTGGTCTTGGGGGGTGTGGTTCAGGACGGTTTGCTCGCCCTATGAGGAGATGCTCATGCCCGCTCTGTTTGTGTCAATGGACAGATATGCCGCTGTTTGTTACACTGGCTCCCCCGAGTTCCATTGTTTCGGTTTGCTTCTGCCGAATACCATGTATATCGTGCTCTTCCACCAACAAACGTCGTCCTCGTGGAGCCAAGAGCCTCCTCCGCTGTGCAGGGGTAGGAGGCTCGGGAGCTCGTTGGCTGGAAGGGGTGGAACTGGGGAAGGAGGAGGGAGCTTAAGTGGGATGGATGGAGGGGTAGCTCTGTTTTGGCACGACGGGCGATTCACGGGCTCGCCGGCCGCCTAGCTGTTTGTGTGGTCCGACGAGCGGTCTGTTTTGACGTCTATAGTACTACGTACATGGGGAGCTATTCTGGAGAGAACCCACGCACTCTGGGACTGGATAGGTCTCTGGACTCCGCCGGCAAGCGGATGCCGAGGGCTCGCGATGGGGGCCGCTTGGCGGACATGGGTGCTACGTATGCAGGGCGCGATGGAGGGACACGTTTAGGGTACGGGGGACGAAGGAGAAGCTGTCGTATAGGATGCGAGGTGTATTGAGATGACGCGGCCTCCTTCCTTCGAGAGGACGTCCTGAGGGGCTAGGAGCGGGATGGAGATGTCTTGGCCGGCGGGAGGCAGCCGCGCGCTTGAATTGGTTGTGCGGTGGGTTTAAGAGAGAGCTAAACGATCGCTGGGCAAGACATGAAGTCGTTGGTTGCCTCTCGCGACCGCATGTTCGGAGACCCTGGTCGTGAAAACAGTTCACTTGTTTCCCTGTCTAAACTCAATGGATGGCCTGTTGGCCTGGTCACCGCTCACGCGCTCAAAGTTTATCATGTTGCCATGCCACACTCGAAAGAGTGAAAGGCAGGTACCCGGTGGAGACGGAGGTTGGTCCCCTCGTGAGTCCTTAGGCCCTCTGGGCTGCAGGAGAAGAGGGGAGAAAGGGGTCCTTGGGGTCCAGATTAACGTCGCTGACGGAGCCAAGCAGCCAAGTGGACGGCCAAGATCAGCGCGAGGTTGGAGACCTGCTCGGTTCTCATGGCCTTGTAGAATACCGCGGTCCTGAGGTGAAGAACATAGGTACACGAACACTTTTTGTTTTCTCCCATCGGTCATGGCGATGGCGAGGGGGTACAGGACTTTTGGGGCATGCCGTGTCGTCTATTCAGCTGAGGCCTGGTGGATGAGGCTGCCGGAACCCCTGGACCCTTCTTTTCCCGCTATTAGGACTGAACCCGTTAGCATTACCTGACCCCCGGTTTCCCGCTCGGGAGGGCCGGCCTATCACAGTCCCAGAGGAAGCCAGTTTTGGCGGGGAACGGAGGCCGTGGCCCGCGGCATGGACCGAGGGGGGCTGCTCTTTTGGTTCGTCTTCTTGGCAAACGGACCTCTGGGGGTCATCACACGAGACACTGAATGGGGCAGCGTGACTTTCGTCTACACTACGATGGGCGGTCTGTCGAGGAATGCGACGACAGCGACCGCTGGTTGCTGAAGTGAAGGTGAGGTGTGTTTTGAGTTGAGGGTGGCGATCCGCGACCGCACAGGCCACAGTCGAGGGGTTTTCTTTTTTGGAGGGGTTGCGAGGAGGGCCACCGAGCCAAGGCGGGGCGGGGCGGGGGTCTGCCTCATCATAGGAGCGGTCAGAGACTCAAGGGGAAGAACCTGTCGGGGGGGGGGGGGGGGGGGGTTCGAGTTGATCAAGGCGATCAAGGTTGGTAAGGAGGCACCTTGAGGGTTGGGACGAGCTGTATAAAAAGGGACACCATGGCCGGTCTGCCCACGAGACGGAGTTGGGCCAACGTAGCTTACATCACATCTGACAGGTCATCACGAAAGCTGGTGTTCTTTGAGGCTTGCAGAACGCGGTTGCTGGAGGGGCAGCGACATACGATGCCAACATGCAGACGCAGATCACCGAAAGTAGAACGGGATGATTTTCGACGACTCAAAAGGTGTATTCTTCAAATGAGCGACTAAGCTAGCCAACAGGTCCGACCCAAAGGGAAACGAAGACACCGTCCGTCGATATAGTACTACCGATCCGATTCAATCAGAACCATTTTACCCCCATTCCCGAACGCAAGAAACTCATGTCATCATCGTGTCGAGAAAGACGGAACCGCAGTCAAAGCAGTAACGCAGAAGGAATGACTCGTCAGAGGTCGTAAAGGGAAAAGGTATTTAGTGTCCGCAAGAGGAGCACTTGCAGCCAGAGCCGCAGTTGCCTGAGACAGGTTAGCGCCAATTGTCATCAACGCCGACGGCGATGCCGTGACGGGGTAGGTAGGGGTGGTAACGTACAGGTAGAGGAGCCGGAGCAGCCGCAGTCACCCTTCATTTTGCTGGTGGTTTGGTTGGTTTGGGTTTGGTGGGAAAAGAGTTGTTTGGTTGGAGATGAGGTGATGGACTTGGATGTTTGCGTTGTGGAGATCAAACCAAGAGACGGGCAGGAAGGGCATGAAAGAGTGCACTTATATATCCAGAGTAGCTCTCCCAACAGCCATGGTCAAAGGCCAGCGCCGGAGGGGGCGTCCGTGGGAGCGTAGCAGGAGGAGGGGTCAGATGTCAGATGAGGGTGGCCAGATGGAGCCGGATCGGGGGGGCGTCATTGGGCGGGCGCGCCGTTTGTGCGGAAAGACAAGGCCAGCGTCGTTGCGCTCGGGACTGGAGTGGGGCTTGCGGCCTTTGTGCGTCGACGGTGGCCAGTCGTCCTCCTTTGGTGGCATGGACTCGGTGGCCGGGCATGGATGTCCATTGGGGGGCCAGAGGCGCGGCGCGCGAATCGCCTCGGCGACTTGTCCTCCTTGGACCTCCCTCGTGTCGGCCGCTCACCCCTCCCCAATCACCTCGACGGGAGGCCACAGCCAGCGAGCGAGCGTGGCTTCTGCTGGTTTCCCGACTCGGCTTATCGCTTCGTTGCCGGATAAGGTTCGACGAGTTGCGTCTTTTGTGCTGGAAGGGCTAGGATTGAACGACTTGTTCCTTCATGCATCGTTTGCAGCTGACCCCCCCGGACCCCTGGGTAGAACGGCTAAGATGAGATGTCTAGCAAGGCGTGGCCGAAGCGGGCAATTCATGGCATCTTCCAGCACCCACGGGACTGGGCGATAAGCTGCGATACGGGGCCGGACACACGCTCTCGTTCGGGCAGGACCCTGAAGTTTTGGTCTGGCGGCTGACGTCGAACGCGCTGGAGCGAGGAGGGGTAATCCCATCTTCGCCTGCCCCAAGTGCCCCCTCCTAGACCAAGACTTCCCAAATACAACAACGCCAACACTGATGGAGGGGTGAGGGGTGAGGGGTGACGGTGGCTGTGACGTCTGTCCTGTCGCTTTGCATGTGGCTGCATGTATCGAGTTGCGGCTTTTGTGCGTGAATCTTCACCACTCGCTCCTGGGCCTGGGTGACCCGATTTAGTTGAGACCAGTCCGCATCGTCGTAGAGGCATATGTGCCTCTACTTGTTTACTCGAAGCCGAGATGCCCGCATGATCGGGACTTTTGGGATTGGTTACCTCCGCTTCCTGCGTAACATGACTGCTGTCGCAGTTCACGCACGGCCAAAGCCACTCTCTGGTTGCCCGTATCTCTCCACTAGTTGACTAGGTGTCTCTTCATTACCACTTCTTCAGCGGCGGGCAGATGGGCGGCACAGAACCCCACCATTAGAAAGACGACCCCGCAGCGCTCAATGTTGGTAATCGTAAATGCATTGGCCTCCTGCGATACCCGTGCTGCATCTGCTGGTTCCCGTCCCAACCACCAGTTGTTGACCGGTGTGGCCAACCGCGTCGGAGTGATTCCCTGGTCGCAATGCTAGCTCTCGACCGGCGCTCCTTCTGACTACGAAGCCATGCGGCGTCATGTCGGTCGGGACGAAAGCTGGAATGCCTCGGAAATACATAGTACGTGTTTTCGCTTGCTGGTCCAGTTGGATGCACACATGGACCCTTCCCGAGCAATACAACCGCGCCATGCCGCTGGGCCTGCATCATGCTCAGCATCCAGGCACCTTTGACCCCCGTCAGCGGCGAATTTCGCCAGGGCTGTCAGACGGATCTTGTTGGTGGATTGGCATCTCGCTTCGTCTCCCTGCAGCTGCGCCGAGGGAGGAACTTGCTCAAACCGCGACCGAGATGTCGAGTCTCGTAGATGGCGTCGACATCATTCTCAATCGCGAGCAATGTTGGTCGAGGGCTGTGGTAGCAAATTCACCACGTCGTAACTAACCTGAGCGAACACTCGTGGCCGACGTAGGACGGTGGTAAGCTACAAACAAGCCCGACCAGTTCGGGAAACGATCGGCTAATGTCGGGAACAAATGGCGTGGACCCACTTTGGCGCACAGATCACCCGCTAGAGGAGCATCCACGTGACTCTCCGTAGCCGCTGGGCGGACTGACGTTTGTCTGCCATTCTTGCATCTTGCACTAACAGGATCGTCGCGGATGACGAAGTCTTGGGGCGCCTGTGTGAATAGAAGTCCCTTACCGCTTTCTTGAAGCCACAAGTTGAGAGATAAGGACTCACCGCTCAAGGACTTGTGACTAGAAATCTTCGCCCTGAGGCACGAGCTATCAGACCTAGTGCGTGCTGCGCGTCAAAGACATCTTCAGACCAGATTCACACGGGTCCTGAGTCCGTTGGAAAACAGGAGGTGCTCCCAGCTAAAGCCCTTATAGTGGATTTGCGCCGTCCCCTGTATGGCGTTTGCTCAGTTGTAGCCCAATGGTTCCGCGAAGACTGCCGACTTACCAGCTCAAGCGATGGCCAAGGCTAGAGGGGCGGAGTTTTGGCATGAGTTTATCCTCTATGAACAGCGCAATTCCGTGGCTCACAGCCAAGTCGCCACTTCTCTAAGCGCTCCGTCGAGACTGGTCTCAACGGAGCGTGGTCTAGAGAGATGAGCAAGGCGGCACCCAAGGTCAGTGCCAAGATAAGCGTCTAAGGGCGGAAGGACAGAATTCCTGCTGCTCGGCTGGCACATCAATTGAATATAACGAACAATCGCGTCTCTCCAGCTCAGTGCCACCTCAGCCCCCTGCCATTCTCCACAAAGGTGCCTACAGTCCATGCGTCCACCTGTCCAAACGTCAGCTATGCCGGCACTCCTCCGGCACGGGTCTCTACGCCTCAGCCCTCAGGAATGGAATTCATGCCTTTGACGTCCAACGTTTTTCAGCAGCTGCAACTTGACCGCTGGGTCGAACTCCGATCGATGCTCCAGATTAGACAAATCGATAGCCTGCAAGCTAGAGTATCCAAGTTAGACTAACAGGCTTCCAGATGAGATTACAGCTATCGCGAAGAATAACTAGAATCGGGATTCTGCCGCTGCGCGTATAGCGAAGGTGATGCGTGGGCCCGCTTCAAAGACACCATAGTGCCATCAGACATGGATCCCAGCATGCCAGGGATGCCTGTGACGCTCCCGAGATATCTTGGCGTGGATGTTCAGCTTTCTTAAGACGCGAACAGTTCAGCCAAATCCACAAAGGGCGGTTGCTCAGTGCTGTCTACAAAGCAGCGCAACGGCCGGTGGAGGAGACTTTCTGCTGAATCAAGCGGAGCGGCCAATAAATCAACCGTTTTCTATCAAAACCTGTATGATTCGCGGTACATCGTCTTACAGGGAAGAGCGTCCATCAGGGACGATCCACTTCATATAAGATGCACAAATATTAATCGTTAGTGGCTATTTGCGTTGAGGGAGCTTCTGCAATGACTGTCAGAATCCGAACCGCAAACGAATCGTAACCGCAAGGTATTCTTTCAAGAGCTTGCCAACTTCGGCTGCTAGTAATCTAAACTCCGGAACCAACGCTCTCAACTCCAGATTGCCTAACTAGCCGTGCCCAAATCGACAGAACTCCGGTCAAACCACCCCATCTGGTACATTGACATCCCGAAACCGGAGGCCTGGCTCACCAAGGAGCACTTGTCCATGACCCACAACTTAGTATCCCTATCCGCAAATCCAGATTTTAGCACACTCATCATGGGCCAGAACATGCACCAGACATTGAACCCAATGCCCCGGTCCCTAGACGCAGGTTCTCTGCCATCAAATCCGAAGACGATCCGGATCTGCTCGCAAATCTGTTCTAGCGCCGTTAACCCGTGAGGCAGACTGGCGAGCATGCTAAGTTCCTCGCGAGTCGGTTCGCCGAGCGCGATGGAAAGCCCGAGGATGCACTCGATGATGTCGAGTCTCACGGTAAGGTAAAGACCCTTTATTATAGCCTCGCTTGCATAGGAATTCCGGCTCAATAAGCTGTTGAAATTGTTCAAGCCTTCGTCCTGCGTTTCGTCTTGTTGCGACATCTTCCGCGGTCCCGGTGACATGATTTTGTAGTGTGCGGCGGCTTCGAGATCGCGAACAATGTCAAGCCCTGTCTGGAGAATCTTTGTGATTGATGCCTCCCGAATGTTGGCGGACAACATCGTGCTGTGAACCTTCTCCTTGAAGTCTACCGCACGTACCAGCAACGGCTCTACTAGGCCCTGTTTTGCCCAGGGAGCGTTCTTCAAGATGGTAAAAACCGACGACTTGCCATCCAATCCGAGAAATATCTCGAGAACCTGCAGCCGATCAATACTGCGGCTCATTCAGTTCAAGACAGAAGAATCACTTACCCCGAGGTGGACAAGGAATGTCAACAAGCCATTGTCGAGCGAGCTGGTAACCCCTTTCTCGGCTCGGTATTTAAGGAGAACTAGAGACCCCCGACAATGTGACGTGATCCTCTTCGGTGTCGTGTCTGGGACCAGTGCCTAAAACCGCGTTAGGATCCCTGGTACCAACACTCTTGCCAAGCTGAACGTCTCTAATCAAAAGATGGGAGGACATGCGATTTACCTCGTAAATGCCTAACGTCAACAGAGCAACGGCAACCGAGTCATCCTGCGCGGTCGCAGGTTTATGCAAGGCTGCGCCGATTTTTGAGACGGCCCTGCCGTAACAATGTTTCGCCTGAGCCATCAAGCCCACCTGTCGCGTCTGCGCAGAAGCACTGGCCAGCGCTGTGGCTTTCAGTGCCTCTTCGAAGACGACAGACGTGGAGCCTGACGATTTGAGACTGGACAGGAGACTAAACATGGCGATCTCGCCCCCGGAGGCGTAAGTTGAGTAAAATTGATGCAGGGACCCGAGTTCGCAATCGACCTGTAATGATCTCGGTACCGTCGACTCCCTTTTCACAATCACTCCCTCCACCGAGCCCAGTAAGTTTTCCCCATTGCCGTCTGCGCTGCTCGCCGAGCCCTTCGCGTCTTCCCTCTCCTTGAGCCGCTTAGCGACGCGGATTTCGACCTGGTGCGCTGCAGCTGTGTTTTGTTGGCGATGAATGGCGGCCCAGGGGTCCGCGTAGCCGGGACATGGTCTCCCCAGGCTTATACAGCGATCGCACGAAGGCTTACGCAGGTCGCACTGGACACGTCGTTAGACGGAGGAGGCCATCATGAAGGCGGGCGGGGTAGGATGTACTTTGACTTTGCGTGCTTTGCATGCGAAGCAACTTGCAGACGGACGGCACCCCATGATACGGTGACGACCCCTCTCACAACCTCTCCCGACCGCTGGCATTGAGCCTAGCACGCCAAGTCAGACCTGCTGGCGATATATCGGCAATGCGGTTTCGATTCGGGTACAAGAGGCAAGGTGCAATTGTGGGCGGCGGTGAGCAGTCATACCTCTCGGATTGTTGGTTAGAAGCAAAACACAGGCATGGCCATTGCAAAGTCAGAAAATGGGGTAGAGCACGGGCAGGCAGTAGCTGAGCTATGCCCTCTCGCTATGTCGTTGCTAACAGGTTATTGGACATCGTGCTAGTTCATGCCACTGAGCTCGATGCGCAGGATATTCCAACGCCGCGTTGTAAACTCTCAGAAATTTCCCAGTTGCGAAAAAAGCAAAGAACCTAATGAAAGCGATCATGATTTTCGTAGCCAGCTGAAGTGAGTGGCGCCGGGTCATGGGGAATTGATTAATAGCTTAGAACAAAGCTTCTGCCACCAGGACTGACGAATCTGTTTGGTGAGATGGTCAAGGCGCTTCCAAGCTGAACTGTAAAGTCTGGTATTCATGACTGACACAGGGCAGCAGAGGGGAAATTGGTGACGAATCAAACCCTAACGCCATTCGTAAGTCAAGGTCTCCCAAACTCTGTAAGCCGGTCACCCGGTCTAATAGGTACTGCAGTGTTCTGTCACTGGAGTCTATGAATCTGTGTGCAGTGTAGGCAGTGTTAATGTTCTGTCTCTTCTGATTCTTCCCCTGCTTTAGGGGCAACTGTCCAAGACATCGATCGGTAAGTATTCACGGGGTTCAAATAGACTCCCATAGTCCTGTGGGCCCTCCATCAAAGGACATAATCCCTACGGGGCCATCATACAGGAAACATGGTCCAATAAACCTGTCCGCAGAAGCATGAGGTAAGTTAGGCCACCACTTCTTCTTTTTCTGGTTCATTGCCAGGGTTTTGTTTGGTTGGCCTCGATATGAGAGTCACCCCGAATAGTAATCAGTGCAACTATAACAAGGAGCAAGTGGTGTCCATGGTGTCTTGGAAAGGTCGTCCGCGTTTCCAAGTTTTGTTACACGAACAAGCACATCAGACGTGCTGAAAACATTTCCCAGGCGTTCGCTGGAAACTATGAATAAGTAGGATAGGTAGGAATTTGGTAGAAAACTGCCTATATGTTGATTGCTCTCGTACACGTTGAGTTAGTTACTGCATTTACACACCATTACCACGCTCGAGTAACAGAATCACATATGGTCTCCGTTGTTGACAGGGGCCCAAGGTGTAGTGAGTCGAAAGATTTCCGAAGCTTACACTCGGAAACAGCTCTTATATTCATGGCTTGCTCCTAGGACCGTTACTCCTCGCTAGATTCCGATATCACAGACAGCCTTCTCGGACGGTTGCAGGCCGAAATCTCTTCGGCCATTTCGGTCATCTTGACTGAAGCTGTTAGCCGAGATTTCGCCCTCTCGCTTCCCTCTTTGCTGAGACTCAATCTGACCATATTTCTCTAATCCTCCTCCCAGTTTCTTCCATTTCGGTCTGTGCCCATATTGTAAGCCTCCAGTCAGAGAGCAGTTTGCTTCTTTGTCTAGCGCAGTCGGCCTCTCTGATTCCCCCATTTCTTACAGGCAAAACACAGTCACCAAACTCTCTTTTTAGACCGGTGAGTTGATCTTTGCACTCTTTGGCGGCATTCCTCCTTTCCTTGACCTGGAGGACCATGAATTTTACAATTGCCAGTTTGTGTTGTACAGAAGTGCAAGCTGAAATGACACTCTCTTCGTACGAGCTGGACCTATTCATTGACGGGCAGTCAGTGTGCTGCTTTCGCTTTGAGCCCAGACAACGATTTTCACCGCATGCTTGATCTTCAAGGGATCTCTTGAACCTCCTCAGTTCCATAACTTGCTCCTCTCTGAGACTGGCCTGTAAAGAATCGTGGAGCGTCTCAATAACGCGGCGCTGGATACTGTAGATGGCAACTGCAGTCTTGATGTTCTCAGACGCCATAAGTTCTGACTCAATGCTGGACTTTTCGCCCTTGCATCTGTTGTTCATTTTCTTGAGGCCCACTGTGGGCGTCGGCTTGGGTTGGCCAACTGTCGATGACGCAGCACTGATTTTTGGATCTGAAAAGCTTGGTGAGACCCATTGCTATTGCTTAGTTCTGGACTGAAATCGTAAAAATGTGCATAAAGTTTCTCGAATGGGAGTCTAGAATCGATGGAGGTGTGATGTCAGTTTCCTGATGACGAGCTCAGTTTCCTCAGGAGACTGACCTACTGTGAACTTTCGGTAAAGAGGTCGATGACTATCGCAAGCAAAAATCTCTTAACGAGGAAGATAGTGAAACACAATTGTATGTTTTTGACCCTCTTTCTCCGAAGCATCTCAAATTCTGTGGACGGAGCCGCTAGATACTCATGTACGGTTCATATTTTGGTCCAAAAGTTTGGTGCTTCGGTTCCAAGGGACTTGATAAGGCACCCGACCTGTATGGTTGCCAAGGCTGTCAAATTTTCTGTACTATGCAATGCAGCCAACGCCTCTTCGAGCACGAGAAAAGCAATACATCTAATTCACGTTCATTCCCGTAATGGGCCAATGCTCTTCTGGATAGATGTTTAGCCTCCCTTTTTCAGGCACATTATATAGTATTTTCATCCGCATCAGCTACACGCGATCAAAGAAGTACATATTGACTACTAAGCTTTCCTGGCTGGAAAGTGTTTTCATTAGTGCTTGTCCGATTGGCAACCTCTTGGTTCTCACACCCACGTCTTCTTACGACCTGTCTCTAGCAGTAGCGAGGGAAGAGAGAGCCCAGTCGGCGTCGATGCGGTTCAGAAGTCTCCGAAGCGGTAGCCTAGGTTGCATAGCCCCTGAAAATAAGAATCGTACCAGGAGAAACCCAGCGGCTTTACTTTGGAAACACCTGCTGGGTGCAACTTCTGGGATTACATTTTCCGCCAACTTTCACCAGTGTTCAAGTCACGTCTCGGGGGTATTGAAAGTCTGATACTAGACTCGAGAATACATGTGCAAACTAGTTCACCTCTCAACTGATTATTATCATCCAACGATAACTCCGAAACCACCCCTCGCGGGAAGCAATTAGCGATATCAAACCATCAAACTCTTCCTTCTGCTGAATCATTCCATGCCTACTATTGTGTTTCATATCCGGTAAAGAAGAAAGTGGAACATAAATCCCGCTTTGATACACCGTTGACGAACTCAACTCCATGCCTGTTCAGATAATGAACACAGTTTGCCTGTTCCCAATCAATTCGCTCTTTGACAACTGCAAATCTTTCTTGTCGAAATCGTGTAACATCAACCAGCAAATCATTCTGAAAACCAGTGTGTACCAAACGGCCACGCGTTGCATCTCGATATGCTTGGTCACAGTCGTTGCCCAACCCGGATTTTCGGCAATCGTTTTCATCTTCAAATGCTCTGACCGTTCGCTCTGTTCAGTCTCGACCCGATGCGGCCATGATCCTCTTTTGCTAATACCGGGCGTAGGCACTGATTCGGTCTGGGATCCATCTACGGGACTCGTTTCGGGCGTTGATGCAAGAAGAGCGGTCATGGACTGCGCGTTTCCATTTTCATGACGTGATAGGCGTTCTTCGGTGTCCTCGTGTATGGCTTGTGAAACGATTTCGTCGTCTCTTTTGCTATCCTTGGCAGAACCCACCACTCGCCAGAGAATGCTTTTGAAGTATGTTTCCATGAACCTGGACTCTCTCATCTCTAGAGGAATGTCGAGCAGGTGGCTGAAAGATGCTTTGCCTTCTACCCCAGAATTTGGGTTGTTGATGGCCGCCAGCACTTCTTGAAGGTGGCGGCGTAGGACGTCTAACACAATTTCCTGTTCCTTATTCCTAAGCACGCGATCAGCCAGCTCTATAGCTTTATGAAGAGCAGTCATTCGGCCACAGGTTAGCCTGGAGTCTTTCTTGAAAGCGTTGTGCAAATCTTGGGCTGATTCTGAAACCTCCTGAATATCTTTGACTGGATGTGAAATTCCCTCTTCCAAGGCGTCATCTGGGATAGTCTCAGTCTCTTCTTCAATCATGGTGAAATCTTCAGTGATGAGTCCGCTAAACGCGTCGAGCAGCCGTGGAAGCGAGAAGGACTCTCTGTCCCACGGAAAGATGGTTGGATTAGGCAGAAACCGAAAACATCGCCCATCGATATGTAAAACCCTTGCGAGCATGCCGAGGACTTCAAAGGTAACTAGTAGCAGTTCGATGAGCCTATTTCCATCCAATACGGATGTGGCAAAAAACCCTACGAACCTGGAAATAAATGTCGGTGTTTCTTTTTGTCGGTGTAATAGAGCGTAGTGTTACCGTTGCATCCAATCTGGGTAAGCGTCTCCGCAATCTCCTCGACGCTGCTCATCTGCAGAATCTCGACTTTGATTCCCGTCCCAGAGGACGTCTTGAGCTCTTTCTGCCAATCCACATCCTCATCGTAATTCACCTTTTTTCTGAACAATGTTGGCACTCTCCCAAAACAAAGTTCCTTCACTTCTGATGTTGGTATGACGCGTCTCGCCTCGAATGCTGTGTGACCAGTCTTCTCGAAGACAAACTGGATCCCAAGATCAGCGATGCGAGAGCCTGTAAGGCTGTATCCGTTCCCTTCAGCGCGGTACTGATTGTTGTCTCGATCAAAGACTTTCCAATAGATGCCGAGTATCGCGGCGAGCTCAACCAGATGAGATATTGTGGATGTGGCGAACGGCTTTTTCATGGCTGGGATCGTATCGAAACTGCGCTGCTTTGCTTGGATTTTGACCGCCAAGGTTGGTTCGGGTAGATCAGATGGGACGGTACCTGGGAATCCCTCCTGTCGAAACTTGGCGAGTTCCCAAGACTTCGAGTCTTTCTCCATTTTCTCGATGGCGATTAGTAGGTAAACCCATGTTGCTAGCTCCATATCGACGGTGTGCACTTTCTCGGTCGCCTTTGAGCCCAAGTCTTTGAATAGCTTGGCCCAATCCAGACGGTTCTTCTGACAACTCTTCTCCGTGCCTTCGGCGGACCACATCTCAAGGGAAGGTTCTGGTCTGCTCTCATTTCTCGGAGGGGCAAGAAAAATCACAGGCGCCTCGAACTTGACCACGAGGCGCAGCTGCGTGATCTTGAGCCTGGTCTTTGTGGCTTTGGACCATCCTCCCATGACAACAGCATTGCAGTTTGGAAGCCCTCGAGCCGACGCGAAGGTGGCCTGCAAGATTTGCAACGTGGCTGCGATAAGAGCTGCGATGGCGATCACAAGGGCTGCAATGGCAATGGGCAGCTCATTGTCTTTGCCATCGCCGGCCATGGTTGACCAGGAGTGTCACAAGTTACCCTCGACAGTGGAGATCTCGGTTGATCAGAGAGGATAGATGGCAAGGTGGCATAGAGTGGTCGGCTTCAACCGAGCAAGGTGGACCTCCGGGATCCGCTAGCGGCTGGTCAGTCGTCCGGACGGTGCGGGGTGGAGACGCTTCGGGAACGAATGTGTCAAACGCCGGCTGCGACCACCAAATGTAACGGTCGCCGTAATCAGAGTATTTGGGTATCCTGCTGCTCTCAAAAGGCGAGGGTTGCAGGAAGAAGTTAACAAAAGAGGGAAAGGCAGCAGGAGAGGTAAGGCTCTGATAAACTCACCCAGCTCACCCAGCTCATCGTTTTCTGCCGGTTCCCTTGTCTGAAGGGATTGCGACTGTAGCTGAGTGTCGCTTATGCGGCATCCCTGGGAATGCGCGTCATAAGGCCCAAATCAGCCCATGGCGCAGCCAGAAAGAGACCCTGCAGTTGTATCGCTTCCTCACACTTCGCAGCCTGCTTCTCAAGATGCTCGCCCGATAGTCTGCCATTGGCTGCCTTTTCCTGTCAATCCTTGCAGTGCAACTAATACGCTGACAGGTTGGCGCACTGGGGTCATTGTGTCTCAGCCATTGGGTAGGGGACAAGAATGAAGCAGCGCGCTTCTCATAGGTAAGTCATAAACCCGCCCTGTGAGTTCCGATCAGGCTGCGCAGAGCCTCCTTTTGCGCATTTGAGGGGGTTGCTTCGGGCAGGCAACGTCCGAATGACCCATGTCAAAGGGTTCATACTCAAAAATCTTCCCTGTGCTGGCCAAGTCGAAACAATATCTAATCAGGTACTCAACATCCATCGCTCCAAATTGGCCCTCCATAGACACAATGGAGGGATGCACCTTGAGGTTTGGATATCAGTTCATCTGACCTTCTCCAAGCATAGGGAACTCTATGCATGCATTTTATGCGGGATGAAGGGCCCTTCCGCCAAGTCAAACATACGGAGCGATATTTGCAGCGAATCACTTGCTAAGAGCCACTACAGTGGATAATCAGCTTGTTAAGCCTGGACCCCCCCTGGTGTCTTGGTGGTTAATGTTACACCGAAATGCAATCGCGTATGCAACTCATTCAGTTCATTACAATTCATGATCTTATTATTCTACTCAATGGAAAATCAGGCTCCATTACTTCTTCAATATGCCATGTTCGCTTGAATGGCTCGATGCATTCTCCACATCATCGGGCAGATGTACATACGGCCCGCATTTGCGATCCGTCTCCTGCCTGAACTCCGACACGATCACCTCCTTGGTCTGCATGATTCCATCCATAGGCCCCATCTTATGTCGTGTGTCCATGGCAAACGCTTCATCTGGGTTGCCGCGTCCAACTGTAGATCGATGAGCAGTCGATATGTTAGTTGCTCGACCGTAATAGTGGAGCCCTGACGGGTCCCCATAGGTATGCGCTGATGACTTTGCCTTCCTTCTCTTGTTCCACAACCCATACATCGTTGGCATGTTTACGACGAGGGCGGCAGTCAGCAGCTCGGTGCTGGCCCAAGTAGTTCGGTTGACCTGGCTGTTCTTGTTCGTAATGTTGATGGGGAGACGGATGACGGTAATGGCGATGATGAAAATGCCAAGTGTGAAAAGAGCATACAGCTGGAGCTTGCGTTGCCAAGGGGTCTTCAGTGAGAAGACCAACGGTAGTGGTAGCACAAGGAGCATGAAGTCGGTCACTATATTGAGGACGCCGACGACGACAAGTTGTAGCTGAGCCGCGGAACAAGAGCCTACAAGGATTGATTGTCAGTTATCACGACTAAAGTTGAATATCGGAGAATTGGCCAGTCACGTACCTGGGTCAGGGACAACCTGCCAGTATAAGTGGAAGGGGTAGCATTCACTGAACGTCGTCACCTGACAGGCGACATAGGTGCCGAAGAAGATGACGCAGAACGACCAAATGGTGAGTTTCTCAAACCGGAGATTCAATAGCAGTCGACGATAAACGTCGAGCAGTACAAGTTTTTGCAGCCATAGACTTGAGATAGATGTTAGTATGGTTGATCGTGAATATTGGTGTCTTGCATGACTCAAAATGGCATACAGTCATCGGAAAATAAGTACTAAGCCCAGGGTGGCTGCAGTGCACAGTGATGGCGTTAGGGGGGACTGACTAGGAGTTGTAAAAAACCCGGTTCGCAATGGACAGTTTGCTGCCGATCTCTCGCCTATAAATTTCCTTATCGGTGAAGGTGTGATTTTTCCGATACGCCGCAGACACGTTGTTTGTTCCCCAGGTCAAGACGACGTGAATGAGGCCAAGCCGAGTCAATGCGCAGATGATGGCAGCGACAGTGAACCAGTCACCCAGGTTGAAATCCTGCTTGGCGATCTTTTTCCACAACAGCCTGACCACCATGATAAAGACGGCGCAGCAGCTGAAGAGCCAATGGATCAGGAGCGTCGGGTCGTCCATGGCCGGCGAGTCTCTGAAGCGTTTGGGCACAAACACAACAGCCTTGGGGACGACTGGAACGGGAGTCGAAAGAAAGAGAACGAAAAGGGCCGTTCAAGAGGAGCGTGGATGGGGCAGATCATGATCATTATTATCTCCTGGTTTTTCCTCCTCGTCTTCCTACACTAGACCGGGGAGGGGAGATAGGGGGCTTGCTAGTTCATACACAAACTTTCCCAATCCCAGTTGTCCGATCATACGGCGAAAGAGGTCAAAACACCACTCGGAGATATGCTTGCGGCGTGGCTAGCCTCCTGGCCATGCACAAGGGAAGAAACGAAGGCTCTGGATGAAAGGATCAGGGCTTGAGACTTCCAAAATCTCGTCTCTTGAACCCAACTTTCCCTGTCGTCGGATGCACGTCGGCTGCAAAGAGCCCCGAGCGTGATTGCGATCCACCGTGGGGCTCTGCGACCCATATGCATTCAGCAGGTCGTTGATCTTCTAGAAGCCAAAGGGGTGCCGATTTGCGAGAGCGACAGCTAAGATTCCCATTCTGTCTTCTGCGCTGCAGATTGCTGAAGGATTTAAACGTGCCGAGGGAAGTGGAGCGCACAGTCTCAATATCGTTGAATAACGACATCGTCTTCCCAAGATACTGGAAAGATGATAGTTGACGGTTGACGCCCAGACACTCTGATGGTTTTCGGTACCGGCAACTTCAATTTTCATTCTTCAATTTTATTTTTTTCAAGCTGACGGAACAATCGGACAACGTCCGTACTGAAACCTTCTGCCAGCATCTGCGGCCCCTAGTAAGGGAATGCATCGGAGCAAGCCTCGCTAACGAGACTAAGAAGAGACAGGACAGGGATAGACCGGCCGTTGACCCGCTATTTGCTAGCAAAGCCGAGTGAGCGGTCTTGAGGAACGGGCTGAACAGGCTTAGCGAGCACCCAAGGTTGGAGACTCTCGGCAAGGGCTCGATTACCAAAAATATGAGGTGCGAGAAAACTAAGATCATCGTAATCATCACCTCGCCCTGCCGGTCGATCAGCAAATCTCCCCCACGTCGGAAGCCATATGGTTTGTCCTCGGCTATGTTGAGCGGCACATGGCAAAGATTTACAATGGCATTTGGCACGTAACACGCCCCCAAAAGTCGGGATTCTTTCCCGTCAGATCGGGCAGACGTTACAGACACATGTGCCTGCAGAATCGCTCTCGTATCGTTTGTACGGGGTTTTCTGCTCGACAGCGGAGATTAGTCCTCGGTCTTCACTCCTCAGCAGGGCTTTAGTGAAAGGCTAATATCCACGATGCTAGGCTGATGGCACGTTTCCTCCAATCTACGTGGGACTATTGGGCGTATGAGTGCCCCGGTCCTTGTTCAGGGACTGACTCGTGCGGCACAAACACCACTTTAATATAGCAGTCCGGCTGGCCAGCTTCTCTTGATGGAGAAAATTTTAACGGCAAAGAGGCTAGATAGACTTCCCGTTGGCAGCATGGCCTTTCTTTGGCCCCCGAGTTCCGTCTTTACATCGTGATATCATTTCGCTACTTCATGGGTAACCCACCACCTCTCGAAAGATCGGGACTTGGCCGCGTGGCGTTCTAGAAATCCTTCGGGGAACAGCCGCTCTTACAGACACACAGACCGAAGCGGGCGGATGCCGCTTACCGGGCAAGAGGACGGGCCTTGTGTCGTATCACGTCCACTCTTACATGAACTGCTCCAGTCAGCCCTATCCTTAAAATCACTCGAGAATGGACCCTTCATGTGCTGTTCTTAGCGGAGCACGCAACAGGGCGATTTTCCTGTTCATTAAAGAAGGCCACCCTCTCCGATCATCGTTGTGGAAGCTGAGTCCCCTGCTAACCGCCGTCGCTCTTTCACTCGTTCCCGGTTCTAGCTCGCTCCCTTTTACTTTCGTTTTTAATTCCAAAGGGGTTCACTCCTGTCTGTGTATCATTGTCATCCATCAACGTGACACGCCCGACGCAACACAACCATGCAGTTCCTTAGGTTTGCCGCTGTCGCCGCCGCTCTGTTGGGCCAGGCTGCTGCGCTCCCTCCCGCTCAACCAGAAAGGGACGGCTGTGTTGACTCCGAGGCCCCTTACATCCGCTCGTACTTCTACGTCGGAGGCGGTTACGTCGACGATGGCGCCGGCGGTCACATCTTCCGTGACCAGATGTACGTCGAGAAGTTGCTCCCCGTGGACGGAGTCTCCCAGGGAACACCGATCGTCCTAATCCACGGACAGGGCCAGACGGGAACCGTAAGTGCATTGCAGATCTTCTGCGGGACTCTTCAACCACGTCATAATTTTGAATGCTCATGCTGACCCTTTCCCAACTAGAACTTTCTCAACAAGCCTGATGGTGGCAGAGGGTGGGCTTCTCACTTCGTGAGACAGGGCTACGAGGTCTACATCGTCGACCAGACCTTCCGTGGGCGCTCCGCCTGGATGCCCGGCTACGGCGCCTCCAAGCCCTCCACCTACTCCGCCGAGATTATCCAGCAGCGCTTCACCGCCGTCAAGGAGTACAACCTCTGGCCCCAGGCTGTCAATCACACCCAATGGCCTGGTACAGGCATGATGGGCGACGAGGTCTTTGATACCTTCTACAGCTCCAACGTCCAGTTCATCAACAACGCCACCTACCAGCAGAAGACCGTCCAGGATGCCGGCGCCCTTCTCCTCGATAAAATCGGCAAGCCCGTCGTTCTCGTCGGCCACAGCCAGGGTGGCATCATGCCCATCATCATCGCTGACGCCCGCCCCGAGCTCACCAAGGCCCTGATCCTCCTTGAACCCACCGGCCCTCCCTTCCAGGAGGCCGTCTTCAGCAAAAAGTCCGCCCGCGCCTACGGACTCACAGATATCCCCATCACCTACTCGCCCGAGGTCACCGACCCCACCACCGACCTCGTGCAGCAGACCTACCCTGCCAAGGGCGAGAACTTCGTTCAGTGCGTCCTTCAAGCTGAGGAGCCTGCCCCGCGCCAGCTTGTCAATCTCGCCGATAAGCGTATCCTTCTTGTTACGTCTGAGGCTTCCTACCACGCGCCTTACGACCACTGCACCGTCGAGTTTCTGCAGCAGGCTGGATGCACCAAGACCGAGCACCTCGAGCTCGGCGAGGCTGGCATTCACGGTAACGCCCACATGTTCTTCATGGAGAAGAACAGCTACCAGATCCAGAAGGTCCTGCGAGATTGGATCCAGACCCTGTAAGTGGGCATAGCGGGGTGTGGAGGGGATAGTCGAGTAAGGTGCCCATGTGTGCGTTCAGTTCTAGTGGATACCTATAGATCATGAACATCATAATCTGGCAATGAAATGCACCCGAAGTCCTCGGCCCTACAGTTATCAAAGTCCCCCACATTACCGGTGCCACGGCCGGAGGCCTGCTGTCCCGCCGGCCAATGCCAATCATCTCATCCGTGCCTCGGCCGACCGAGCCTCCGTCTCCACCACTCCTATCTCTGAACAACGTAAATGAACATGTGGGCGGCAAGCCAAATAATTGTCTTGTCTATGGAAAACGATCGGACACCAGTGCTTTGTACCGTGCACTTGCATGACGCCTGTTTCTTCGCATCACCAGTAACTGCCAACGCTCCTGCACGGGCCGAGTTCTGGGACGGAAACGTTCACGGATGCCGCCATGACAGATCAAATGCTGGTTTGTTGCTTTCTCGTTCTTCTCACAGACGTTGCGCTTGGGTACAACTGCGAAGCTCTGGCATTTCAGCACACTGACTACATGCTCCAACGACGTTTCGATTTATGCAGCCATTGCCCGTCATGAAATTTTTCACAGCCACCGAAAGCAATGTGAGCTCGTATTTGAACGTGGCGAGGCGCCGAGCATTCGAGTGTTCTGCAAAAAGTTTGTCTACTACAACTAGCACGGCAGCATCATGACTACTACAGCGAGCGTTATCGCGCCGGAGAAAGGCGGCGATGAAGTCGCTGACCAAAGTCACTACACGATTGTCCGCAAAACGAGTAGGTTTAGCCAGTGCCTGCACCGCACCTTTCTCATAATGACATTTCCCAGCAAATCTCGACCGCATGTTTTATGTCTATCATCGACTAGGGATTCAGTCAAACGTCCTGGTTTCGGCTCGCTATGCTTCTGCCCAGTCTGGCAACCAGCGACTTATCCTTTCCGACGAAGCAGTCTTCTCCGCTCTGCACACCGTTGTCACCAAGTATCCGGAACTGAGTCTTGTCGGAGTCGTAAAGGCGGTCGACAACAAGAAACATCTTCTTTCTCTAGCGTCACTCAACATCGTAGATCTCGACTCCTGTGTTGAGTTTATCGACGAAGAGCAGAACATCGACGCGGAGTTCCTGGAAACCCTTCACAACCAGTGGCAATGGGCAGATGGAGAAGTGAAACCTGGTCAGCCATGGTGGAAGGTCATTGTTATTGGGCGTCAAGACGTCATATTCGTATTCCATCACCTCGTCTGCGATGGGGCATTTGGAATGACTTTCCACCGCGAATTTCTTGTCGCACTCAATGCCGCAGCGATTTCAGAGCTCAACTCGACGCCATCTCACAAGGTTCAGCTAAATGCCGAAAGCGTGAGACTGAGCAAGAGACTCGAAGACAACATTCACAAGAAGCCATCAATGCTGGGCGTCATGTACAACCTTTTCATGTTCCTCTTCTATCGTCTGTTCTACGCCAAGAAGCTCTTCTTCATGAACTTTCCGAAACCCAAGGTACTTCTCACGGATCCGATGGCAATTACCCAGCCCGCCGATCGAACCGCTACGAAAGTAGTGACATGCCGTATTCCTGCTGAGAAGACGAAAGCCATTATCGACGCTTGTCGAGCGCATAGTACGACCTTTACGCCCTTTTTGGCTGTCATGATTGCGGGCACACTGGCGACGGACTTCTACCCGAACGCTGAGGTTGGCTTTACCCGGTATGCCGTGGATATGAGAGCCACAGGGTGCTTCGAGACCTCTTCCGAATACGAGGGTAAACTACTCAACCTAGCCGCGAGTCTACCAGAGCCCGAATGGTTAAAAAAGTACCGACTGGCATTCCCCAAGTCCTCGTTACAGGGCGAGAAGCAGCAGGAAATCACGCCAACCGTCGATGCGAAGGCCGTGTGGGCGCTAATTCAAGATTATGGAAGACGGATGAAGGAGTCGTGTGCGGGCGGCAAGGATTCCCATCTCTACAAGAGCTGGATCAGCGGCAATGCCTTGGGTCCGTCTCTCGAGGAGTTCGCGGCCAAGTTGCCGACTATGGGCTTGTTCATGCAGAACAGCTTCTCCGTTTCGAATGTCGGAGCCCTCAGGACTGTACCACAAGATTTGAACGTCGAAGAGCCGGTCGTAAAGATCGAAGACGTACAGTTCTCGGCTGGACCCGTCCAGGGCGCGGTTGGTTATCATGGCATCGTGTTCAACGTGGCTGGAGTTGCGGGCGGCGACACCGTCATCAACGCTTGCACTGAGAAGGACATGGCGCCTGATGGGATGCCTCAAGCTGTTCTGGACGGTGTTATGGCTCGGATCGATGCGCTGCTGTTGCAGCGTGGCGTTTCCGAAAAGTCATAAGTTTGACGACAATTGAAAGCCTGAACAAGAGGAGCGAGAATGGACTGCACACGTTTGTTACTTGGGTATATCAATACAATAATCACTGCAAACACGATGCTGATATCATATACAACAAGGACTTTTTCCCAATCTCAGTAGAATGGCACTCATTCCCTCAGCGGTCGATCGAGCCTAGACAGGCTCTAGCCAAAGCTGTGTGCTTCATCTGTTCGAACTCACGCGCGAGGAACAAGAGCACTTTACACTGCATCTGTATCTTCGAAAGGTCGACTGAAAGAATGGGAATGGCAGGGATGGTGATTCAGCGGGGTGACAGAAATTTCTACGAAAAAGAAGGTCTAACCGAGCACGACTAAGAAATATAGGGGGTTTGGCTTGGTTTGCTTATACGAAAGCGGAAGTGAGAAGTCATTCATTTAGCACGCCTATGAGCGTATTCATCTGACCTGCTCAACTTATTGCTGTGTTGGGGTGACAGCCTTGACCCAATCATCTAGCACAGTCAATTGTTGAAGAACCCCAATGATCTACGCTCTCGGCCCCCTGTCTGCTCGTGACGTCACACTAAAAACCCATGGATTTTTGGATTCAGGGACTTTGTGCAATCTCAAGAGATACGTTCGTGAAGTAAGCATATGAATTCACCTATCAGAGTGCATTTAGCGGTAAGCGGGTTAGGCTTCAATGCAGATAAGAACCCTGCTCCATAAGCGCTGACATGCTTAACAAGCTTCGCCACTCCAGCCTCTTGTTCTTTCCCTAGACACATCAAGATATACATATAGAAAAACTCAACCAGATACACGCACTAATTCTTATATGTGGATGATCAGAATCATTCGTTCGGCTTTCTTGCCTACGCAATGTCCGAGATCCCTCCCCTCGGGTCGTTGTACCCAAACAAGCGGCCAAAGCTCCTGGAGCCGCCCGGCTACGACAGAAACTCAGCGGGAAACACATTGGCGAACATCAAGGAACCACCTGCGCTCAATGACAGCCTATATACACCCACCGCGTCAAATCCCAGTGTCTTTGTGCAGGCCCCAGAGAGAGCTTCAAGCAAAAGAGCTATCGCGCAAGCACACCCAGCGCAGCAACCGCATCAAGCAAGCAACAGCTGGGGACATCATGCACTCAAAATCAGTCAAAATCAGACCCAGGTTACCCTTGACTCTTCACCATTTCCAACGGATTCAAGGGATTCCAGTCAATATTTCGGAGAAAAGAGTCATCATAGCATTGAGGGACAACCCGATCATGGAGGTTATGTGGAGCCAGCGCAGCCACCCAGTACTGAGACCGATCTCATCTGCTTCGGAATGGTGAGTTTATGTTCATTGACTTAATTATGTGATTACGATAAATTGACTCACTTTTATCCAGCTCGTAGATATACCGGGGACCTGCAGGCTGCCTTCTGGGATAAAAGAGTCAAGCTTCCCTATTAAGCTCGAAACCCCTGGGTCTTTCCTCAGCACACTGGATCCGAATATCAGGGGAAAAGTTGACCTTGAATCAATCTACCTTACAACTGCCCTCCTAGAAGAGGAAAACTTGGAGCTCCAATTAGTTTGTACTGCGTCTGTAAATGCGCCCAAGCTGACTAGCAACGGTAAGCGCATGAATCTGTCGGCTCAGATAGCAAAGTGCTCTCTCAACATTATCCTCTACGGACCAAACGGTCTCTCTGACGCAATTTGCACCTTTATCGAAGAGTGTAATGAATACCTCGAGGACCAACATAAGCTATACCTACAGGATCCAATTGGCTGTGACTGGAATGTGCAATACTGCAACCCACATAGAATGCCCCGCTGGATTCCCTATGTCACCAACTCACGTTTGAGCTGGGACAAAATCAGCAGAGGCTCTTGGATTTTACAGATATAGAACCACCATCTGAGTTACTAGAGCTATTGGATTCCCAAGAAGACTTGCCAGAAACTTCACAACCGCCCGCAATATCAACCGAGTTAAAGAGGTAGTCCCAAAGCAAAGCCTTTACGTCCTGAACAGCTTGGGGTCAGTGCTGACATCGCCTTGGTCCGTAGACATCAAAAGCAAGCCTTGACATTCATGATGAGAAGAGAGGAGGGCTGGATGTTCGATGGATCTAGACCCGACATATGGGAGGCAACGGATAATGGGAACGGTTTATAGTGTGTCTTCTCCCTGTGCCCCTTCGGGGCTTCATTATCGGCGTACTAACATTTTTCAGCTTTACTAACAGGATATCCAATGCTCGACAAATGGAAGAGCCCCCATCTTTCTACGGGGGAATTGTTGCAGATCCTATGGGATTCGGGAAAACCCTCGCAATGATTGCCCTCATTGCCACGGATGCTCACCATACTGAGTTCATCGACTCATCTAGTTTACCTGGGGTTATTTCAGAGGTGTCTTGTGGAATGACATTGATTGTTGTACCACCCGCTTGTGAGTTTTAAGCAAGACTCAAACAAGTGTGTGGCAGAGCAGCTGACTGGTCTGTAGTGCTGGGAACTTGGGAAGAAGAACTCACAACGTAAGTCTAATCTGAACAACAAGAAGTATGCTAAATTCTGATGTAGTCATGTCAAGCCTCAGCGGCTGCCATTCCGCTTACATCACGGCAAGTCTCGCTTGACTGACTTTTCCAGCCATGAACACACGGCGCTTGTTTTGACAACATATCACACGGTGTCTACAGAGTGGCGAAGCGGTGGCGGCTCCGAGCCCTCACTAATATTCAAAACACGCTGGCGACGAGTGATACTAGATGAGGGTATGGCAGCACTAGTCGGCGAGAAAACATGCATGTGCTGACTTAAGTGTCCAGCACACTACATTCGCAATAGTGACTCTCAAATGGCGCGAGCCGTGTGCGCTCTCGACTCCGTCTCACGCTGGGCCGTAACTGGTACTCCAATTCAGAACCACTTGAATGATCTGGCAGCACTTCTCAGATTTCTGAGCGTGTATCCCTATAACGAAAAGCGGGGGTTCGACGCGGATATATCGCATCTGTGGAAGGCCGGTAATGCCGACGAAGCTGTCAAGAGACTAAAGCGCTTGGCTGGATGTATCCTACTCCGCCGGCCTAAAGGAACTGTTGAGCTACTACCGAGACACGACCAGGCTTGCTATGTCGAATTCTCACATGCAGAAAGGGAGCTCTATGACCAAGTCAGAACAAAAACGATTGCACGTGTTGATGAAGCCCTGGTTCAAAGCAACAACGGGGACAGGACGGTGTCTTTCGTAAACGTTCTGCAGCAGATTGAAGCTATGAGGATGGTCTGCAATGTTGGGCTTCTCTACTCGAGCAGACATGATGCGTCAAACTTGCCAGGAAAAAAACTTAGCCCGGCTAACTGGTTCCAGAATGCTCAGAGTAGCTTCAACATCCGCTCTGAGATGGGAAGCATCCAGTGTCACAACTGTCCCTTTATTTTCGACGCCACTTGCCACCCTCTCGATGAACCCCAGACTGACAAAGCTATCTTCGCCAGATGCTTGAGATTCATTTGCTCAGGCTGTGTCAAGGGAGCATCGCGCCAAATCACCATAATTAGGTGTGGGCATAGTCCCCAATGCCCTATGGCTCCTGTATCGACGAGTGTAGTGAGCTTAGAGGCACCGCCCGTACAGATCTCGCTCGGCAACGCCGCAAGATCGGCATATCGCCCAACAAAGGTAATGGCTTTGATCGAAGATCTGCAGCGATTACCTGGAAGCTCTAAGTGGTATGTGTACATCCTCGGAGAATAGTGAGTCTTGGGTGATACTTATATGACACTAGTGTTGTGTTCTCGACTTGGAGAATGACACTCGATGTTGTGGAGACAGCGCTCGATCAAGCCGACATTCCTAGATCGCGTTTTGATGGTAAAGTGCCGCAAAAAGAGAGGCACGTTGTAATTGACCGATTCCGCCACGACCCATCTATTCGGGTATTGCTATTAACTGTCTCCTGTGGAGCAGTTGGGTAACTTGAACAGAATCCCAGAGACTTTGGTTCTAGTTGCTAATATCGAAGGGTAGGTTGACGCTCACTGCTGCTAGCCGAGCATACTTGATGGAGCCACACTGGTAAGTGAACAAATAGAAACCGCGGAGAAACTTTAGCTGATAGCTCGCACTCGCAATAGGAACCCAACCATTGAAGACCAGGCACTCGCAAGAGTCCACAGGATCGGACAGAAACAAGAAGTCACAACGGTGCGCTTCTACGTCCGAGAGTCATTCGAAGAGGTAGACTTCCTTGATATCAGTGATACAAGTATCTTGTCGCATAATAGGCCTAACACTTGATCTCCAACAGAGCGTGGTAAAAAACCAGCAGTTCAAGAGGGAGCTTGCAGGCCTCCTTCTTACGCCGACTGGTGCTACAATCAATAATATAGGGCATTTGAAGGCAAGTCAATACTGCTCAACTTCATTGCTGTGGATTCTAATTCTGAGAATAGCGCCTTCGAGCGCTTATCTAGTAAAGTCTTTGGGTATGGGCCTGATCAGCGCGAAGTTCCCTATGGCGGCAAGTGTACCACCGCCTGCTTCTTCGAATCTCTAGCGTAGAGAGAATTTGGTGTTCTCACCGTGTGGAGGTCTTCAAATTTTCAAATTTATCCATGCAAACTTTTCAGTGTCAAATTCGAGCTCGGCATCATTGCCTTCAGAGCACTATGATGTTACGAAAAAGCATTGTCAGGGAACCCACAAATATTTGGTGTTTCCCTGATTTGATAGTGTGACCATAGTCTCCTTTTTCAAATTTATTTAATTCTGTTTCTTTTTATTTATTCATTGAAACTACGGCGGAGGGTCAGGAAAGCCTGTTCCCTGAAGGGGCGACGGGCATACACATTGGGCTTGCCGAGAATACAAATACATGCAATATGCTGTACTTCCTACCTCTTGTTACTATATTCCCTTCGTTCGAAGCTTCATTTAACTTCGGGTTTCCATACAAACAGCCTTGTTGGCCTTTCAAAGCGTTTCTGCTGTGGTCCCCAAGCCGAATGAAGTAGTTGGGTTTTGGGTAGAACGAATCAACATTCTTCGCGGTTGCGTTCCCTCTCAATTATATATTGTATGATCTCGAATGTTTCGGAAGAAACCCGACTTAACTTAATATCAATCGTTTGGATTGCCGCTAGCTCACGATTGATGGGATTACATTCAATATGGGGAATTCGGTGTATTCAACACACTGCATGAAGCCTCAGGGCAAATCGGACAAAATCTTGGCAATTACTGTATTGATAGATTGTGTGCATCGCTTCCGGGTTCGCCCGGCTATGAATGACTGTGGCATGCTGTGTGCTTTCCACTGCTGTCAGCCTTGGGCACATACGTAGTTACCCCTCACTAGCGCAGCAAAAAAATAATCTTCTCCTTTCCATCTCGTTGATGAGGAGTTACTCCTTCAGTTTCCTGATCCTTTCGGCTAGTAAAGCCTTGATCAAGCTAAAATGCCGCTCTCGGCGCGAGTTTCGCCCGCCGCCCAGCGTATCATTCGCGAAGCTTTCAATGACCTGGAACGAACCATTTCAGACCAGGATAGTGCAGATTTTGCCGTCACAACCCTCGATAAGGTGATCAAAGCTGCTCACGATATCGAAAACCAACTTGCCGCGCGTCAGCTGCTGCGAAACATGCGGCGTCTGACACCCTTGTTCGACGGGCTGCAATACTATTCCAAAACAATCGAGGTTACCTGCAATGGGACGCCATATATGCCCTGGATATGGGCGCCGATCAAAGTCATTCTCAAGGTACCCATCTTTGTTTATCAATTCTGCCAGAGGCGAAGAGTTTTTCGTGTACTATCGCTATTTCAGTAATAGCAAGAAGAGAAGGCATGCAGCTGACTTGCCATGGCTCTAGATCGCCTCTGACTATATAGATGCTTTTGACAAGCTTATTGAGGCTTATGCACGAATCGCAGAACCCTTGAATAGATTCAAAATGTTCCACGAGACCTACTCCAACAATATAGAGCTACAACAGACGCTCGCCATCTTCTACTCCGATATTCTGAAGTTTCTCAAAGAGGCGTACAAGTTTGTAAGCAGGAGCGGTAAGTTTAAACCTAATAAGCTCTTAGACGGCAACTAGATCATTTCACTGTAGGATGGAAAGTGTTCTTCATGACCTCCTGGGGTCGCTTCCAGAGACGGTTCGACGGCATCATCGACGACCTGAGAGCTCATGAAAAGCTCGTTGATCAGACCGCCAACGCAGTGGGCCACTCTAAAATGAAGAAAATGCGGGAGGATGTGACTGCGTTGCGACAGCAGCAGCTTGAAAGGGCCGTAAGAGAAGACAAGGAGCGCACAGCAGCCCAATACGTAGCTGTTGTCTGCTGGCTAAAAACAGACAACAGTGAACAGGCAAAGATTTTTGATTCTATAACAGAGGAGCCAGAAAAGTACTCTGGGACTTGCAATTGGATATTGGGCCAAAGCAAGATTGCTTCGTGGATGAGATGTAGCCAGGAGTCGACTTTCCTCGTCCTTCATGGCCATCCTGGGACCGGCAAAAGTGTGCTACTTACGCAGATAGCCACTTTTCTCAGGTCCTCAGAAAATTTGACGGCGGTCGGTCGAATGAAGTCATTGGTGGTCTCTCATGTCTGCACTTACTCGCAATCAACATCCATAGAATACGACCAGATCCTACGGTCAATCTTGCTGCAGCTAGTCCAGCACGACACAGATTTAGTGGCCTACATCTACGAAGAACTCATACTCAAGAAGAAAAGCCTTACTGGACAAGCACTTGAGCGTTTAATATTGGAGGTGATTGGCGCCGTTTCCGATAACCCCTCTCAGACAAAGTACGTTCATGTCATCTTGGATGGGCTCGACGAGTGTGAGAGAGAAAAGCAGCCGAAGGTCATCAATCTACTCGAGCGTATGGTGTCTACCGCATTCACTTCTACCTCGACAGTTTGCAAAGTCCTGATTTCGAGTCGAATGCCGCCAAGTGTGGTCAAGAAACTAAAACAGAAGCACGTCGTCTCGCTCTCAGAGGAGAAGGCTGCTTTAGGGAAAGCTATAACCACTTACGTTGCTCAAAGACTTGGTGAGCTGCAGAGGAAGATGGGTTTTAGCGGCCCGGAACTTGATGAACTGAAAAATCGACTGGCTAGGAAAGCTGACGGTTCGTTATTATGGCCCCAAGCACGCAAGCAGTATAAATAACCAAAGTTCAGGGATGTTTCTCTGGGCCCGCCTTGTTTTAAATTACTTGACAAACAACTTGTTTGTAAGAAGGCATGAGGTGATAGGCGCTGTCGACAGTCTCCCCCGCGAGCTAGGCGAATTGTCCGCACACTTTCAATCGGAATTACTAAAAACTTTAGGCCGACTTTCTGCAGTTATGGACATATTCTCGCGCAGATCGTTTCTCAATTCGACAAGCGTTCAGTTTCTCGTCTGCAATCAATCTTTGGCTGGATCGCGTTTGCCAAGAGACCTCTTCGAAAGGCAGAGCTTCGGTCAGCTCTCTCGTTCTCAGCTGATCCTGAAAGCGTCAATGTCGAGGAATTGGCTCCGAACTACTTGTTTGAAAGGTGTAAGCCGCTAATCGAAGAGCGTAGTAATACGACATTTGCTTTCATCCATGTTTCGGTCAAAGAGTAACGTGTTCTATTTTTCTTTTTCCAAACTCTTGCATCGCCATTACTTACTCCCTCAAACAGGTTCCTTCAAAGCCCCGAAAGTAACGTCATTCTGGACGAGCCGAATCAAGCCTATGAACAAGGACTTGCTACCGTTTTGTGCTTGCTTTCAGGACTTCAAATTTTCCAGCCAACGCACCCAGAGCATAGCCGACATCTTCGTGTAGTTCGTGGCTTTCATGGTCTACATATGTACGCTTCTGAGTTCTGGGTAGAGTATCTACTCAGTATTGCGGCTTCTGAGAATGGCATCGATCCCAACTCGGTATTCTTTACCAGGTCGCATGAGCTTTCTGTGGCAATGAATTCCTTTTACTCAGCAGAGGATCTCGAAATATGTCGGGAAGCGGACGACCGGCTTCCTTATATCAAGAGGCACACTGCACTTTATCTTGCAGCAAGAGTCATTGCTTCAGAACGGGCGGCGAAAACGATAATCGCTGGTCAAAGAACTGGTAAGATCCACTAGAAATATTTGGATTTCAGCCTAATAATTGCTAACAGCGTCGTCAACGTCAGATGGTGTCGACAAAGTCACAGGGTTACACTCCATGTTGCTGAATTACCAGCACACCGTCAAAGAGCTTCTTAAATTGTTCAGGCTCCCAGACGTCAGCATTCAAGAACTAGAAAGGTTCAAGCAAGATTTCCGCTCCACTGCTTTTACCTGCAGGTTCTGGTCTTGTCCACTAGCCGGAACTAGATTCGAGAGCGAAGCCCTTAGAGACGACCATGAGCGTGCCCATGTCCCTCGCATTGTCTGCGAGATATCGGGTTGTCAATATCCTCCGTTCACCTCTACTGAAGCTCTAAAAAGACACCATACTAAGTATCATTTCCAGGGCATCCCTAATATTAGAATCAGGGCGCCACCTGGCCTAGAAAAGATGTCGACAGAGTCTAAATCTGCCAGCCAGCTAGGCCATCTCCAAAAAGATATTCTTGGAAATGGACAGATAGTGTCCATAATTTCAGAATCCATGATTGACAAGACCAGCCAACCGTACGCTTCGAACTTTCCTTCGTCTGTCCCACCGACGACCGTCTCGTCACCTCGGGGCGTCGATGTGCCAGATACAACAACGCAGGTATCCACTCAAGCTGAGGCGTCGTCGACTAAGCCTATAATCAACAAACCGGGCTTACTGAGAGACTATGCAACAAACCAGCTTAACCCGACTGGCGAAGAGTACCTTCCAAAAAGTATAGACGACTTGGGCGAACAAAAGGTACTGCCTAACGGAATCTTGCTTGGTGGTCGTGAATACCGATGTAGAACGTTCAGTATTCAAGGCCACGGAGACACGGTCTTCATGCTCGGTCTAGAGTGCGCCAAAGTGTTGAAGTACCCAGACTCATACACTTTTTTCCAGAGGAACGAACCCCTTTACAAGCTTGTATTGAAACAAAGAGAGAAGGATCATCTTATCAAACAAGATGTTATACCGTTTTCGGACCGTTTTAGAAAAGGAGCCGTTGTCACGGCTCGTTCTATGTTTCGTCAGTTCGGTAGCCGCATCATCCTGAACGGTCGGAGGGTCATGGATGACTACTGGGAGGCCAACGCACAAGAGCTAGACTCGACAGACCCAACCACCATGAGTCAAATATCGCAAGAACCCAAGACTGCTAAATCTCAAGACGCTGCGCAGCTAAACCCGGGGAACGTTGATGTGGACGAGCATGAGAAAAGCACCCTACCTCCCATTCACGAGGAGCTTCCGCCTGAATCGAAAACATCAGGCCATGAATGGTCTGTCGTCTTCAACCAAAACGTTTCTCAGATGTTGTACGTCGATCTTGTTCACACGTTAGTTCACGAAAGTGTAGCTTGCTGTGTGCGCTTCAGTCATGATGGCAAATACATTGCTACAGGAAGCAACGGAATTGCCCAGATTTACGACTCCCAGACGGGCGGAGAACTTTGCGTTTTCAAGCTTGACAGTCATAACAGCTCTGGCAAAAACTATGTTCGTTCTGTGTGTTTTAGCCCCGACGGCAAGCATCTCGTCACAGCAGGGGAGGACAAAGTGATTCGTGTAAGTTATATCGATACCGATTTAGAGCTTCCGAGCAGCTTGCTGAAGCCACTCTCTTCTCTGCGACTCTAACTGTATATCTAGGTCTGGGATATATCGAAACGAAAGATCCGCAGCACCCTAGTAGGTCATACGTCAACTATCTTTGCTCTAGATGTCGCGAAGGATGGACGCATGATTGCCTCTAGCAGCGGTGATAGCACGGTTCGCCTGTGGAGTTTCGACAGCGCTGGTCATATACACACGCTTAAGCCAATAAGTGATGTGAATTTTGTAGCTTTCTCGCCCGATTCTCAGTATGTCGTCACGGGCTGTATTGAAACAACCGGTTCGATATGTATTTGGGAAACTCAAACAGCGCATCTACGAACCTACTTGCAAGGAACAGACAGACATAAAGAAAATGTCTTTGATGTTGCTTTCACTCCAGATGGGAGAAAAATTATCAGCGGTTCTTCCGACAGGACAATCAAGATGTGGGACTACGGTAGTCCAGACGCCATCAACCTGTTACCCAAGGGCGACCAAAACGTCCAAACGTTTGAAGGACATTGGGTAAGTTCGAATTAGCTTCACCGCTTGTCTCTTGTTCGTGTATGATTTCGGGCTAATGTGTGGCGCAGAACTGCATCGTCTCTGTTGCATCTACCCCTGATGGCGCCTGGGTCATATCAGGTTTGAAGAATGGTACCGTACAGTTCTGGGATCCTCATACCGGTGCAACTCAACTCGAATTACAGTGTCACGAAACTTCACTTACTGACATGGCGGCGAGCCCGATTAGGGGTTGCTTTGCTACTGTTTCTCATAAGGGGACGACGAGGATATGGTCTTACCGAAAATTGTCATGATGTTATACCATCTTGCTTGATACTAAAAATTGAGGCTTCCGAGGAGCCCGAGGAGCCCGAGGAGCCGGAACCTCAGATCAATTGATATCCAGTGTCTATATCTATACTGTTTGTTGAATCAACAATACTCCTTAGCTTTTATAAATTGTTGAAAGTTGAGCGAAATTGCGAAAGGCGCAGCATTTTTCTTTACATTCTAGATTTGATCATGAGTCTCAGCAAACTCTAGAGTTGAGATTAATTCAGCTCTAAAGCTACATGTTGCTGTCTACTGTTGATTGGAAATACATGATGGCGTCTATGCAGCTTTCAACGAGTTGTTCAATCTTGACTTAAGGCATATGGGGGCTGTCGTTCGGGGCCTTTCCACAGTGTTGTTGATCCATACTTCAATATGGCTTCTTTAGATGCAATGTTCTTGTTTGCATCTTCTCTTAGGAGCAAGTTGAACCAAGGGAAGCTAACTCTTAGCTCTGGAGCTTTTTGCTGCTTCTTCCATTTATTATTCTTGTGTTCAATAAAAGATAAGAAGAAACCTAAAAGAAGCAGCTTGCGGCACAGGGGATAGGAGCAATCAACATCAAGGACAGAATAGGCTTCAGACATTTCTCATGACAATTACCCCACAGAGAGCTCAATCTAGTCTACTGTCAATTTTCTGCAGTCGACATGTTAGTTCCAACAACACACAGAAGCCCACCAAACCCCCTTCAGCAGCCAACCCGACCCATGTCAACCTCGCCACCCGAAATCTGTCAGAATCAACAGGAATTGCCATCTTTGGCAGGTCGAAGCAGCACCTCCAACACTCAGGTCCCAGCAGACGGGGGTATGGGCTCTCGTTATAGGCAGGCTGGGAAATTCTGGTCCCATACTGCTAGGCCTCGCTGCGCAATGTGCCCAACTGATCTCTTCCAACGGCCAAACCGCTCGAGGGGCCTCCCCTGCACCCATGGTGCCCCAGAACGCGGCCCGAACCCGTCGAATCAGACCCTGTCAACACGACGACTCTTCCTGGTCTGGATCAACCCTTCAGCGAAGGATGGAGACATCCGCCACGGCGTCTATACAAGCGTGTTTTGTGCAATGGTTGCTCTGCTGTGCCTTTCAACTGCATCTCGGAAATTATGTGACGCTGTTGGAGCGCGTCTGCGAAGGGTTTGACGATTGTTGCAAAGAACCATTGCCATTTCGTAATTGTCGCCTATCTTGGCGAGTATTTTTTTGTAGAATGTGATAAAGCCTTGCTCTCGTGGGCTAGTCCCCGTGAGCCCGTCAATCCTCAACACTCTCGCCCGGGTTCTCAAGGTCTCATCACATACCCATAACCATGGCAAATGCTGACGCATTGATAGCAAGTCTCCAAGACATCAACGGCGAAGCCTTCACGGACAACGCCGAGAGGATACGCGCGCGATACGCCCTCTACGACGCCCTGCGCAAGGTCCAGACGCCGTGGGACATCGCGTGGGACCACATTGTCGTCAAGGGCGGAGGCAATGCCGCCATCAAGACCCTGATTGATGCTGGCGTCTTTGAGAAGTGGCATGAAGCTGGTGGGGGGCCTGTCACCTGTGACGAGCTTGCAAAGCTCACCACCGGCGCCGATGCCCTTCTCATACGTACGTGCCTAACCTAGAGCCCCTCCCAGCAAAACAGCTAATTGACTGCCCATGAACAGGACGCATGATGCGTGCTATCGCAGGCCAGCGCCTCGTCATAGAAACTGACATCGACACCTACGCCCGTACGCCGTGGGCGCGGGCCCTCGGGGAGGACGCCCCGCTGCTGGCCATGTACGGCGGCTTCTATGGCGAGCTGACGAACCCCATGTTCCGGAGCCTGCCGTACTTCCTCAAGGAGACGGTGTACAAGAACCCGACGGACCGCAACAACTGCAACTTCCAGCGCTGGCAGGGCGACCCGGACGCCGTCTTCTTCAAGTACGTCGGCACGAACCCGCTGCTGACGTCCGACTTCAACGACGTCATGGAGTGCCACTCGCGCGACAACCTCACGGCGTGGCCAAACGTGTACTCCACGGAGCGGCTCGTTGACGGGGCGCACCCGTGCCGGGCGCTGGTGGTGGACATTGGCGGCGGCAGGCGGCACGATTTGAAAAAGTTCCATCTCCGCCACCCGCAGGTGCCTGCGCGGAACCTCATCCTCCAAGACCTCCCCGACTTTCTCAAGGCGTCAAGTCGGACTCGGCCTTCACGATCCAAGCCTACGACTTCTTCACGCCGCAGCCCGTTCGCGGGGCGCGGGCGTACTTCCTCCACAACGTGCTGCACGACTGGCCCGACCCGACGGCCGTGGAAATTCTGCGGACGACGGCCGAGGCCATGGAGGGGGGGTACTCGAAGCTGCTGATCCACGAGAGCCTGATTAGTGAGAAGGAACCGCTGTGCAAGGTGACGGCGACGGATATGATCATGATGGCGGAGCTGGCGTCGGCGGAGAGGACGGAGGGACAGTGGTGTGAGCTGATTGCGAGCGCGGGCCTGCGGGTGGTGAAGATTTGGAGGCCAGTGCAGGCGGTTGAAAGTGTCATCGAGACGGAACTGGCGTGAACGGCATGGTGACGATGAACTGGGTGGTTTTTCATGAAGTTGGATTTCCTGTAGCATTTAGCAAACCTGCTAGCAATAAGGTCTCGTTCGGTCGTTAATATATGAAAATGAACCATATTCCGAACGGGCCCTGTTTACGCGCGTATCGAACTTGTTGCCATCGTTCTGGCTCATGCGCTAGGACATTCTCAGCCGCAAACTCCGGGAGAATGAGCATAGTGATCATAGTAAGCCGGTCGTTCCTGTAAGATGCCGGGATGACAGGCAGGACTAGGGCATCTCCACAGTCCCGAGGGGTGACTGAGTTTGAGGAGCAGATGGCAAACCCGACTTGCAAAATTAGTTTGCAGGAACGCAGGATGACCATCGTTCCAAAAGCGATAGTATTGGGCCTGCGAGACCCAGGTGTGAGCAACTGAAATATCATTGGTAGTGTGTATGCTGGCGGGCAAGCTCGACGACATGCCCGTCTTGGTATCCTTTTTTTACGCCCCGGCTGGCTCCCTTTCGCTCAAGCCCCTTGTCTACCCTCTACGCTCCTGCGTTTACGACGTCTCCCTCTCTCCCTCTCTCGTCACTCGTATGCGTGTGTGCGTCCTTCGCTCCTCTACTTTCTCTGCTCGGCGGCGTTGCGGTCGTGCTCGTCAATGTCGATGGCCTCCCAGGGGTAGTTGATCCAGACGTCGCCGACGGTACGGGCAGCGAGGTAGTGGCCCGAGTTCATCATCTCCGCGGGCAGGGTACCCTTCTTCTGCTTGTCCTTGTTCTGTGGAGTGTCAACATCAGCCGCCTAAGGCAGGGGCGCGGGGGAGGGAGGGTGTGACTGACGTGCAGGACAAAGATGCCAAACTCAGTCTTCTGGCCCTTGCCGAGGCGCTGGCTGGCGGCCTCGACGTCCTTCTCGAGCTCCTTGACAGCATACTCGAGGGTGGTGCGGGTGTCGTCGACCTCGTCGACGATCAGGATGCGCTTGCCGACGAGGTTCTCCATGTCGCCGATAGCGTTGAGGTCAAGCCATTGGGTGCGGGTAACCTTTGTGCCGGGAACCTCGGGGACGCCAGGGGTGGCGTTGCCGCCAAAGGTCTCGGGGAGGCTCTCGTAGAGGGAGAGGCCGATGGCCTGGATAGGGATGTTGGGGTTGCCGGGCTTCTTCAAGAAGGAACGTAGGATACGGGCAGGGACGTAGCCGCCGCCGCCGATGGCGATAATAAGCTGGGGCTGGAAGGTCTCGAGGATCTTGACGGCGGACTCCTGGCAGAGCTTGTGGACCTGGAGAGAGAGGAAGCGGGACGTCAGTCGAGCATGTTCGCGGCGTACATGGTGTCACTGTGGAAGCAAGGGCGCAAGCAAGCGGGAGGAGATGAATGACATACATCGTTGTACGTGACGTAGAGCTTCTCAACCATTTTTGCGGTGTTTGGAGGGGTTTCTTTGACTCGAACTCGGTCGGCGACGGGTAGAATGTACTGCGGGGTAGGAGATGCGGATTTGTGCAGATTTGGAGATATTCTTTGACTCAGATGAGGTGGATGTCTGGTCGAGTCGGAGAAGGAAGAAGAAAGAAAAGGGATCGTATATATTGGGGGAAGGCAATATACAGAAGAGTGAAATCGACTAGAAACAAGCTTAAGTAGGAGGAGGATGGGACCAAAGTTCCGCCAGGAGTGCCGCTATTCAGAGGAGGAGAGAAAAAAAAAGAGAAGATGCGCGCGCGCGCCAGGCTGCCACAGTGACCCCTCCATCCGCCCATCCGTCAACCGCCCCGAGGAGGGAAATGACCCCGCCATGCGCCTTTGGGGATGTACTGTACATAGTACATGCACGCACCTGTCACCGGGCACAGTAGGCGTAGGCAGGGCAGGCGCGGGAGAGAAATTTTGTCTGGCGAGCCCCGAGCCCCGCGACGACACTGAACCTGCCTGCCCCCACATGCACGTGGACCTCAATGCTACGCCCCGCATGTCAGTCATTCACCGGCGGCACGTGAGTGGCTGTTGACCGGAGGACCCTGACCGGTTTCTTCACCGGTGTGTCGGAATCCGCCGTGTCCTCGGTGAAAAATCTCCAATCCCAGACTCTCGAGCCAATGAGAGATCTACAGAGGAGGAATTGCAGGGCTTGCCTAATCCCACCTACACCCCGGATCCCTGAGCAGGGCGCTAGTCTGTCACTGAATTTTCTGCTTTCCCCGGTCACCCAGAATTTCACGATAATTTTTAGGCCCTTCAACATGTAGGGCAAGTCAAAATCCAAGCTTGGCTCGGGTGAGTCGACCTGAGCAACCGTTCAGTGCCAGGACTTATTGCCATCTTTGCTGACCAACCGACACTGCGTCAACCTCTAGGACGATGTGAGTGAGATACCGCCGGCCTTGATGACATGCTGGTCCAAGCTCCATATCCACCCTACTTTCTGCCGTGGGCGAGTTGATAAGCGGTCAGTCAAGCTGGCGGCAAGCTGTCGAGCCAAACGACTTCACCTTTCCTGAGCTGAGGAAATGTAACAAACGGTTCATGTAAGCATTACGACTGTGTTTCAACTAATCGATGGCCACGCCAGGCCAGCGTTTTCTTGCGCGATGCACGATGCTCGATCTGAATTCTCATCCTGGTGTTGCCCCATTTCCGTAGTCTCATGGCTTCGGTCTGAGTGACGTTGCAGTGGCAAGAACTAACACAGTGCTCCTGTGCCGCTATGGCCTGATGCGAGAGCACGAATGTGACGATGTTCCAGGGAGAGGAATCAATGTGATGGCTCCGGCCACATCTGGACATGCAATTGTTACGATCGCTTTCGATTGGTTCAATGCACTATCAAACCCGAGTCCTGCCGCTTGTCTTAGGGGCACTGTCTGTCTTCCTCAGTGGCGTCGCATTTTCCTCAATATCCTAGGTCGACTCCAGAGGGCCTAAAGGCTATCCAGACGCTCAAGTAACACCTTCATCATCAAATTCCGCAATTCAGTGTCCTTGTGCGAACCCTCGGGCGCAATCCCCTCCCGCCAGTGCAATATCCCCTCACTCGCCAAAACGTATGCCGCCCAAAACGCGTCAAACACGCCGGGGCCGACGCCGGGACGCGGGTAGAAGCGCTCGTTCTCCTAGACATAGCCAGCTGGATCTCCCACGAACCCGTCCCGCTTCTCGTTGACCTTCAAGCCCGCCATGCTGCCCAGGCCGCACACCCAGAGCTTGGCCTTGTCAAGCGTGTGGTTGTAGCCGATCCGGAACTTGATGTTGCGCGCGTCCTTCTTCAGGTCGTAGTGGATTACTGCTAGCGCAGTACCCATCTCCCGCGCGAGCTCGAGGACGCCGGGGCGGCCGATGAACTTGAGGAGCTGGTCGAGGTACGCAGGGCGCGTCGAGAGGTTAGGGTGATCTCGGAGCATCTCCTTGACGGCGGCCGGCTGTTCGAAGCCGAGCCAGGTCTTGGGGTGGAGGTTATAGTTCTCAGGAATCATGATGGCCCTGCGCTGGTAGGTGGGGTTGATGATCTTGTCGATGATGACGCGGATGACGGCGGCTTTGATCGGCCGTACGCGTTCCATGACGAGACGGCCATTCATCTCGGGGAAGGGCTCGACGAGCTGGTCGGGGAGATGGTCGGAGCTTCCGCTGCTTCTGATGAGCATGTGCTGGCGAGGCGCCGCGGCGATCGCGACGCGCGAGATGTAGGGGTGGTTCTTGCCGAGGATATCTTCGAGTTGCTCGGGGAGCAGGCGGAACCAGTGGCGGAGCATTTGGTACATCTCGACGGCGCCAAAGTACCCCTGACAGAGCCTAGCGTAGGACGCGCGCTCCTTGAGGACCTTGCCGTCCTTCAGCATGTAGATCTGGGTGTCCCAAGTCTGTGAGTGGTACATGAGGCGAAGGCGCGGCGCGTGGGTGGGCGGTGGGGGTTGTCGGGCGGCCTCCTGAGGGAAGAGGAGTCCCGGAGGGGGCGAGAGATGTTCGTCGTCCCCGGTGTTGTTATCATCCGAGGAGGATGCGTCTTCCCACTCCTCATCCTCCTCGAGGATGACTGGCATCGGGATGAGGGGGGCTTTGGGGGCCATGTTCAATAGGGACCTGGTTGCTGATGGCAGAAAGAGGGAAGTAATCAATCGAGGTCAGCCCTTTTAAAGGTGATCAGCCACTTGTGGGTGCTTAGTCGTCGGTATCAAGCATCCGTACTGGAAACCTCGCCTCGTCGAGTGCTTATGCTATCCGTGTTCTAGGCGGTGTTCAAAACGGCGGTTTGGGTTCTCTCATGACCCCATCACTAACAGCTCGGGCGCTATGAGATGCTCGGTCAGCAAATGCAAAAGGAAGAAATATTTACCTCGACTGCTTCGTCATCGTTAGTCGTTATTCCGTCCCATCATTGGATCACGTATACTCGCAAACAATACGCTAACGGTATAGGATAAGAGTGACAATGACATGAGCTAAGGGAGGAACTCAGGGGCACCAACTTGATTGACAGAGACACTGACAATGAAAACAGCAAGGAAGACCACCCAGATGGCCGGCGAGACTAATATAACAAGTGAAAATGATGAATAGAGCCGGCAAGTGGTGGGTGGGAGAGGCTTTGAGAGCAAGTGCGCGATGGCGAAAATAGCGGGCAAAGTCGACACAAAGAAAGGAGAGAAAGATAGAAGGCCGTTTAATAGCAGCAGCGGTGTATGAGATAGCGATCGATTGAACACCATGTAGGCAGTGATAGGGAAACAGAAGATGACAAAAGAGAAACAAGGCACCTTGATTCAAGTGTTTGTTGGCCGGAGGATTGGGTTGTTCGTTACAAAGGTGGGGTGCTCGTGTATGTATCTTGACCCGATGATACCAGGCATATTGAGGAAAAAGCTGGAAGCACATCGAAGATGCCTCGAATAGGGAAACACGGTCTAAAGGGAACAATGCTCTAGTTGCAGGCGAGCCACTGTACTACAGGACCGAATGCCTTGGTTTGCTATACCCCTAACCCAGCATAGAAGCACAGTTGCCCGAGTGGTATTTCAATAGCTGATCTTCAGGACACATGCTTGACTGATGAACACAACCGCCATGTACTCTCGGGATGAAGGTTCGTCCAGTTGGGGCATTCTCTACCAAGAGGATGCTACCCCTGGCAAATGTTGTTAGATGGAGTCATGCCCAGGTACACCATTTCGCATGTCCGCCAGCGAAGCTTGCTCGAACCCTCGAGGCTAAGCTGTGTATAGAGAAGATGTTTAATATTCAAAGTTTCAAAACACGTCTAAGAGACACGCCGATGAGGGTGTTCTATGACTGATGACTCCGGCGCAGGCTATGAGACGAAAGAGCAAGAAGGAAGGGCAAATCAAGTTCCGTAATCCTCAACCGCCCTGCGTTCCCTCTTTTTGGTGTGTTTCCTTCAGCTTCTTCTCCGTCTTCATGAATTCGCGAATGCCGACAGGGACATCGTTATATAGCTTCTCATCCCACATGTTCTTGGCGATCTTGGGGTCTTTGGGCACCCAGTTGGTCTCGGAACCGCCGCCGTCGTCGTCCATGGTAATTGAATCGCTCGCACCCTTTTGTTGCCGTAACTTCAGTTGTGCCTCGGCGTTTGCTGCCGACCACTCTTCCATCTCCTCCCTGTACTGTTCCCACACGCAGTTGACGCACCCGCTCATGCAACAGTGATCCGGCTCCTCGGGCCGCGGAGGCACAAGGATGCCGGCTATTATGTTGCCCTTCTGGCGCAGCTCCTTGAGACGCTGCGCGCGCGCGGCAGGACCGGCAAGGGGTGAGCCGAATATGATGGCGGCTTTCTCAGCCGCGGTTTTAGGCGGCGGCATCGGCACCGGCTGTGCGGATTGAGCTTCAGCAACGGGTTCCGGGGTTGGGTCTGGGGAGGGAGGCGACGTCTTACGGCCATGCTCCTGCTTGTGGACGGAGGAGGAGGGGGGCTCCTCTGGCTTCACATCGGGAATCGGTTGGGGGTCGTTAAGGATCGCCTCGTAGTATGCGCCCAGCGGGTGTGCTTGGGTCTTGGAGGGCTCGATCGGAGCAGGGCCAGTTTGCGACTGGCTGGTGATGAAGGCATTGCGAGGCATGCGGCTAACGCGTGGCACGAGAGGCCGTAGGCGGGGGAGAAATCTGGCGGGAGAGGACATTTTGGGTGGTGCTTCGTAGACGTTGGTCCAATTCTGGGAGGTTGAAGCCGGGTATTGGACCTTGTTTGGGGGTTGAGCGACGCAGGCCTGCGATCACTAAAGAGAGTAAAAGGACCCGGGCAGTTGGAATGCGGTCATAGCCGCGGACGTCATCGGTCCAGATTCTTGATTATGTAATAATCAAGTTTTGGTATCACGTGCGTTCGTGTTGCGCCTGCGAAGGACCCAGAAGGAGCCTCATACAAGCGAACGGACCAAACAGACTGCAGGGAAAAAAAGAAAAAGAAGAAAAAGACTCAATGATTCTGAAATGAATTCAAAAAGAAGATAATCTATTTGATCTCTGTTGGAGGATGAGTCCAGGTAGTATTCGAGAAGCTTTCTCGAAACTTTGGCTGAGGAGCGTTCACCATGTTCAACAACGCCTTTCCCTGCTTGGTTTGGCGTGTCACTCCCAATGAGGAAGGCGGTGGGGTCGCATGTACACAAACGCGCTCCAGCTACCTCATAGTAAAGCCACCCGACCAGTGCATCGCGCATGCAGCCCACATCGGAAGCCCATGACTGTAAAACACCTTCGAATGCCAACAAACCGCGCCAAAATGCTTCAATAGAGCCTACGACGACGCGAGAATATGGAGGAATCCGCCCCCAAGCGCCGGAGGATTTCGCCACGCCTCGGAAGTCAACGCGACGACGACGACGACAACGACAATAACGGCTCGACCACACCCCCCGACCCTCCCCCACCACGGAGCAGGATTCCGCAAAGGCCTTCTTTCGCGTCGCCAACGAGAGCAAGCTTGGCACGATCGAATCCCGATATCCTAAGACGAAGGAGTAGAAGCCTGAGTCCAGCAAAGACTGGTAGCAGCAATCCAGCAACACAATCTACACAGAATGTTGCCGGAGAGGGGTCTGCCGCCCAAGCCGGGGGCCAGGCCGAACGTTTCCTAGAGAGAGGGCCTGCGCGTCCGCGGAGTGACATGTCGGGCTCGACAGCTGTCGAATCTCAGAACATGGGCTCGCCCGCACGACGTATCCCAGGATCCAGACTCAGCGGTGCGCTGGCGTCTAGACCACGCCGGTCAGGCGGCCTGCCGAATCCTAGGCCACTCCCCGACCCCGAACCAGACGATGAAGAGTTCAATCCATTTGCCGGGCGCGTTATCAATCGTACGCCGCCGACTGGCGTCATTCCTGCAAGAGCACCGCCTCCCGAACCAGAGCCCGACGACGAGCCCGAGCTCCCACCAACGCCGACGCAAAGGGGACAGGCTGATCCTGTGGTCACAACACCTCCCCTGGGCATCCACGATACGCCGTCGAAACGGATACGGCGTACTGCTTCACCGTCTAAGAGCTCGCCACTGAAACAACCGCCTCTCCGCCCACCTGAGATTACGCAGACAACAAAAGACCCTTTCAAGAAGGCAATGCAGCGCCCTGTACGGGAGAAGAGTCCGAGCAGGATGGCGCGGAGGACGCGGTCGACGAAAGGTCCCTCAGGTACGCACGAAGCTCGTGGAATCTCGGTACCGGACCGGAACTCGGAACTCAAAGAAACACGAGACGCGTTGCAAGCGGAAATTGCGAAGCTTGAGGCGGACTTAGAATTTGCGACTGTGGAGAACGAGCGGCTGCGCAAGGCACAATCCCTCCGATCAGGTGCTCTGCAGCCTCTATCAACGTTCCGCCGGGAGCAATTACTGGACCTGCTGCGACGCCATCTTGTACGCCCAGAAAAGGAGGTCAAGCCAGATGCCGCGCAAGAGTGGTTCGACCTGGCAATGAACCCGACGTCTTGGCTGTCATTCGGATCTCTCGGGCAGACTCAGCTTCTCTCTGCCCAGGAACAAGAGGAGGACCTTCCTCCTCCGACGTCACACCATCCGGTCGCAATGTCAGCCGCCAATGAGCTTCCGTATTTGCAGGCGTTCACCCCGTTCCAGTTCTCAGGGACGACAAACATGCTGCCAAAAGAAAATGACTCGGATCCTCTGCTGCGTAAACACAATATTGTCATCAGATCAGCCCATCCTGTGGGGTTGTTCATGGCCAAGATAGAGATGACGGTCGACACGGAAAACCTGCAGATAACGGAGCTCAGCGTGCCCCGCCTAGACCCCGCGGCCGTCGCCGAAGTCGGCCCCTTTATCCAAAAGGTTACCCAAGGAGGTTCCAATACCCATATGAAACGAAATATCAGTATTGTCACCTGGGCGATGGCCGAATGGTATCGCATTGCGATTGAGCGTGCCAATGTCTGGCACACTCTGGAGAGGGAGCTAGGCGACAAGGAGAAGCTGGTGCAAAGTGTGGCTAAAATACGAACGAGACGTAAGAAGCGTAGGAGAAGAGACGACGACGACGACGAAGCAAACAACCAGGATGCAGATGGCTCGGCTGCTGAAAACCACCGCACTGAGAATCTGTCGCGGTCAACATTACTGCCTCATCTCGGAAGGACCGCCTATGAGATTCCTATCCCTGATGCTGTCAAAGAGGAAACATCGTGTCTAAGAATACAGTGGAGGATTGATTTTGATTGGGCTGGTGAGGCGCAGAGCAAGGTTGGATTGATGATTGGCATGCCTGGGAAGTGTGAGTTCCCCCGAGGAGAAGAATTCTTGACGAGGAGGATGACTAATAACACGCAGGGCATCGCGGCGATGAGCGCGGATCACTGGCCGCAGCGTCCAAGGTTTTCGAGAGACTTGTTAAAGATAATGAGGGACCAATGACGGCTGTACGAACTGTTGTTGCCTTGATGGCGGGCGATGCATTATCTTAGAAGATACCACCACGGCGTACTGCTTCCGCGCTGTTCTAGGAGTATGGTTTGTATCGCTCTGCCGAGACGGGTCATGAAAGGTTTTTTTTGGTAGCATGCTTGCCGGGCTTTTATGAACGGCCTTGACTTTGGTCTCTATCAAACGCACTTTTCTTGTCTCCCCGACCTCTCGCCAGACAGATCACCACATCAACCTCCAGGCTCTCAGGACAGAGGGCCTTGACCATTGCCACTGCCGCCATGGCCCCACGCATTGCCGTTGTAGCCTCCGTGGCCCCAAGCATTGCCGTTTCGTTGGTAACTACCATCCCCATGCCCATTCGTCCCATTGTGTCCGTTTGCGTTACGGGTGGGGCCGTAAGAAGTGCCAGGCGTAATACCAGGCCAGCCTGAACCCGCCAGGCCCATCGGGATCGGGCCGTTGGGACCTCCCCATCCATCGCCAAACCCACTACTCGGGCCACTGCCGTTGTCGCCGCCGCCGGGGATGTACCCGTTCGGGTTCCACGCCCTACGTGCCGCTGTGACAGCCATGTCCGCCGCGCCACGCAGGGCATCCGCGCTTGGAGAGCCGGAGGGGTAGTAAAGGCCGTCGTTCCAGGTTGTCCTGCCCGGACCGTAGGAGGTAGAAGGACGGCTGCCGTAGCCGAAGCCCATCGCGGTGGCGGAGTTCGGGCTATAGGTATCGCCGTAGATCGGGCCGCGGTTGGCGGCGTAGCCTGATGGTGATGGGAAGGCAGCGGAGTAGGCTGCTTGATTTGCGGCGACGCGGGAGGCCATGTAGGACATTGCGTCGGCTGGGGTGTGGGAAGGGGGGGGGGAGCCCGCTCGTGTAGCCGTTCGTGTTGCTGTACGGGTTGTTGCCGTAGCCGTTGAGGTTGCTTCCGTATCCGGACATGATGTTGGACGACGATGTGTGCCGCGGTTCGTGTAATCCTGATGAATGTTCTTTTTTTGTCGACATTCCTCTTTGGCGGGGCTTCTAATTGATGAATGCTTCCAAAGAGACTTTTGTTCATCCTGTAGATAAATATATATGTATGTTTGATAAGGGAACTGGTGAGGTGAATGTAGGTTAGTTTTCGTGATTGTAGGTTGATGCGTCTTGAACCAACGCAGTGACTGTTTGATAGGAAGCGGCGGCTCTCGGAATTCGATGAAAGCAATATCTTCTACTCACCGCCGCTCCAAGGTCATAGCTACTGTGGCTGTTACTTCCTGGTAGCTAACGATACCTTCATGCGTTCCTTGCTTGTTGCCTGTAATCGACCGCCGCGCCTGGCGATGTGGACCGTATATAAACGTGATAGCAATCGGTATGCTATATTCGAGCCTTGGTGTCATCCTCATAACAAGAAACTGAAATTCAGCCGTTCAACTCGACGAACACTTATCATGGACAGTTCTGCTTTCAAATGCGAGTATGAAGCTTACTTTCTCCAGTCACTCACGTCATGTAATGCAAATTGTATTGCAAATAAGAAGCCTGGGCCAGTTGAAGGGCGCCCCATTACTTTATACGAAGACCTTAGCACCTAAACTTAGGATAGCAGGCTTGGTATCAGCACCTCAGAATGAGAGTGGTATATTGCATCTAAAGAGCTAGAGCTTCACAGGAACCATCGGAAATTGGGGCTCTTCGGGCCATCACCCAACTTGGAGGTTGACACGTCGCTGGCAGTCAAGTTCACACCTTGCTCACGGTTCCTTCTTTTATTATCCCAAACCATGAAGAAACCCAGGGCGAGGGCACACAATGCGCCAACTCCTCCAAAACAAGCCGTCGTAATCAGAGCGGGTGCGTACTTCGGGGCATCGGGCTTACGGAAGATGTTGCTGCTCACAAGTCCCATGAGATTGGCCAGCGGGACACCAATCGAAGTCAGAAGCACACCTGAGGCGCCAATGTTAGTAGATGCTTCCCAGAAAAGCCGTGAAAGACCGTAGACTTACGTTGGTTCTCGTTGACGACGTTATTGTTGTACCACGTCGACAAGAGCACACTAGGCGCAGATGTTCCCCAAGTCATCATGAAGCATGCATAGTATGCAAGCTTAATTTCCCTTTCGACGTCATCAATGGCAGCATAGATAATGAAGCCAATGAAGGTAAGCAAGAACCCTATTGCGATGAAGGGGAACCGGAGCTTGCGCCAGTCGGAAAGGAAGGCGAGGATGAGAAGCATCGCGGCGCCGCTGACGTTGGGGGCCACGGTGTAGAGGTTTGTCTTGATGGTGCTGTATCCCAGGCGCTGAACGATTTGAGGCATGAAGAGACTGACGCTCTGGAGAGGAACTCCGAGACATATCTCGATGGCGAGAAAGCCATACTGCAATCAATTAGCTTCAGAGTCCAAGGAAAGGCCCAAAAACTATCCGCTAGCGGTAATTAAGTCTAGTATGCGCGCATGGAGTGACTTACTGTCGTCGGATGCTTGAAAACCTTGGCCGCCTCTCGAATCTTCATCTTCTCTCCAACAATGGAGGAGCTGTCAACTCGAACGCGATGAAGAGCCAACTCTTTCTCTTCCGCCGTAAGAAACTTTGCTTCGGCAGCACTTCGCGGGAGGTACCAAAAAGCAAAAGCGGCGAAGAGTATAGTTGCAGTTGCCTCGATGATGAAGAGCCACCTCCAAGGGTAAAGCTTGGTGTTGGTGATGTGGAACACCCCGAATGCCAAAAGTCCCGAGAAAGCGTTGGCCTGTCGTATGTTAGCGGCAATTTTCCACAATAATCATGCGGGAATCGGTAGCTTTACAATGTTGGAGGCTGCATAGAAGATAGCCAGACGGCGTGCCAGCTCACCGCGGCGATAGAACGTGGTCAGGTAGTAGATGACCAGTGGGAAAAAGGCCGATTCCGCCATGCCCAAGAACCACCGCAAAGCAAAAACGCCGCCAAAGTTCTGGGCCGCAGCCATGAGCATGGTCATGGAGCCGAAACCGAACATGAGGATGGGCAGCATGGTCGCAGGGCCGAATTTCTTGCCGATAAGGGCCACGAAAGGTGCTGCTGCCACATAAGGCACGAAGAAGATGCTGACAATGAGGTTGTATTGGCCATCCTTGAAGTTGAGATCGGTGCTCAGGCCGTCCGTCTCTGCGTTTCCTAGATTTCCTTTGTCGAGCGCATTGAACAGGTCTAACAGAGGATATCAGCAGCGTTACTCTTCTATTTGGCGACATCTACAAGTGAGCCAGCCCGATGGTCAGGTAGCTTACACATTATAGCCAAGACGGGCAAGACATGGAAGTCCAACTTCCTGCAAAGTCGTCGTTCGGCAGCTTTGTCAATGACCCGAACTACATCATCGTCGTACTCGCGACTCTTCCCGTTGTCCCCGTCCACAGACCCATCTCGAACCGACCCCGCTGGTTGCGAAGTCGGCGAAATCTTATTGTCTTTCGCAGCGTCCATCACGGATGTCGGGTTCTTTTGGACTCGTGATCAGCCGATTCGAGAACGCAGCGAGCAAGTGTTCGAGTCTTGGTCGATACTACAGAATGTGTGAACGCAAGATGTGAGATCATCTTATCGCGGTTGGGGGTCCCTCGGATACATAAACTTTTGCTGGTGTCGCATTCGCTGATCAGCACATTGTTTTCTAATCAACGTATCTCTTATCCTGGTCATGCAGAACCCTTGTGACTGGTTCGCGGCTCTGTTCTCAGAGCTCCTTGGTCGCCAAAGATAAGGGTGATATCGACAGTGGGGTAGCTGACGTAGTTAATCGCACGCTCACTGTATATCCTGTCCGTTGGGCATATGCAGGTTCATGTTGGTCGGGACGGCTGGGCGATCAGTCGGCATGCTCTCCTCGTCTGAGTTTCGTCGCTCTCATTCATTGTGAACATAGGAATAACCACCGCTACCACAACTCCGGTTCAGTTGCAGATTTAAGATTCAATTTTCGGTGCTATTGGTCACTGCATCCAACTCTATCAGACCCGTGCAATAATGTAACGTCCGCGGCCCTGCCGGTCCACGCCTCCTTTGAAGCCTTTGCTAAACGGGCCCCAATCGTACCAAACTGAACATCTGTTTGCACCTACGCTTAGTTCCTTTGAGCTTTTCGACATGTCCGATATGGAAATCGCAAAGAGTAGAACTTCACCGACAATAGCAATCTTACGGCTTGATAAGAGCCGATATCGACGACCAAATGACTGGATACCAGCCATATCACCAAGCTGCACCCCGCATTGCCCCATACCGGCGGGGGCTGGCGATGGCAAGTTGTGCCTAGCCGAGAGGAAAGGTACCGGAGTTGATGCCGGCGGGAACCGGTCCGTGGGGGTCATGTCGCGGAGAGCGAGGTGCTCTATGTAGATTGATGGAAGCTACCTTTGACTCAGTGCGCTACGTAGCAACCTTACAAACGATGAAGAAGGTCCACGCGTGGTGAGTTTAAAAGATAACGATCGGCTGTCTAGGGTGTTGAAACGTTGCGATAGCTACCTGTCCCACCAAGGGTGCGGGGTTGATAGGACAATCCCACAGCTCCCCGCGGGCAGTTGATACCATCCGAGAACGGAGCGCTGAACAGCGCCCAAGCTTCGTGCATCGGACGCGCCAGACACTTGTGCTTCACCATACTTGTTAAGGTTTCTCTTCTTTCAAGTTGGTCTTGGAATAAGCCCAAACGCGCCTAGATCTAAGACGCCATACTTCTTCACATTACACACCACAACAGCCAACATCCACTGCAGTCAACATGTCCTCCAAGACCCCCGTCCTTACCGATAAGGCCCCCAAGCCCTTGCCCGGCATCTACAGCCAGGCAATTATCGCCAATGGCATGGTCTTCTGCTCCGGCGCCGTTCCCATGGACCCTGTCACCATGAAAATCATCGACGGCGACGTCCAGGCTCACACAGTATGTGCATGGATCTGCATCGCTAGCGTTTGGGGAGAATCCGGTCGCAGAGAAACCGGCTAATGTTACCGCAGCACCAATGCATCAAGAATCTGACTGCAGTTCTTGAAGGAGCTGGCACCACTATTGACAAGGTTGTCAAGGTGAACGTCTTTCTCTCTAACATGGACGACTTCGCTGCCATGAACGAGATTTACTGCCAGTACTGGGGCGAGGTCAAGCCGTCCAGAACGTAGGTTGAGCTTGGCCTGAATTCCATCAAAATATGCTAATCCTAAAACCGATCAATCTAGTTGCGTCGCGGTCAAGACTTTGCCTCTGAATGTGGACGTTGAGATTGAGTGCATAGCAGTGTTATAAACGTCGAAGTAATGTGCATAGCCTTGGAAAGATAAAAAGATAAAAAGACAAGAAAAATGAAAACACAAAATAACGATAAACCGGCCGATTTGTGAGGTTCCAGCACATCTGCAGAAGTGTTGTTTTGCGTATTGTGGTAGTCGTTCAAAGACCGTCACGCTCAAACGATTCAAATAGTGACGATATGCTTGCTATCTCAGGCCCAGGCCATTATCTAGCTCTATTTTCTACTGCCTCTGTCTAAAGTAGGTCCACCAACTTGTCGCAAAACAGAGTAATGGCTCTTCTCCCATCTTCGAGCGCCTCATCCATAGCGATAAACGGGTGCGGCTGTCCCTTCATGAAATGTAAGTCAACTTGGACCCCGGCATCTTGGAGCTTCTTGCCAATAGCCTCGCCCTCACTTCGCAAAACATCTAACTCGCCCACAACGACCACCGCGGGAGGAAGCTTTGACCAATCGCCTTGCCAGAGCAATGGGCTCGCCTCAGGATGCTCCCAGGTCTCCTTGACGGGCAGGTAATGGTAGCGATACCACATCATCTTTTCCGCGGGAAGGGCAGGCGTGAACTCGTTCTCCTTCCACGATGCGTGCTCTGGTTTCTGAGAGTCGACCGTCGCGGTGTTGTCTGCAACGGGTACCGAGAGCAGCTGAACAGCGATGGGCGGGATGTCTGACCGCTTGCTAATGCGCTGACACATGACGGCTGTGAGGTTCCCGCCGGCTGAAGAGCCGCCAAGAGCGATACGGGAGGTGTCGAGGTTGAGTTTGTCGACGCCAGTGGAGATGGCCCAGAGAAGAGACTCCCAGCAGTCGTCAACTGCGGCAGGGAATGGTTCCTCTGGAGCAAGCCTTGGAACTGTCAATGGCTAATCACCTAGTTGCAATTACTTAACCTACCGATAATCCACGCAAATGACAACACACTTTGCCCGATTGCAGAGATGCGTAGCAATGACGTTCTCCGTGTCAATGTTTCCCAAAACCCATCCACCACCGTGAAACCAGAAGCACAGGGGCCATCCTGTAGTAGGTCGCTCGCCTAATGGTGTGAAAGCTCGAATCAAAATATCTGGTCCACTTGTCTCTTTCCTCGGAATGGTGATGTCCTCGGAGCTTGCAACCTCTAGCTTTGGCCCAGCACCCGGTATCAGAGTGCCACTAGCCCGAGACGTCGAAATAGGTTGGTGATGAACAACTTGTTTGTCGAAGACGTGTTTGTTGTAAAAGTCTTTGTATTCCGGGTTAATGCGGTTGATAACTGACGAATGCAGAGGATACGGTGGCTCGGGCATTGTAATTGATCTGACGGCTACAATATTTGGATTGTTGCGCTGGGTGCTTGATCGGGAGTGCAGGTGGTGTGCAGCGACTCGGTTTGGCGTGTTAAGTAAACTCACTTTGGAGGGGGTTCAGGCTTGCTACAAGTGCCCCAAGCCAGGGCCAGCATGTTTGCAGCTGATTCGGGAAACAGTCCGGATCACCGAAGGCCGGAGGTCTGGGAGTACCAGTGTCTGAGCCAATTCGTGATCTGCATGTATAGTGACCCCCACCTAGAGCTCCTCGTATCCGCTGCTCTAGAAGATTGAGTGACTATCTGTTGAGTGGAGCTGCAAGAAGGAGGAAGTGTGCAGGGCCAGCGCTTGCCGGTTTGTGTAACGATGCCCGCTGTCCCCGCCTTGGAATCGGACACTGTTAACTCGCACTCTAACACCAACCATGCATCGGAGTGTTGCTAGTGTCCCAATCTGCCCTTTACTTGCCCCGTAATGAAATTATGGTTTAAGAGGTAATGTAAATAGCGTCGTAGCGGATAGGAAGGTACCTTGAAGCAACATTCGATGGAGCCAGAACTTGACTCTAATGCTGATTACTGACCGTCTCCTCTAACAACTGACTTTCCCCCTTGGCCCTCCCTTCCTTCCTTCACCCGTACAGGGAATCCTCCGTGCGATGCTGCCCACACAGCTGTATGTGCATAATGCAAGATTGGAAGCTTTGGTAGGGAATATCGGAGCGATTGATTGGCTGGAGGCAGGAAGTTGTTCTGCGTATTTCACAATCAACCACGGCATGATACTATCCAACGCTACTGTCCACATCGCATATCGCAGTGTGGCGTCTACCAACTTGATTTTGTTAGCGAACCCACTCGTGACAGCAGTGCTGCATACTGGCGATGCATAACTACAATTTTGCGGCAGCGTCGTCCTGCTAGAACAACAGTCTAGCGATGAAAGACAAAGCCTCGTTAGTGATAATATACGAATGGTTGTATTCTTTTTTGTATCAGTTGAACCCGGCCATAGACATCTTTGAAACATGGAAGGTCCACGTTTCTGCGCTCAATGAGTCTCTGAGTCTAGAAGAAATGAATGCACCAAAGCAACTAAAAGTTGTTTCTTAAATTGGGGGCAGCAGGTTTTGATGGTATCGATCAAGACACATTGGAGGGAATTATATCGCCGATCCTTTAGCATAGATGGATGTGAGGAGATTCGTTAGACATCGGGTCTTTGCAATGAAGGGATGGTTTGGACTTTAGCCCCGATATTAGGAAACCTTACATAGTATGCTGGTGAACCTAAGGATATGCTAGTCGTCAACCGAACCTGGGTCGCAACAAGAGGGGACTGATTAAGCCCAGCAAGTAAGGTCCTAACCGCCATATTCATATTGCTCTCATCAGCATCAATCCAACATCACCAATCATTTGCGGTCTTCAGATACAGATACAATTGCGGTGCTTTTGCTTCCTGTCCTTGCTGTAGTGAAGGTGGCGGAAGACCCTTCGCCTGCGATGCTAGTTCGTCTGACAGGCTTACTGCTTATGAGGTCCCAAGGGATAAATCGGAGAAAGAGTTCAAATGGCTCTCCCAGTAACTGCTGTATCTAACGATCACGGGCAGCCACATGGAAGGGTTTTGATCAGCCCGAGGGTCCGGGCTGTGTGGTAACCACAACTCTCCAGCCTACAGCCAATAGTAACAAAAGGCAGGATCTAGGTCTTCTAGCTGGATTTCGGTATATACGGCTTCGGAAGGAGCTGCCGGAAACATCGGAAGCTTTAGAATCACGAAAAGATACCGTGACATGAATGAGAATGATGGTGTCATTTATGATAGCAAGTGAAAGAAAATAACGATAAATAGCAGTTAATCGTGTACCGATTGAGATGCAAAATACATGTGGAAATTGTCCCATTTGGTAAAAAAGAGGTTCATGGAGCAGTCGGTGTAGTTTGGCGAAGTAAGTGGGACGGTAGGAGAGAGGTTGAGTATGGAAAGACGAAGTCACAACACATTAGCCCCAATATACTGCATGTAAAACTCTGTGTGTTTGGTAGTAGTCAGCCATTTAGTCACAGCAACAAGATCTGGGAATTCAGCAAAAAAATGCGTGATCCAGCGTTGAGTTGCATGATCACGTCACTTGGTAGTCATAGATCAAGTCAGGCATACCTATTCGTTCAAAAGTCATCTGGAGATAAGGCTGCTCCGCTGTAGCGGAATTTTGGTAAAAAGGAGCCGAGGCAAAACGTGTTGACAGCCGGAGCACCGTGCGTCCAACTTCAGAAACAGTAATCGTTGGGAATCTAGATGCGGTTCGGCCTCGAGGGGTGATGAAGTGAAGTCGCGGTTGATCAGACTCCGGGTCAATTAGGCTCGAATTCTACGGTCCGGGTACCACATTTCAACCACGCTCAACAAAGCACCCAGTCAATTATGGCCGGAGCTAGGCCCGAATGTCACATGCAGTTCGCGTGTGCGTGTTTGCTCACAATATTTCTTACTTGCTCTTTTCTGTTCATGGAGTTACTCCATTATGGCTGGGCAAGAAGAAGAGCATCCCCCTTGAGTGCCGGCAAATCATTTCGTCATCTTTTTCACATAGTTCTCCTCTTCTGGGACCTCTAGATCCAGACAACCTCAACAATTCACATGAAGCCCACTAACATGGGCTAGGAGGGTACTGTATTGGTAAGATTCAACATCAAAGTGCTTGTGTCCATTGTTTCTTGTCACAGCCATGGTGTTGGCGACTCCGCTACTCGTTCGGCCATAAAAGGCAACGCAACCAAGTCAACAGAGCTTTGATATAGCATAATCTTTTACCTCATAGTCGTTCACAACGCAAATCGCGCCTACCCATATGATTGTGAGCAACAAATCGTGGTGCCGACTAAAATGCTCTTTCGCATATTCCGCCGATATGTATTTGTCATACTCGTTCGCGCCTGCATCTTCTTACTTCAGAACCCGATCGTTTCCTATGCGTTAGCACTTGCGGCTTGCTACCTCGGTGCGAGCTGGAGCCAGTCGCCTGCTCGATGGGCTATCGTCACTCGCGTTATTATAGGTTCCATGTGCATCGAAATCGTTTACGTTCTATTTATTTGGTTGCCCTACACCAAGCGCCTCAAGGAACCTGCCAAGCACCCGCCCCCTGCTTCTTCAGCTGAACGTCGGGCCCTCTTCGAACGATGCATGGACACAGTTCAGAACTATGAGTACTACCTTCGTATGTGGTTTTTGGGAGCCGAGTTGTCCGACATACGCCGAGACAACGTTCGGGAATTCCTGCTGTGGGCTTTCTTCGACATTCACGAAGAAACAGAAGGCAGTAACTCGGTTCTAAGTGACGAAGCAGATTACGACGAGGAGGTGAACGAGTACATTTCTCGTTTAGAACGTGGTCTAGGTTTTGCGTTTGAACCGGGCCGCGGTCTGGCCAAGTGCCTACGGCTCACAGTCGATTCTGTAGACCAGAAATTTCGCACGGTCTGGTGGTATGCTATCGTGGCCCTTCTGGACCACGTAACACACGTTTTCTTTCTCCTTCAGGGATTTGAGTACTACGCACAGTCACGAGCCAGGCCGGTCTTTCCTCCGCGTATGCAACAAGTTTTTGCCAAGAATCGTTCAAAGGCAGGAAGTTTAAGCTACTGGCATCGTCCTCATCGTTCCACCGGCCTTCCTGTGGTCTTTTTCCATGGCATAGGGGTCGGTCTAGGGCCCTACATCCGCTTCCTTACAGAGGTCGCTGGAGGAACTGGTGAGGGTCAGACTGGCGTCATTGCACTGGAGATTCTGCCCGTTTGCTTCCGATTGACTGAGCCGCCGCTTGGCAAAGAGATTTTTCTTCGACACTTCGAAGAGATACTGGATCGGCATGCGTGGTCAGAGTTCACACTCATTTCTCACTCGTACGGTTCTATCTTATCGACTCACCCAATGCGATGCCCAGAATTGCGAGCGAGGATCCCCCGCGCAGTTCTTGTTGATCCGGTAAGCATTATGCTGCACCTGCCTGACGTTGCCTACAATTTCACAAGACGCCGGCCAAAGACTGCCAACGAATGGGTATTATGGTATTTCGCAGCCACAGACCCAGGAGTTGCGCATTGCCTCGGCAGGTACTTCTTTTGGAGGGAAAATGCCATCTGGGCCGACGAGCTAATCGGGTACGGCAAAGTGTCAGACTCCGCAAGTGATGAGCGGAAAACAGCAAGGCGGATTACTGTGTGCCTGGCTGAGCTGGATTTAATCGTAAATACGCGTGCTGTCGCCAGGTATCTGGCCGACGGACCTTGGCAAGAGTGTTCCGCACGCCTGCGAGGCGACCTAGGTCAACAGGATCATGTCGAGCTACCAGAAGGGCCTGTCCAAGTCTTGGATTCTCTCACTCATCGTTCGCCCAAATCAGGCATTGACGTCATCTGGTTGCCGGAAAAGGACCACGCTGAGGTTTTCTTTTCTGAACGAGACAGAGCACGGGTTGTGGCTGTCATACGAGACTACTGTAGATCATGAGATACTCTTGGCAGCTGGAGTAATGTATATTTGGCTTCTAGAATCTTGGATGTACTCTAGAGCGCGTGAAAGATGTCTGATAGTATGATTTGTTGTTGAAGGGGACTCTTCTTGAAGTTTTACGTTTCCTAGCTAAATCTACGAAGGTATGGTGCCTGATCTACCAAGTTTGCATTCTGCGACTGGAGCACTGCTTGAAACGAAAGCCTAACCTCTCAGGATAGGCCTGCGAGAGACTCAAGTCCTTTTTCACCAAGCTAACTACACGAAACAGGCGGCTCGTATCTTCCATCCTTCAGGTATACTCATCCTCTTCGTTGTAAAAGGTGAACTTAGTCGGAAGTATGCCTAGGCGAAGTAAATCTTGTATGATTAGACTATATAAAAACCCTTTTCAAATGCATGCACTTCCTTCTATGTTCGCATTCGCAACTCCATTCCGCCAGCTCTGAATGAGCTTAGTGGGGGCAATGCGTTGCGCCGGGCATCTAGCCACGACAATGAAGCTAAGCGTTGCAAGAGAATCACAGGGTTGATGGCACTATGATTGTCAAGGTATCTTTGATAGCCTGGCTTTTCAGATCGGTATATAGCCGGCCAGGTAGCTGCAATTGTATACTGTTTATGATACTTATCTATCGCCAAGCATCCTCAATGATCTTCTTCATTATGCAGCACTGGGCTCCTTGATGCAAGACAGGGCAAGTCTGTGGCCGGCTCTGCGGAACAACATATCCACACCTAGTGTCACCCCCTAGTGGGTCTGTGCGACTCAGTCGAAAGCTTGTTCGGATCTTTACGAGATTGGAGTTCCTAATGCTGGGGAACAGGGCCATTTCATCGCGGGGCACAAATAATGCTAGGGTGTTGAGTCGACCCATCTAACTGAGCCGATGCAGGCTCATCCTGTTCATATGGGGTCTATCGTACTAGTTTCGCAACGAACCTGGAATGTTCATCCCACGTGCCGTTCTACAGACTTGCTGACTGGCCAACATGGTTGACGACCATTTCTAAAACCACATGTGGTCCAAGAAATGGGGATTCTTTCGATTGGGCCGAATGAGCTCACAGCAGGAGTTTTCCTGCACTGTTGCATCAATTCTCGAATACTGAAAGAACCTCATCCCGCACTCTCGGCTCACCTCCATTTTCATCTGGAGAGCATAAACATTTCTGACGGAGCTCACAGGCTCATTTCCTGCGCGATGGACCGTTTGTTGACAAAAATGAACTATTTGTACGAGAATCAAAATCAAGAGAAGCTCAAAGCTTTTCTGGATCATCTGCCCGCTTTCAACACCCTGAATGTTATAAAAGGTCTCGGTCTCGCGGTAGGTAACGGTCAAGAACAATGATATTGGCGGAGTCCTAGACAGCAAACTAACAATCGATATTAGTTTGTTGGATACATCGTATTAGTCAAAATCATCTACAACCTGTATTTTCATCCCCTCCGCAACTACCCAGGCCCGAAACTGTGGGCAATCTCCCGGATTCCGTGGCACCACACCAACCTCAAAGGACGGATCAGCTGGCGTATACGCGAACTCCACGATGAATACGGTCCAGTTGTGCGCATCGCGCCTGACGAGCTGTCATACACAACATCGACCGCATGGAAGAAGATTTATGGTCAACGAAAACCTGAGTTCCCAAAAGCCCTCGATGGGCGCGGCATCGCACCGCCCAGTATTGGTGGGCGCCTGAGCTTAATGACGGAAACACAAGACCAGCATTTGCGACTGCGACGAGCAATCAATCCAGCGTTCTCGGAAAAAGCACTGAGAGAGCAAGAACATTATCTCCAGACTCACTCGAGCAATCTTATCAGGATTCTGAAAGAGAAGTCCAAGCAGGGCCCCGTGGACATGACAACTTGGTATAATCTGGTCGCCTTCGATATCGTATCTGGTAAACACGCTCTACACTTTCCGAGTTTACGCTGAAATTGACATATGCTGACCGATTCCATCAAGATTTGGCTTTTGGCGAGCCAGCTGGCTTCTTGGACAACGCAGATCAACCCTGGATCAAGGTAATTCTTGACAGAGCAAAAGCAATTGTCTGGTTCCAGCTCGCTGTCTGGTACGGCTTCTTTCCGCTACTGAATCTGCTCACCCCAAGATACGTGACTGAGTCGCGCAAGAACCATATCGCCTTGACAGAAGCTAAGCTTGAGAGGCGTATCAAGGCTGAGAATCCAGGCAAAGACTTCATGTCTTTCATCCTCGAGAATGAAAACGAAGCGGTTGAGAAGCTATCCAAAGTCGAATTAGTAATGCTGGCTAGCAACTTTATCGTCGCCGGAAGCGGCACATCCGCAGGCGGTATGTCGGGCCTCACTTATCTCCTGCTTCGAAACCCAGACAAGCTTGAAAAGCTCAAGAAGGAGATCCGAGAAAGATTTCAGTCAAGCGATGAGATATCGATGCAAGGTACAGCTCAGTGCAAATACCTCAACGCTTGTCTCGACGAGGGTATGCGCATGTATCCGCCTACTCCGGGCTCCCTCCCTCGCTTTGTCCCAGGCAGTGGCGAAATAATCGACGGCAAATGGGTGAAAGGTGGCATGGCCGTCGCCGTCAACCAGCTTTCCGCTGGTACATCAGAGCTCAACTTCAAACGCGCCCGAGAGTTCCATCCCGAGCGATGGCTGGATCTGTCCCCTGACTCTGAGTTCGCCAACGATGACAAAGCAGCCACCCAACCATTTTCAATGGGCCAAAGAGTCTGCATTGGAAGAGCGTAGGTTCTCTAGCCTTTGATACTGTTCTAATCCATTGAACTAATACATATGGCGTGCAGGATGGCATATGCTGAGATGCGTTTGACGATGGCTAAGATCATGTGGCACTTCGACCTCGAACTCAGTGAGCCTGAGCTGGATTGGTGGAACAAGCAAGGGACCTATTTGGTATGGGAGAAGATTCCATTGATGATTCAACTCCGACCTAGGTTCGTTTAGTAGGCTCGTGCAAAAGCGGTCATTTTCATGTACATGAAAATTAGAATCTCCGTGTCTCATCCATTTTCCTGGGGCGTCTTTGGTACTAAGAGTCCTCAGATACTTGGTTAGGTAGCAGCTTTAAGGGTAGCAGGGACATTATGATACGATCTCGAATACATCAGTCACAAGATTTAGACGCTATGAGCGAGTTCTGCCCCAAACGATCGCGTTATGGCTTTTGCGTCCTGCGTCTACCTTAACACGAGGTTTGCGACAAGCGAAACCGAGAGTACATTAGATTGGCCTACATTACGCGAAGAGTATCAGAAGGAAGCGAGCGTCGATTGCTTGTGGGTTGGGCCTACTGAGCCAGACCTATCCAGGCACTACCTACTGCACCGCTGATCCTATAATATCGACCACCAAGATCAGGACAAGTCGATCGCAACATCTCTTGTTACTGTTTCTGGTCACTCCACGTTATGGCGTACGTGTTGTCTGGAGACGTGAGTGGAGCAACCGCCCGTGGGGCCATGCTTGTGCCGAGTCAGGGGCTCAACGGCAGCCATAGCGTAGGACTTTGTTCAGGATGGAGGTGTCAGGTCAGCACGTGGGCTGGCAGCTTGTCCAGGAGATACCGGCACATACCGTCACGTCTACCCCTGATTACGCTGCCTCAAAAACCGGCAGTTGGCATCTGTAGCCATGGGATCCAAAGCTTGTTTAATATAGAGGGTCCTGTAGGTTGGAGAAGTGAATAGCCGCGACTCAGTCAACCGTAACATCACTATCACAGGTGGAACCCGAACTCCACTTGCGGCATTCAGACTATCGATGTTACCCTCTAGTTTCCTGCAGGGAATTTAACTGTTGTGTTGTTCCAAGAGAAAGCTATAGTAACCAATAAAAATCCGCTCGATTGAGCATTGTCAACACGTGTGAGAAGAATACACTGCGAGTGGTTGTAACCGAGAAAGAATTATGCGTCCACTGCTTTGGTTCCTTACCACCAATACTGCGTTTAAAACATGGCCAGTCTTTGAGGGACTCATAGCTAGATGTTGGACCACGTACTCACAACCACCTCTTCACGCACTAAAGCTCTTGGCGGAAAACGGCCACTAAATACTTAGTCATGGCGCAAACCACAGAGACGGAACGAAAAGATGGCGATCTTTCCCCAAAGGTTCTCTCCCTTGGGATGACGAGAACTGGCAAGTTCAGATTCTCCACGTCTTGTTTGTTTTCCAGGACTGACGATTGCCGACCTAGGTTCCGCCTCTATTACACAGGCTCTTACCATCCTCGGCTACAAGAATGTACACCACGGCATCCAAGCCATCAGCAATCCCAAGGACTGGGAGGTTTTCTCACAGGCATGTGACGCGTTCTATCCCACCCTACCAACGTACGATGGAAAGCCGTTTGGGCAGTCGGATTGGGACCGGGTCTTTGGGCAGTGCGAAGGCATCACGGACATGGGTTCCTTCTTCGCGCTTCCGCTGATTGATGCGTACCCCGACGCAAAAGTTATTCTGGTAGAGCGCGACATCGAGACTTGGTATGCCAGCATGGAGGAGGCCATCTTCGGTACAACATGGGGCTGGCGTGCAGACCTGATCATCGAAGTCTTCGGCCGCTTAATGGGCTTGAAGGGGGGCTTGACAATCCGCAAGATCATGAAGGGGTATTACGAGGCGCGCAACGTCAGCGATATGCGTTCCAAGGCAAGGGACAGATATCGTCGCCACTACGCTGAGATTCGGGCCGCGGTCTCCAAGGACAGACTACTGAATTTCGATGTGAAAGAGGGATGGGAACCTCTTTGCGCATTTCTTGGCAAGTCTGTACCTGACGTGCCGTTCCCGCAAGTCAACAAGAGAAAAGAGCATGTTGCGAGAGTTAGGGCCAAGCAAAACATGTTTCTGAAGGCCATGGGAAAGAAGACTTTGCGGATAGTGATGCCATGGATCTTAGGGTCTAGTGCTGTAGCTATCGGAATGTGGGCATGGCATAACCAGGAACGCGTAGCTGTGCTTCGTGCGGATACTGAAGCTTGGTTCCATATGCTCAAATCGACTTGGAAATAGAAGCGAAGGCTCCGTTGATGGTGTATGTTAGTATTTTCCCAGTGGGAGCTAATCGACTTAGCAATATCGAAAATTAGTTGCATATTTTCGATTAACCAAATTCGATCTTAACACAGCGTATTGCTAGCCTTACACTTTGTGATGATGATGTAATAAAAGGCATAAGGCATACTCATCAGCGCAAGGCGGTACGTAAATCACCTCCAAAATAACAGCCGCGTTAGAGAACAAGCCCTGTTGTAGTAGGCATTGGCTTTCCATATGCGTTGGGCTCAAAAAGTTAAGTACCTCCCAAATGGCTTATGCTATAATTACAGCGGAAAAATAGGAAGATAACAAGGATGCCTTTCTACTCAGTTACATGATGACCGTCGACCGTGGTTGAATGAGAGAACGCCGGCGGCTTCGCCAAACGTCTCTGGGAATACGGTCGATTGTGTCTTCCTTCTCCAAACAACTTGACACTCCGTAACATAGGAGCACATAATTGTCGTCTTGCGGTCTTGTTGTTTCATTACTTGTCCTCCGGCCTCACCCAGCGCTTACCTTCGCCTATTCATCCATCGATCTTGCAGTAGCTAAAACCGTCGACTCAAGCTTGCTCGGTTATCGATTTGCTTTCAAGCTTGTCGCGTTACTGCCACCAAGAGTAGTCAAGTTCCAGCATGTAAGGACAACGTACACTTCGTTTCCAGTAATCATGTGTTGCATTCCAAAAGAGCGCCTTTTTCACAATGTGACTCTCACAGTACTACTTCAAACATTGCTGGAGCGAGGCCCTCGCCGCAAATACGAGCGTTACTTCAGTGGGATGGGAAGAACCCACAGCCAGATCGATTCTTGGGTGCTGGACCTTCAAAAGCTCGGTGCCGTACACGAAGAACAAGCCAGATTGATTCTTGGGACACGGCAATGGCGTGAAAGAGGTGCATCGACAGCCGACTTACGAAACAGCCAATGTGCAGTCTATATCTTAGAAAGTAGTGACATAGAGTGATGGTCTCAGTCTTTCCCGAACTTTACGTAAAACCCAAGGATTTTGAAGACGTATAGGTGACAGGGAGCCCACGGCACAGTCATGTCGGTACACACGAGGTTCCCAGAAGCGCTTTGTAATAGCCTTGAACGGACGTCAAGCGTCAATTTCACTAAGCCAAATATTTTGCCGGGACTTTCCCCTTGAACTCCCCCAAACGTCGCCCTATTGACCGTGGTACCGAATCGCAATTTCCATTCACTTCGTTTAGTCGTAATCAACATCGACGCCAAGCTTCCGCAGGTCAACAACGGCCTCATCAATCTCCGCCATCAGCTCCTTGTGCGCCTCGGGCACATCGTTAAAGGTCATGACGTTGTATCCGAGACGGGCGAGGAGGTACGATCCGAAGGAGATGAGGACCCAGAAGGGTAGCTACGAACGCGCGCAAGGTTAGTAAGGGTGGCCGCAAGGGTTGGCGAGGCAGAAGGAAAAACCTACAACAGGGACGATCTCGGTTTGGATCTTAGCAGGGATGGGAATGAGCTGGAGGTAAAGCGCGAGGTAAAGCTGTAGATGCTGGTCAGCATGGATTCTTGGAGAGGTGGCATCGCGGGCCAGGGAGGGAGGGGTCGTACAGAGCTCACGAGAAGCGCGAGGGAGATGGTCTGCTGGGCGCGGGTCATGGTTGCTGTTATTTCGGGTCGTCGAGATGAGTTAGGAGGAAATTTGTGTGCTGGGTCGTTGTCGGAAAGCGATCGTGGTTGAAAGGAGTGACTGGAAAGCTGGTGACGGTCGCGACGCTGTCCCTTGGTTAGAGCCAGATGGTGAAAAGGAGTCGCGAAGCTGTCCAAAATTCGTGGTGGAGCTTGAATGACTAAGCCGTGCTCGGACCCCCGGTGATCCCATGCATCCCCCCAGTTTACGCGCTGGGCCCACCCGGAGCACTTTATCGGACGCGCTTCGGCCCCGTTTTTGCCAGCTCCGATCTCATGCTCCCGGTTATGTCAATCTGCAACTCTTCCAGATTGGTAGCTGCGACTATTCCGCCAATGATGGCAGTTCTTATCGACCAACCCGATTCATTGGTTTTGGGTTTGTAGCGCATCGTGAAGCTTTGGCGTATCATTTAGAAAGCGGTCCTCATGATGGTGTCAAGAGGATCAATGAACGATTGTCCAAACACCAGATCTGCCATGGGTTTTCGCATGAGCAAGAATCACAGCCCTCACCCTAGGATAAAGGATTATTTTAAGCCACAATATATCTATTTGGCGACTTTATCATGTGACTTTAAAATACAAGGTGCCGCCGATGTCGAGGACGGTCCGATGACGTGCTGTTCTTCGGGCTGCCATTTCCCGCTTTGCCCTGCAGCTCGACAGCGTCAATGATATAGTTTGCGCTCAGGAACTCCTTATCACCAGTTCCAAAAACACCCAGAGTGAGAGTGTTTGGCCCTTGCTTCAGCTCAGTTGTCGGTACGTCCCATGTATATACGTCACCAAACCCACGGTAGGCCCCTCGAGTTACTCCACGTGAATCGATCAGAGTCTTATAGTCTACTTAGTAATTGCGTTGGTCACTTTCAGATTGCTAAACTTACCGGAGCACCGGGATCAGGCGCTTGCCAATTGTTTATCCTTACGTTCGGCCGCCCACCCTTAAAAGATAGAGTAGTGCCCACGCGCAGAGTTACCGCCTCCAGTTGATCGGCTGCCAGATCAAACTTGACGCTAGCGTTCCCTCCAATTTTGGAGAACAAAGCCATTGGGAAGTCTTTCGCCTGGGATGTTCCTACCGTATACTCGCCTCCCCAAGATGCCATGCGAACATCAGAAGGATGCATCCGCGTAATCTTGTCGCCGTTCTTCAGTTCGAATGGTTGTCCGTCAAACTCGCCGATACGCCATATGACCGACGGCTTAGATTCGCTTGATATGATGTCCTGAGTAACATTGCCACCGGCAGTAATGGTAACGGTGCTGTTAGCGACGGGAAACTCGTCGCGGTACATCTTCATCGTATATGTTCCCGGTTTCATGGGTGGAGAGGTAAACTTTCCGTCGGATGCCTTGGTCCAGTACTGGGCATCTTTGTTGAACCAGTGAAGCACAGTTTCGACTTCGCCCACAACGCCGCTTGTGGTGCCGGAAACACTCCCTCGCCCGCTTTCCGGTACATATCCGTCTATGTCCAAGGAGCCGAAGAAAGTCGTGTCGAGACTGGCCAATGGCTGTGAGCCGGTTCTTCCCCGTCTGTCAGCAAGCCTGTGAGAGTACGGTTCGGTGATTCTTACGTGAATCGCATAGCGTATGGACCTAGGAGGCCGAACCGCCAAGGCTCCGTTCTGACATGGCCACTATTCATGTACCAGTACAGCTCCTGGTCCCCTGTGCTCTGAGAGTTAATGTCTCTCATGAAGGGACCGCCGGCGGAATGCTCGTATGCATTGCCAGGCATAATCATCCAGACGCCTACACCCTATAAAGATGTGGTCAGCTAGGTCATCAGCCTCCAATGTTCTGATATTTACTCACATCACCTGTCACACCATGCACCTTATCATCGATGAATCGATCCGACGTGTACATCTTGCACCTTGTGGTGCCATCCGCACACTTGAACGTGTCTTTGCCCTCGAAAGCCTCGCAACCATCGAGATTGGCAACATCGCCGTGCACTCCAGTCGGCACATGCTTGCGTTGAAGTCGGGCAAGCCAGCGTAATTCACCGGGGGCAATTTCACCAGTGATGTGAGTCGCCATGTAGATGGTTGGGTCATCCGGTTTTGCCACGTAGTAGTGCGTGAGGGGTTGTGACCCGGCCTTTACGGCGATTTTGACAAATCCGCTCACCGTTTCGGCTGTAACAGTGGAAGAGCCCAAGCCGGAGTTGATCTGTGACATCTTTGTCATCCCCTGGTATTGAACGCCATTATAAAGTAGGCTTACGATATCACCATTTGACCTGCATCCTCATCAGTATCGCTGCCGCTCGTCAGATAGGCGGCAAGGACTTTAGAGCCCTTCTGTGGGCTCCACGCACCGATTCACTTCGAATATGAGACCACCATTGGTATCAACTTTGTATGTTGAGTTCGACTCAACGAGCCCAAACGCAGCATACGCAGTTTTCCACAAGAGCACTAGGCCAACAATGGCGCTAAAGTAGTGCATGTTGTTGATGGCTGTAGACGAGTACCAGATGACCTGGGAATAAGAAATATCTCACAAGCGAAGGGCCGTGCCAACAGATATATAGCTCAATCTTTGCAAGACTCGGGCCATTTTTGAGTAACGATCAATTAATCTGTTTCCCCTCCCTGCTTTCTCCGGAGAGGGGTTACAGCAGCTGCTGCATGCTTGTGATAGAGTGACCCGAAGGCTTGTCTGGAATAAGCGCTGAACCATTGCATGCGTATGGCGACTTCCCCTCATTCACTGCGTTGCAAACCCCTTGGTTGACCTGCCTATCCTGGCAGCGACCAGACAAATGGTCTGTGACACAATTGGTGGAAGGTTTCGACACACGCTTTCGCAGTCTACTTGCGACGGCAATAAGTAGCGAGCATTCGGTAACACGGCAATCGAATCTTAGTGCAAACCTAAGGCTTTTGGGGTGTGCGGTCGCTTGAATTTCGGGTATCAACTGCCCACTAGTTAACGAAGCAGTTGTGGCCTGCAATAGGCGCATACAAGCATGCTGTTGTCCATATGGTTCTATTACGATGCGTTAGCATTCCGCCTTCAGCTTGAGCCGATTGCGCAAACAGTTGAGAAACATTTTTTAAACATTTTCATATCTTGATTCTAAATATGTATATATCACTAGAAATTCAGTCGATGTCACTACTTTAAATTCGTTTACACACCTGGAGACCACGTAAGCTATGCGGATGGCAATTGGCGCAAATAGCCTGACGACACTCAACCGATGAAGTCTGCATCACTTAGAAGCAGCTCAATGGTAGCAACGCTGGTGCACTTCGTGATTTCTCAAATTATGGATTCCACATAGCGACTTGATGGCAAGTAGCACAATGCGACCGCCAAAAGGGGTGGTTGGGCTTTCCAAGTCACTGACATGGAGAAGCCAGGACCCGTCTAGACAAACTGACTCGTGAGAGAATTTTTTAGAATGAGTCTTGGGTAGCAACTCTATGCAGAAGGGCGGTCATAATCTCGGTCGAATGGCCAGCACCGTGCCCGCACGATTTTATCAACACTGCAACAATGAGCTTTGTGCCCTACAGACTAGTCCTTTGATACATAAGGGCAAGCACAAGAGCTATGAGCCCACCTTGGTATCAAAACGTGATGAATGGAAATCCAAGCGTATGTGACCGATTTTCCCAAGGACAAAGAAAGACCGTGTTCAGATACAAGCCTCCCGAAAGCATTTTGCGTCTTGGCCTACCAAGAGACAACAGGCTGGACATAAAATCAGACGAACACACAGCGGACGTTCATGGCGCGCAACATGGCCTGCTCCGAAAAGTAGGAGAACCTGCACTCGTCCATAGCCACTATTCTTACACACAAGATAATGCAATGACCGGTGCAATAGTGTACTATTTGCTATATATATAGACAGTACGGCAAGGGTTAACCCTGGCAATGCCACTGTTCTTCCAGGCTACCCTGGTCATGACTGAGGCGTTTGTTATCAATAAGGCCTGATGATCTTCTCGTTCATCTCCTTTAGAGTTCACATGATGAAGCAGTATTTAAATCCCATTGGGTCAAGACTGTGCTTCTCAGGTTTGATTTCTAAACCAGCATTCACTTTTGGTTTTCTGGCCAATCTTCTAAACATGAAGTACATCACAGCCTTGGCCTTTGCTCTGGCGCAGAGCATGTAAGTCCAACACTCTAAAACGTTGTGAAATGGCCATCTTGAGGGCTTTACTAACGCCCAGGATAGTCCGGCGTCTGCAGGCTTGCTCTGTGTTATGTCTGACGGCAATCCGAACCCTGGTGTGAAAATATGCACGTCAGTTGGAGGAACCATGGACCCATTCGGCTCACCTGCAGTATGCAATCTCTTTTCAAGGAGACAAGAGTTGTATATACGCTAACCTGGATTAGTGCTGTGGTATTGAGAACAAGCGAAGCATATATGAAACAGGGTGTACGGACAATGGTGGTGTCAGGGTTCAATATACATACGTTTGTTAAATGCACATAGACAACGAATCAACCCAAAGGGCCGATGGCCATAATTAGAGTAAAATAGAAACATTACTTTTTCCTCAATGATTGACTAGATGTCATCGGGGAAGCTCGACTGAAGGCATCTGTTATTCGATCAAGTGGACAGAACCATGTGATGACCAATTTGTCTAGAGGAGCGCATGCGCTTCAAGCACCCTGAACACTAACCACTGATCTCGATAGAAAAGTGCGATCATTTAAATTTGCCTGACGAATTATTTCAGAGACCCCAAATGGATATCAGGGGCTAGACCTTGAGGGGGCATCATGTTAGGTACTGAACCATATCGGAGCCGAACATATCTCATGCATGGTGTCTCCGAACCCTGGGGAACTCCTCAGTTCGGGCTCACAGTCATGAAACCAGTCATGGGCCCATCTCCCTTATGATAGTAGAAAGTTTGCTCACATTGATATCCCACTCTTAATATTTCTGGGTTCAGTAAGAGCGAGTGGTGTCGAGTCGCCTT